TTCCTGTTTAAATTTAGTTGCTCATAACTGCCATAGGTGTGTAAACCAACCAGGAAAATTGAACAATCCCTATCATACTTTGACATTTCTATAGGCTCGCTAGACTTTTATTTTCAACTTGGACACGGCCTTTAATTACCTTGAATCTCACTTGAATATATAAATACAACCAACCGTAAACTCAGTGACTCAACATCATTCACTATTTCCTGAGATTCATTAGAATCAGACACCTGCAAACACCTACTTGAAGGTATGGCTGAGGCTAAACAGTCAGCATGCCCACAAACGGATATAGATTATAGCAACCCACAGACTGCAGGTAGGTATGCGCGCGATAAAATGTCTAAGGACACAGATTTGGAATATTGACTCAACAGATCAGGTAGCTCAATCTACCTTAAATTAACAGCTATAGTCATTACTGCCATACAAACACTACAGTCCTTACCCTAACCCCACTCGAAAACGAAAAGTATCCATTAAACAGTACTGTGAATAAAAGGGTTGCAACCATTTGTACTGCGCCGAAGCAGTCAACTACTTAGAAATCCCAAGTCCGTTGTGCATTTTTGATAATCCAGCATTGCCCTGACGATACCGGTAAAAACAGAAATTCTCTTAGGAAACGTTCTACAGGCTGTAGCAGTCCGTTCAAAGTATGCAACAACACCTGATCAATACCTCTCCTACAGAAGTCATTATTAAGCCTCTAGGAGGAATTCATGGGAGTCCCAAGAATAAATACGCACTACACGAGTACCTTTTCTAACCATAACCCAAGACATTTCTCCATCTCTAGCCTGATGCATATTATCTCCCCAGTTACACACAACCAGGCAACAGTGCCAAGTAGTGCGCATAAGATCCACTACGCTAGCCTGGATGAGCATCTGTCAGATGTGTCTAGTCACCACCTTAGTTAAAATGCCTTTTAAAACTCATAGTTTCTTTCCGTGAAACAGGTGCCTTACCACTTTATAAACCCTACCACCTCAAAAGAATTGTTTTTCTGTCTCCATCTGTTGGGGGCTATATTCCAATTTATTTGTAATATCTTCATATCTGGTCCTTCTGATCGACCTTTAGAAACACTATTCACCGACTTGTCCTATCGCACTTCACTTAATCCTAAAGATCTTCAAAATGAGTCATCCTTATTCCCTCAAATGACTACCATATCTCTACTTCAAGGGTCATGGGTTACTTTTGAATGACAATATCTACCAATCGCTATTTCACATGCTCCCCTCATCATAGTAAACACTGAATACCCGTCTGCAGCTAGCTATATTATTCATAAATCAAACAATCGTGAATAAATTTACAGTCTCCTGGGTAAAGTACCCCAGTCTTTGGCAATTAACTAGGATAATATTTAAGTTGTATGACGAGGTGCTGAAAAAAATAAACAAAGGAAAAGGGGTGAGTAGCAGAACCGAAAATACTCTTGTTTATAGCTGAGTTATGAATCGACAGATAATATTTTTGCATAACGCAAAGGTATCATCACTCAGACCTTTTTTCTGTATTAGGACACTAAATGTACATCTGCACTTAATTAGGTTAATGAAGACAAGTCACTTGTCAGATAACGAAGGGGCAGTTAATCGTATGAATTGAGGAAATTCAAAAGAACTAAGTTGTTAGAAATAATAGTGATTTACAGATTACAATAACGAAGCACAGCTATTTGATGCTTCAGTGTTTTCGTTTGTCCTTTTTGTTTTTATCGCTGAAGCTCATGAAGTTAAGAGTGAGCTCTTTTTCGCCATAATTTTCCAGATCTGTCAGTAATAGGATTTCTTGGTAGGAAGTGAAACTAATGCAAGCTTACAAACATAAGTCATAGACGTGGTTAACAAGGAAAAGTAACTTCAATATCACTGATTAACTACATCCTGCTCTACCTTTAGGAGACGTAAGGAAACAAAATGTGGTGATCGTCCCACCATCTGAATACTGGTCAGATACGCCACCCTTCCTTCTTTTGTAATGGTAGGCTCTATTACGTTTAATGGCAGAATTCAAAAAATGTTTTTTAGTCCAAGCTCTACTTTTTTACACCTTGTCGCAATACGCTTTCTATACTAACCTTACGTCACAAGCCAGTCAGACAACTTTGTCCTCTGCATGTTGGATTGAATACCCAAGTAGCATATCATACTGCCATTAGGGTAATTAACAATATAAATTGTAAGATATGTGCCCGCTAATACTTAGTTTAGATATGGGAAGGATAGGCTGCTGACGAAAGAAAATGAAAAACAGTGGTGTTTCGAATTCATGAATTAGGGAAATAAATGTTTAATAAACTGTTGATACGTGAACAAGATAGAACTCACGATCATGCATGATGCTTGAGCTCCTTGTAATCTACAGTAGTTGTGCAGTATCTAAAGTTTTTTTCAATTTGTCTATCTACTAGAAGTAAAAACTACAAGTGCTCTGAAAGATAATACGCCAGCTCTTGGGATTATTCCCACTGAGCTACAGGAGAATCAGAGGTGACCTGATTATGGCGTACACCATATTAAACACGCCCAACCATCCCAATGTGAGCATCTTACCGATGCATCACCACCACTCCCCTCGAGGCAATCCTCAAAAGATTGCACATCAAAGAGCAAACACTCAGGTTCGTGCACACTTTTTCTCATTGCGAGTCGTCGCAACTTGGAATGCTCTCCCAGCCGAGGTAGTTACAGCCCCCTCAGTGGACTGCTTTAAGAAGAGACTTGATAATCACATACTCACATGCGGACTATCATCTCCCTCTTGGACAAGCTGTGCCTGATGCATATCTTGAGACCTGCTAGTTGTTACCATTGCCATAAACTCAGATCACTTGATTAATTTAACTCGCCTATTCCTCTCCCTTGCTTACGCTTCGGTCCTCTCTCACAATCTTCACTACCAATTAATAAACTAAATTCATCAGTTCTGAAATTTTACTCATATTATCATTTTAATTTACCCTTATTACCCTTATTACTCTCCACATTGCAACTAACTGATCTCCGGTTTGGTAATGTGACGGCTGCTAGTATCCAGAAACCCTACTGCCCTGAAACAAACGTTTCACTCAAATCCCGAGACATACAAACTCACAACCAACTGCCAACTGACTAGAATTAGACAGTCGAGTGGCTAGACCTCCATCCATTGGACATTACCGAACACCTGGAACCGTACCGAAAGAACAAGAATCGAGCGCGAAGAAATCAAATTGGTTTACACTAGCTCGTGAAAAAGATATTGGATATTGGATATTGGATAATGATGGATATTTAAGTTTTAGAAAAACATCGAATGTTGCCGGGTCGCACTTCAAAGGCGTGACCTACTACTGTTATATGAATCGGGGAATAAGTCTGCCACTTCGCGATACCTATGTGAATGGTAATGAGCATACAATAGGTTCGTGGTCTGTTATTATTTTCTGAGGTTATTTTAAATATTTAGTGGACCATAAAATTGTCTCGAGATATCGTGTGTGTTCAAGAAATTATTGATCAATCTCTTTAAAGTATAAAAACAACATTACTCGTTTCATGAATCTGGTGATTGTGTCACATAAAGGAATAGAAATCACTTATCTGTTCCGGAATAAAAATAACAATAATAAACCTTATCGTGTTAAAAAGAAATTAAAAATAAATGACTTTTTGCGTTTTGCCGTTAGTAGTGGATATGCTCTGCTTCTAAGATTGAGAGCAGTGTCGTGGTTCATAAATAGCTAGTATTTTACGAATGAAAGACCACATAGTATTTTATAGATGAGTATTGGGTTGTTTTTCAACCGAAGGTGCCAGAGAGGTCCCAGGGAAAGTTGTTTATATTTCTGTGTAGTTGAGATTATGGCTCCATCCGAGCAGTCACCGGGTGAAGATTCTTCGGACATTTTCTACGCTTATCTTGTCCATGATATTCATGTGTGTAAAGATAAGTGAGCAATATTCAAGTGAGGGCCTCATACACATTTTGAGGAGTGTAAGATTAGCCTCACTTGTCGAGAAGTTCTTATTTATAAACCCAATTAGTCGTCTGCAAATAAAGAAAATAGTTTAAGGATATCCTTCAAATTTTAGATTTCTGGAGTGACGAATAACCAGTTCACGGGCTGATATGAGTGCATGAACCCTGCAGTTTTGTGAGTAGAGTGGTATTTGATGATGATGCATACGAAAACGCATGATGTGACTTTTCTTGTGGCTGAAAGGTAGCTGCCATGTCAGGATCACTCTGAATCCTGGGTTTATTTCCGTCCAGATCTTCAGGCTCACAGTAATATACTATCTTGTGATAGTCCGCATATAAGTGTGCTCCTCCAAAATTTATTGTTTTACATATATCGTTTACGTAAATCATAAACACGAGTCGACGTAATACACTTCCCTGCATAACTTAACAAGTTACAGGTCTTGGCGATGAAATGTAATCATTGTATTTCACCAATTGTTGCCGTCCATTTTAGAATGAAACAAACCACAAATACAGAGAGTTACTGATCCTAAACGACTTTAGGTTGAGAAGAGGCCTTTTGTGTGTGACCCTATAAAATGCTGCCTTAAAGTCGAAGAATATGACTGGCACAATTAGATCTTTGTCTTGTTTCTGAGTAATATCGTTGATATAGTCTAGTAGACATGTATCGCATTACATGGACCTCAATATACCATGCTGTGAGGTCGGTATGTGAATGTTATTGAGTAGATGCTGTACCATCGCTGCCTTTATTACATCCTCCATCACCCTAGATACCAGTGAGGTAATGCTTACGGGTTGGTAATTTTCAACATTCACTGTAGCCCCAGACTGAATTGTTGGGATGATATGTGTAGTCTTGCAGTTATTAGGATAACACTTTATATAGAGTGATATAGCAAATAGTTTAGGAAGTACAACATACTTCTGTGGTTCATGTTTCCAAAACTATGCTGAGGTCACTATTCTGTAGAGACACCCGCAACATTCTTACTCAGGCGCTGTAAATTTATTTCGACAGTGGCCGTCCCAATTGGTTCCAATAGAAGCACTCCTGTACGCTTTTCCTAGTCCCGGGTCCCAACCAATTCAAAAAAGGACAAAATTCTAGGAGAAAACGTCTCTGTATTAGTTAGAAAATGGAAATACAAAGCCTTACGGAAATTGTACTTCTTCCAGGGAAAAGTTACTCCGCAGAGTATCCGACACAATAACCAATAAGTGACGCTAAGTCCAGCAGCCACTGCGTCCGTCCAAAAATGTGGCGGTAGCCATATTATATCAAATTTAAACAACATATGTACAGTTCAGAAGCAAACACAAAAACTTCAATATAAGTACAAAATATAGAAAGAATAACAATATACAATGATAAAATCTCAAATTGGAATCAAATAAAATACCAAAAATGTCAACAGAAAAAGTCCATCATGTCATAGCAAAAATATGTAAACATGGAGGGATTTTCCAAAAAACAAAACATTCAAAAAGAATTCTACACCGGCCCGCAAAATCCCTCCATGCAAAAAGAGCAAGCGTTAATGACACTTTATTTAGGGTTCCCAGTTATCCCCTAATCCACACCGGAATAACGTGTAGGACTTACAGCAGTACGCCTACCCGCCATCCAACATGGATATGACCTATCGTGTTAACTAGGTACCTATACTTTCCCATCAGGCCCTTGATTCCCCTATCTATCGTGGAATGACCTAACGGTAGTATAAACCTTACCCAATTAACCCACACGAACATGAACAACACATCGTAAAACTGGTCATATCCTATCCGAAGACTACATTCTCTATCATGGGGACGAGTCGCCAATCCACCACCACTTGCTCCGATCAGCAGATACCATGAAGTCCGTGATGCTAACTTATCAACAGAAGTTTTTGACCCATAAATAATATGCGAGGGTGGGATCTCCAATTTTGACATTTCATCGTCTCCAGAAGACTTTAAGTAGCATGACGTGGGATCAATATTTATCTTTCCATCTCCCGATACAGAGGAGGTTTGATCAGTGTTCGTCATCGTCGGTAACTCATTTGTCACATCAGTGACATCCAGTTTATTATCAACGTCATCATGATTCCGTTCTGTCAGACAAGTCGCGTCGATTCGGTGTGCATTAGCATCCGTTTCAGAGACACAAGACTTATGCTCATCAATAGCATCGTCATCACACAACGCTGTAGACTGGCCGTTACCATCAAACACTTTCTTCTCATCATCACTCGACTGACAGTCAACCGGAATATGAACAGTTACAGTTGCACAACCTTGTGCATCTTCAATCAACTTAACATTCGTGACGAGGTCCGATGGCGTCGAAACACTAGGAGGCTCATTCGATGAAGTTGATAAACTAGTCCCTATAAGTGGACTGCTGACACTTTCTATCTCCTTATTATCACTGTCACTACTAAGGTTCTGATGGCTACTATTTCCATGGCTAGTCGTAGCATCCGAAAGAGCATGAGGTTTAGGCTTCTTAGTAATAGTAGCATCATGTCTCCTAGGCTTCTTAGCCGTTACTGTACCACCATCACTTATCCTAGAATCTACTCTAGGTCCAGTTATATAATTTACCCTAACTGAAGGGTTCCGAAAATAAGCTTTATTCCGTTCAGTCAATCCTGCCTGGGCCTTATTCATATTTGCTGAACTCATTAACCTCTGTTTACTCGAATCCAAATAACCGTTCCAGGCTTTTCGAGCAGCTAAGAGGCTTTTATCATCACACACTTCGGATCCATCTTGATGCCTACACTTTTCACCTTTTTCTTTCTTTTCTATACTTAGAAAAGCCATCTTATCTGTTACACCAACCGGCTTCTTACTAGGACACGCATCAAGAGGCTTTACATCGTTACGGTCACATACTCGTCCTTCATCAGGGTATGCTTTCGTGATATAATTGACAAATCTCTTATCTTCCGAGCGTGCTTTAGGTAGAAACGAAAAATCCTCATGTCTCGCACGCAGACCACTAGTAGCTTCCGTATTATTTCCTGTTTTAACCTGATAAGCTAATCTTCCAAACCTACTACTAGCTATCTTAGCACGAGACATAATGAATTCCGTCAATTCATTGAAATTAGGCTCTCTCTCCTCTTCGTCCCACTTGATTACTAGCTCTGCCCACTGAGCTTGCATTCGACGAGGTAAGAGCCTGACTATTCGTTCTAAAGTAACCATGGAATTAAGTTCCGTTGTGCAATTTAGCTGTTCTAAAGTTAAAGCAGCATTCTGCATTTTAATAGCCAAGTTCGTCAATAATTCAGGATCATTAAAATCTGCATTCCCAGTTCTAAATAAATCCTCTAAGGTTTCTCGGGCTATTACATGCGACTGTCCAAAGAGCTGTTTTAAAATGGCCTTAGCTCTCTTATATCCTGCTTGTGGATCCATAATAATACAGCCTTCAATCGCATTTTTTGCTTTTCCCTTACAATAATGAATTAAATACAATAAACGAACTTGTTCGTCTTTTATTCGGGGTTCTATAAACGTTTCAATTTGTCGCATGAACCTAAAATAGTCGCGAGACCTTCCATCAAAAAATGAGAGTTCAACCTTAGGTAGTTCTAAACCCTCTATCGATGACTTACAATAATAAATATCAGACATAACATGTGGGTTACCCATAAAAAAGTTATCATTAACGACTTGCCTAGAGCCCTGTGATCCGTCGAGCTCTTCCACCGTCCTCATGTGTGATTTTTTTCTGTTTGACATCATAAGTGAAGTTCAATAAAAAAGGTAACAATACAAAATATAGTAATTCCACAGTTCAGTTCAAAAATACGATAAATAATCCAACTTCTTCCTCCAAGGAAGTCTAGTGTGATAAACGATTAAAATTCCAAATGTTTCTTTATAATTCTTAATAATCCGAATAGTTCCAAAATATACACGTTCAGATGAATATTTCCAAAGTATAATCCTTTATAGAATAATTTCCAGACTGTAAATTTATTTCGACAGTGGCCGTCCCAATTGGTTCCAATAGAAGCACTCCTGTACGCTTTTCCTAGTCCCGGGTCCCAACCAATTCAAAAAAGGACAAAATTCTAGGAGAAAACGTCTCTGTATTAGTTAGAAAATGGAAATACAAAGCCTTACGGAAATTGTGCTTCTTCCAGGGCAAATTTACTCCGCAGAGTATCCGACACAATAACCAATAAGTGACGCTAAGTCCAGCGGCCACTGCGTCCGTCCAAAAATGTGGCGGTAGCCATATTATTTCAAATTTACACAACATATGTACAGTTCAGAAGCAAACACAAAAACTTCAATATAAGTGCAAAATATAGAAAGAATAACAATATACAATGATAAAATCTCAAATTGGAATGAAATAAAATACCAAAAATGTCAACAGAAAAAGTCCATCATGTCATAGCAAAAATATGTAAACATGGAGGGATTTTCCAAAAAAAAAAACATTCAAAAAGAATTCTACAGGCGCTTACAGTATGACTTAGAGGTTGGCATTCAATAATAATAAAAAAAACAGTTATACAGTGCGAGATTTTATTCATCAAATTTTTATTTTTACAAACTCTACTCTTTCAACTAGAATTTCGATTTCAACGTACATAAATCCAGCTTCTTAATTTGACTGCTCTTCTATCCACCTGACACTGCACAACTCTCCCTTCTTTTTGCTGTACTCCTTTATCTGTGTGTTATATTCTTATATTCCCATAATTTACTTTAATTTAAGTGGTCAGTATGAATTTTATCTTGACTTACTACTGCATTGACTACTTCAACATGATAGGTTAATTAGTGCTTTGGTTATATATATACACTTGCCACACTGCTGCCTTTCTCTCTCTCTTCTCCTTTTCAGAACACCATTCACGGTGGGAAATCCTTGGCGACTCTAGGGAACATGCACCCTATGTACATGACTGTCTGGATCACAGCTCGTATCAAGCGCGTTCCATATGACCTTTCCCAACAAATTCACTATTGATCTCGGCAAATCGCCAAAAGAACCTATTGTGCACCTTCCTTACTTGTACTCTACTATTGAAAATGTGGCTGTATTATATTGTGTCTGTCAGTGACATGGTGTAAATATGCAATCAGAAACTGACTCTTATACTTAATTTAACTGCTATAACTTTACAATAATTGTGAAAGCATTTGTGACAATTCCGATCTAGCCTGTAAACTGGCGTGACTGTTGTAACGTAGTTATTTTAGAATAAATATATGTTATATTATTATACGGATCGTTGCTCCTTCAGTGTAGCAGTGTTTTGGTGTGCTAATCGCCTTATAACTGTTTTGTTCACTGAAGTCTGAAATGACGATTCCACAGCACGGCATTGAGATCAGCTGAGATTTATTTATTGGGTTTCCGTTTGTTAATGAATCACAAAAAGTTTTGCTGAACAGCTCTGCGATACATTTAGGGTCTTCATACACTTGGTTGTCCTTAATAAATGCGCACCGTCCTTTCACTTAAGAACATTTTAGTTTATTTCGAAGGATTTTAATAGGTGCAGAAGATTCACTACTCAGCTCTACAACACGTTTCAGCTGAGCGATTGTCTTTTTCTACTCATTATCTCTGCCTCGACAAACCTTTCTGTCACCGTAACTAATCAGTGGAAGTATTTAAATTTATGAAGTCTGGAAGTATATCTTCGGAAACGCTTTTGCAAATTTAAGTCCTTAGAAAATGTGGGTCTTCAGGATCTTAAAGGTGCTAACTTATTGAAAATGTTTTTTGTGTTGAGATAAAATATATTTATTAATTCGTCGGTATTGTTTAAAGTAAAGAAGGTAGTCCAGTCAATGTTTCGGAGGTTATTTCGTACGTTAGTCCAATAACTCTTACTATTGTCCCTGAGAAGTGCAGTGGCTTTGTGTTTTGTAGTTGTGGCCTTTATATTGAGTCAATATGATATTATTATTGCTCTCCGGGAACGTTTTTCCAACACATACAGTATCAGGAATGAGGTTACTGAAGAAAACTAAATCCAATATATTGCGGTGTCTGGTTGGGCCGACAACATATTGAGTCCACTGTCCAAGATCGAAGCATTCAATAAATGGTTCAAATAGTTTAGGTGTTTTGACTAGGAACCAAGAGATTTCAGGCATGTTGAAGTCCCCGCAAACCGTCTTGCATGGTACGGTAAGGACGTAAATAATTTAATGAAGCATCCTGTGAGGGCTGTTAGTCCAAGGGAAAGGGTTAGAACGTTGCCTGTCTGAGATTGTGTGAGGCGTTCGATTTTATTATCTGCATGTAGCGTGAAATGACTTGAGCCAAGTGTAGCACCAGAGGTATCACAAGTCGCTTTATATTAAAAAATTTAAATAAGCTGGCAATGCAGTGTGTCATTGTTTTCAGTATAGTACTGATGGATATATCGAGTTTTTATTCTGAGGGTTTTAGCAATTGGAATCCTAAGCAATAAAGGTAGAGTGTGGGGTGAGGTATTTTTTACTGCCACATTCACTAATAACCATAGGGTTTGGAGGTTTCGCGGTGTTCTTAGCGTTTTAATAATTATTATTTGTGTGCATGATTAGATGTTGGTCGGACTTGTTCTTATTATTCTCAGTCTTAAAACTCAGAGTGGCTAGGGGTTCATGACATGACATTAGAGAGGTGAATCTGTTCATCGTATTTGGGGGTTGCGGGTAAGCTGGTTAGAATCATATCCGTTTTTTAGTTAAGACCCATGATTTAGTTCGTTCACTCCTCCTAGTTAAGGTTAGACAGTGTTTTCATGCTTTAAACGTGTAGTATGACTAATTTAAAATTCTTTCAGGTCCTCTCGTGTAATATATCTGGAGGGGCATAGTCTTTATTTGATTACTTTCAACTGGAATTGGGTTGTTTTGTACGCATTCAAGCAATTTAACGTTCCAGCAGCCTGAATTAGAAATGCAGGTGTGGTTTGATTTCTCAGCTAGAGTCGGGATTCATACTTTAATTAAAAATCTGCAGTCCATAGACTCATCCTTACGACATTAAGAGTTGTCATTAGTAGATTGTCTGTTGGGACAGTGTCACACGATCTTGTTGCTTCTCGTCTTTTTATACGAATTTGACGGGGCTTTCAATCTAGACTAACTTTTATATCTTCAAACGGGGTTGATGAGCTGATACTTTTCGCCACGTTACAACAACTAGATGTGAACAAAAGCGCACTTGTTTACTAATCAGATTTTTTCTGAGGTGTATGATTAGACAACTGATGTTTGCCATAGCATCCGCTTGAAGACAGGTATCGCTTAGCTTAGTTGAGGATGTGCGGTCAGAGAGATTATATGCAATCGCATAGTAAGAGGACATTAACATTTTCGTAAATTCTTCGGCTACAAATTCAAGGTTGTTTTCAGTTTTAGTTAGTTCTTCGAGGTTTTTATCATTATTCGCGGCCCATATATGATTCAGGGGTGCTAATTGGTTAAGCTTACCGTTAATTTGGTCAAGTGAGTTTTGTAACTGCTGTATACGGCTGCTGTGGTGATTACTATTGTGACTGGTGTCCGATGGACCATTCGATGGCTTGGTTTGTGAGCTTTTAGATTTCCACTTGACAAGATTATACTGGGGTATATTCTGTGCTGACATTTTAGTATACATTGGTGTTGTACTACTTATATCTACGAGTTTCACTATTGATTTACTAAGTAACGAGTTGTCATACAGATTACTGGAAAAAAATACTGGAATTTGTGAGTCAGTGGTACATAATGCACAAGATGATGATGTGCATCCTGCAATTATAGATTCATCAGGCATTGGGCTTACCGATTTCGACATTATAAGTGGTTTAGAAGTTGGGGATATTTCTCTCTTATTCGAGTTATTGGTCATAATTAGAAACTGAGTGTGATAAGTACTTGTCTCATTAACGCAAATATATAACAGTTAAACCTGTGTATTAACTGGGTTAACACTAAAATCATTGGAGGTAGGGAAAGATTTTGTGGATAAGGTGTTTTCTTATTAAGTGTAGGAATTACTGTCAGCTGACTGGTAGATTTAAGCTAATGTATTCGGAAGTTAAGAACGCTATATGAGTGTTGTGGGCCTATATAATGTATTTCGGAATGCCAGTATGCGACAAGCTTGTATTAACTGGTTGAAAACTTAGGTTTGCTTTTAATCAACAAAGTGCACCCGATATAATACATAACTGGATCAAATCAGTATATTACCCTACAAATGAGAAATTTCCAAAGTAAACTATACCGCGTGAAAAAATGTTATTACTTTTACAGTTAGCGCTAATCTGGTACAAAAGACAAACTATGAACAACATAATTACTAATGTTTTTCTCGTGATTTCGACTAGTTACAATCCTTCGAAATGAAATAAATGTGATCCAGCGTCTTGCGAAAAAATAATGATGTATACTTCAAATGCACGGCAGTTAGCTGAATTGAGCAAGTAGATGCAGGAATATTTAATCATATTATGTGTGCGTTAATAAATTCAGCGGTGGCTTGGGGCAATAATTACAAGATATGAGTTTCTTTGTTGTGAACAGAGTTAATTTCTTTTAATTTTCAGTCATTAACAGCTTAATGCTTCGGGTTTTCACTTTCCAGTAGACTTGCTAATCAAGCTTTTCGTGAAAAGAATGTCTACTAGGGATTCGAAATGAGGTCGTCGGTACTGGAATAATCACGTCCAACACATTTCCGATTAGTTTTATAAGAGAAGGTCACAGGTGACCATTAAGTTTGACTTGGCGATAATGATGAAAAAATAGAAAAAAAATATGTTGGACAAACATCGGTATGGGTAATGGTTAACGTTTGTCAAAGCTTGTTCATTTGTGATGGAAGAACAAATTTGTGACAAACTAGTTAGAGACTTGAATTGAACCTTTATCACCAGGACAACAGTCACTTAATATTTTCACATGAATTGAGGCTTGGAGCAGTAAAGTGTGGCGAAATGATTTGTCGTAAACAGATACGAAATTTAAATGACCCTGCAAAGCTGATAGGAGTAACCTAGTCAGGTATTTAATGCGACAGCGAATACAATCAGTACGAAAGTCAAATTGTCCTAACACTAATTATTTTAGGGGGATACTTACTGCCACATAGTATTGAATTTGAAAAATGACCCCAGTAATATGCGACTCAAGATGTTAGGCAGTCTGATGAACATTAGCTAGGAATTTCAAGGAAAATTTCACAACTCACCCTGGACTGGGGAAGAAAGAGACAACTTGATGCAATATCACCTTTATCCACACCAAATTTAGCGAGGGAATTTTCCTTAAATTTTCACAAAACTCATATTTATTTTGTCTCAATGTAAATGCAATCTAGTGGCCTATCATCCACGGGATGCTACGAGTTACCTGAATATTGGAAAAATTTATCAGCTTTAGTTTTATTAAAAATACTTCAGACAGGAGTCAGATATCCAAAAAACATGTTTTGGGGAAATAGATACCGAATGAACAATCATGTAATTATTTGTTAAAGAGTGAAGTTTAAATGCTTGCCGTATGCATTTGTTTTTTTTGTGTTATGGTATCTAGGGCTAAGTTCGTTCACGCGCATGGTATAATTTCGTCAAAATGGATAGAGACGAAGATGCTTTAAGAGGACAAGAGGATGGGTTGAAAGAAGATATATTGGCTTTAAAAGCCCAGATTGAAGAAAGTGAATTGATTCACGGAATTCCGTCGAAAGGAATGAGGTTTGTCAAGTTGGTCACATAAATTAATACTACTAAAGTTCAATATACGTACCAAAGGATCCAGAACACTTTAATCGTGAACGCAAACGTGCTTTACAGAGAACTATGCAGGTTCTTGAACCTCAGTCTATTATTATTCAAGCGGACCTAATGGAAAAAGAATTAGATGCCTCATCAAGGCGTGAGTACACTGAGAAATCACTACCGATTCTTTTGCATCAAGTATATTGATAATATATTTCACTGTTTTAGCATTTTATAGATAGAATGTACCAGATAGTTATTCTTAAACATTCTCATCTTCTTAGATGGAAGCGTTATTGTTTCTCATCTTCAGCATTTGAATCCATGTGTCCAGAGTACCTGGATAGATTACAGTAAGTATATTAAATTGTAATGTGTTTTGAAATCCTGCAGACAGCTTACAAAAGAATATTTAGATGCCAGCTCTAGAGCGCGCAGACTTGCTTCAGCTGCTGAGGGGTTGTTGGCCGGCTCGGACTGTGCGACCGATGATGTGACAGTAGATGATTACCATATCTACTTGAGACATTTGATATACCACTTACGTTCCCTTTCCTACGTTAATCAAATATTAAATGTAAGAATTTCTAAAACATCGCATCTCACCTCTAGATAATCAAATGGTTTCCATATCATTACAGAGACAAACTAAAAGAAAACCTGAATGTAAGAACCGACTATTAGTAACTTGATTTTTCGTAATTTTTTTCAGTGGTACAGTTAAGACAGATTTTAAAGCAAAGGGTTGATACAATTTCAAGCTGTCTCTTAAAGATTTGGCTGGGACTTTCGAATAAAATTCATTTCTATGCGTCAGTCATTTTGTGATAGTGAAGGGTTGTTTAAAAGTTCCGAACTGTTATCTTCAGAGAAATTAAAATCCATCTTGTCTATTTAGGTCATTCTATTTGGCCCTGTTTTAACATACCAGTTTAGACTGCTGTACAGATTTAAAATATTTTTTGATATTTTTAGGAGAGGTAGTTACAACTGTTTAGATGGCGTGAAAGTTTCAACACCTGCCAATTCTAATGCCTTATCTGCTTTCCTTTCAGGATAGTTGATCTATAGAGAGCGGGAAATCGTCTAGAAGGTTTGGTAAGATAGTCTCAGTATAAGCAGCAATGTTCAAAATATAGAGAAAATTTTTGTTCAAGAAAGTTGTGGTACAGTTTGGTAGAAAAGAATCTATCTACAAACTTTTATTCTGTTAGATTTTAAAGTCAATGCTCAGGAATTTGTTGGTGACAAAGTTCTTCAACGCCAGTGAGATTTATTACAGTATCATCTATCAGAGAGATAAAAGTCTTGCGTAAATGTTATGAGATATGGCAATTATTTTTCATGGAGATATGCAGTTAAATCAAAAGATCAAAATACTTTAACGACTGATAAAATCACTAGCCAACCTATCTTGTATACTAGTAAATTTGAGGATAATTAAATATATAATATGATTAAGTCAGGTGGGTCTTATAAAACTTAGAAGCGTTAATCGTACGTGTTGAGCAATGTTTTAAACAGCTGCAAAGCTGAAAATAATCAGAATCTGAAATTCTTAAGACCATAGAAAAGTAAAAAGGCAAATTATTTATTGTATTCATAGTCAAGTTATGCCAATAATGAAAAAAGCAAACAAAAAATCTGTTCGACTTAATATTTAGATAGAATCTCATGAAGAGATTTTCAAACTTTCTTCATTGCGTGTATAATAAACAAAAGATATTAGTTTAGAAAGCTTTCGGTGAAATGAATGTTCCATTCAGAAATGTTTTTCAATCTCATGGGTTGATTAGCATTTTGTTCTTAATTCAGAAAATTAAATTTTTAGTAGCTCTGTAATCAGAAAGAATACTTACTTAGTGTTGTGACGCATAAACATATGATGATTAATAAAAATTATAGTACAATCATAATACAAATAAAATCTGATTTACATTCTCGGACAGAACTGTAGTTGCAATTTTATGGGACAATTTATTGTTTCCTTATAATTTTGCTTTGTGGATTATTAATAACTTTATCCAAAGACGTTGCACCAGCCTTTTCAGGGAATTGCTGCAGAGAATCCTTTGGTATGAAAACATAACGGTCTGAACAGTCAATATGTCACTATTTAAGAGATTTAAATAGCTCGCTAAAATTTATCAGCGATTCTAATTGCCTATGTTAAACCGACTGGCATAAAAGTTTTTACTTGATTCAGTTTATATTTCAACTAAAATTGTGAAGTGAATAATTAGAATAAATGTAAACATTATTTACCACCTATTGTGCTATACTACTTCTGAGTTCAGTTGTGGGGCATGAAAACAACTGGTTGATGAAATAATTTCTTTATAGTGAGACTAGAATTTACTATGCAACAAGACGATCTTTTTCAAGAATTTATCCATATTCTTATAACTCTAAAAACTATAATTTATATTAAATGCAAATAATTAAAAAATCCATTACATGTTTTATTTAGAAAGAAAACAGTGCTATAAAGAGAGATAATTTATTAGATAAACAGAATTCCCATGAGTATAAGGTCTCGACTGGAACAGGATCAATTCAAGAAATTCGTAGTCCATTCAGTAATTCCAGTGGCAATAGAATTCAGAAAAGCGATTTACGTACAGCTGATGATGACAGAACAAATGAACAAACTGGAAACTCATCTACAAACCAGGCTGATAGTAAACAGGGAGTAAACGATCAAATCATGACCACTGTGTTGAAAGAAACCACAAATGAAAATATAAGTACAAAATCAGTCAGTTTTAAACCTGAAATGGAAAGAACAAGTGTCATACACAATGAGGTAATTTCCGGAACCGTTTCTGAACAAACACGTCAACAATCAAGAAAGATAAATGGAATAACTACAAATAAAAATGACCCGTTGTTATCAGCAACAACTGATGTCTTAAACGGAAAAATGTCTGTTTTACCACTGCTTACAAGTGATCTGGAAATATTACGACCACATTTGGTGTTATTGTGTCAAACATATAATATTCAGATAGTAGGTATTTTTCTACTGAATATATAAGTTTGTTTAGCATGGATGAAGACTCTTAATTTTGATAACTTATTCCTTTTTATGCGCTTAAAATATTCATAGATAAAAACTAATAAAAATTTTGCATTTTATAGATTTATGTACAAGACAATCATACCATCAGTTAAGAGATTCATCAAAAATCGATTTTGATAATATGGAGAAATGTTTAAAAGACGGAAGTTAGTTGCCGCTAAAAGTCAGATTTACTGAAACAGATTTCTCGAACCTTTATCTTCCTCCAAATTTTAAAATTTACGTTTCACTAGATATCATAATTCATTTTCACTTGGCTTTAAACCCTGCTTCATTTCGTTCTCCATTAGTCAATATTTGTATTTTTACACAGCAGGCAATGATATAATGGTCTTCGGACTGTTTTTATGTCTACACAGTAGCACAGAATCGGGTACAATATATTTACTACTGTTGTTGCGTAATGCTGTCATACCTGTTAGAAAATAGTGATGCCCCTCCTGTTAGTTAATTGCTCTGATTATTTGATGGGAAAGCTTAGCTACTAAATAGTAAAACATTTTATATTTGTCTAGTGTAATCAGATAGTTTTGAACAGACTGAAATGTAGCCACCAGTTTGAGTGACTCTGAACCTATGACAAATATTAATTACGTGGTAAGTTAACTAATTTTATTTGATAGTTTAGTCAAAGAGGTAATCTCGCAGTATTAAATACATTCAGAAGTATTTAGAGAACAAACAAGTAACACTGATAAATCTTTAGTGTTCTTTTCATTAAGATCAACTGTTACTGTATGAAGTGATAAATAAGTTAACACAATTTTTTAAGCATAGAAGGTATTTTCAGTGTTAAAAGGGTAAAACCTTTAATTATAGCTAGCTAAGAACTAAAATCATGATGTCATCATTTTTTATTCACTCCACTTCGTTTTATACTCTTTTGATGTCATAAGTTGGTAAATGAATTTTAGGGAATTATGTTTATATTTGATGTATACTGTTTACTAATCGGTTGTTTTATTACTTAGGACATTGATTCTATACATTCAACAGCGGATGAAATGGAATTATTTGCCGTAATCAATCGTAAATTTAAACATATTTTCAATCATCAAAATGAAATGTACGATTTTAGGACGTATGATCACACAAAAGTAATAATTCCATATTTTGGTAATCACTCTATTTTGTTATATGTTGATACATTTGATAAATGTTTTCAGTGAAAGTATATAACAGGAAGATATAACCAGTTAACTGTTGGGACATTGTCGTCGTCGTTGAGGATATGATTGATTATTTTACAAGGATTATAGCTGTAGTCGGGTCAACTGGTGTAAAAATTTATGTTGAGATATTGAGCTAAGCCAATGTGATTTATGTTTTACTTATTGTATATGACGCATCTACGTGATATATCTTGAACAAAACTGACATACATTTTGCCGCGAACACTGTTTAAAAACACTAACGTGATAAAGTTGACTGATTCATAATATGATAATAGTCAAGACTGATCTTAACCAATAAGTCACATAAGCCTTATTAAAAAGTGTAAGGAAATAGACCAGTTTAATGGGCTAAATATAATACTTCTTCATTTAAACAGCTCACAAATACTTCGAAATTGCTGACCAAAGTATTACATTTTAGGTTAAGCTAATGTTGACCATATGTAGTGCATTTAATTTATTACAGGAATGTATATGGAAGTTCATACCTTTTGAATCAATAGTTGTATCCAACCGATGTAAACCCTAAAACTATAGACTTTTACGATAAAGAATATCACCATATTTGATATAACAGACTCTTTAATGTACACTAATGATTGAATGGTGAACCGGAATTTGCCCTACTTAGACAAGTTAAAAGCTTTCTCTTTGATTATTCTAGCATTCAAAATCAATGTGCACTTCTGACATATATGTATGAATCGCAAATTTTTCATATTGTTGAAACAAGGTACAAAGCTCCAGGATCTCATCTCAAATTCAACTGAAAATTGCAAGGGGCAGATTGTACAGAGAGTTCTTTGCATACATTTTAGTTGAGATCAGTTTCCGAGACCAAAACACCATCTGCCATGCACTCAATCATGTGAAGCTGACTTGAACAATTAACATGGAGGATAACTATTAAAGCTCTATGAGTCGGTTAGAATGGAAAAGTATGACCAGTGAAAATGTTTATTTTGCTCCCTATTCATGTAAGCAAGGAAACTCCAACTCCACAGTTCATTCATAAGATTTGGCAGTGGTGAGTTCCAGTCTACCATTATATTGATGCGACACCGGGTAGTGACACTTTTGTAAAAAGTCTTTCTTAGAAGCTGGTTCATTGTTAAGAAAATGTATTGCTCAAAATACTAAAAACCATTACTGGTTCATTTGATTTCTGTAATTTTTACAATGATTTATAGGCTGTTAGTGATAGTTGGGGATTGGATACATGGGTGCATGCTATGAAAAAGCCTAGCAATTGGGTGCAGTTTGTAAAACTGAAACCGAAACGAGATAAATATTTAGTAGAAGCTATGACGGAACTCAAATGCAATACAACGATAGACGATCTCTTGTTGACAGCCTCAAAATTTTTACATGTCAGATCGTCAGAAGTAAGTTATCGACAAAATACACTATAATTTGGAATGATAATTAATTTAAATATGACCACTGTCATGCCTCGTCTCAATTCACTTAAGGGACGTAAAATGTCTTTTTGTCAGCTTAAAGAATCTGATTAGTCTGTATGGTTGGATGGTATTATGAATTCTTTTATGGTGACAAGTGAGTTAAAAGTGTGAAGAGAGAGTGAATATTGCTGGTGTTATTGTCATGCGTACTGATACATAAATATCCCAAGTAATGTAATGTTCATAGGTAGCATTTCTAGTATGCGTTTCCATGATATATATATATATATATATATATTTAAGAGAACAAATATGTTATATAAACTAAAAGAAAGATGAACAGGAGAGATTCAACTAGTTCACTGATACATTTTCAATAAAACGCTTAGAGTATAGGAACACGCTAAATGACTACCTGCAATCCTACAACCTGTTGGGAATAAGATCAACAAATAGATAACCCTAGTCTCTTCCAACTTTTAAATCTATTAATAATGTCAATATAACCATAATGGAACTGATATCACTCGACGTGGCTTCACTTTTCACCAATGTGCGTTTAACGGAGACTATCTACTTTGTATGTGACTATAACCTCGAATTACTCCTACAATATACTTTAAACATTTAGTTTAGATTTATTGAGTTCTAAGGATTAAATGTTGGCTCCACCATAGGTTCAACACTCGGCCTTCTTGTTCATCGTCTCTTGACCAAGCTTGAGAACGCGGTGCTTAAACCGACGATTGGTGATTGTCACTCAAATAAAAGGTATATGGAAACAGGGAACTCAATCTCATCTTGGATAAGTTCAATCAATGGTTACCAACAGTCTGTCACGTTTACATGGGGACAAGAATCGAATTCGAAATTGCATTTCCGCCTTACTCCATAAAAATGAAGATAGGGTGATGCACTATAAAGTCCCATTTATAGAAAATCAACTTCGAATGAACTACATGAATCTCCATAACCGAGTCCCTTTTAAACAGGGAAAAAATCTAATTCAGTCTCTATTATCAAGGGTTAGGCCAATTTAATCAGAAGATACCATGAAAAACGAACTGTCCCACCTCCGACAAATATTCCTAAAAAACAGTTATCCGTATGTGCTTGTTGAGTGTAACACGAAGCCTAAATTAAAATTTACAAAACTTCATGCAGTTCTTCAGAAAATTCTCTTCAGGAATAGTGGGTTAAAGGGGGATACTGCCACAAACATATTGAAAAATCATTTGACAAAATCCTTGCAGAAACCTTCTTACACCCACAAACTTTGCTTCTCCCTCTCCCCTTTAACATCCGTGGTTGTCTCTGGGACAGATTCTCTCATTGAGCCACATCGATGTGTAATTAACAATTCACTTGGTTCTACATTGGTCACCCAAAGTGAGTGCTTCCCGAACTTATCTCTGGAAACTATCCAGCGTGGCTTTTGAGAGGTGGACATAAGTCAATCAAAAGTCCAAGGTCAGAACATTTTGTGAACTCTGATCACGTGTCCTTAACTGAAAATTCATTTAAAATCGATTACACAGTCAGACGATTTAGTTCGACAAGAGCAAAAGTGACTAAAGTATGCATTACAAAGGCATTAGAAGTGCATTATTTGAAACCTGATCTCTATAGAAAATGCACATACACGCTATCATTCTTTCGTGACCTTAATACTTAATTTTCGCTAACGGTAATTGGTTTTATTACATTCTTCAAACGTTTTTAATATTATTTATTTTAATGACTGGTTATTATCCTCTTCATATTTCTAATTTACTCTTCACCTTTTTTAATACTCTTCACGTGTACAATTATCCTTTGCATATTTGATTTGATTCTGTTATCTAATTTCAATTCTCAGTTATTCAGCGACTTTCTTTGAGACATGCATATGAAATAATTTTCCGTCTTTCTTTCAATAGACTATTTTATTTGAAAATTAACCATAAATACAATTTTAGAATTTGACCAAATGATATCGTCGAAAAGAATGTTATTTTCATTTATTATTCAAATATTTTAAATTTCTTCACTTACCTTCTTTAAAATAATTGATGCTTATTCTTTCTTGATTTAATTAGAGTGTGCAAGATGCATTACGTCATCACGTGACAGTTGTTCAACATCCACCTAAAATACAAACAGCATCAGTTGTATCGCATAAAGCTGGTCAAAATACTGCTGAAATATTTAAGAGGATTTATACAGTTCCTGAACTATGTTCAAAGTAGGTTAATATCACTTCAAAAAATATCATAATCATTCAAATTTAAGTACAACATTGAGTCTCAAGAAATTCTAATATATGAAAATATGGTTTTGAAGTGATAGTCAGTTAGCTTATAGTTCACTGGAAATTAATACAAACATTTATTGAAAACGTGATAACGAGTAAAGGATTGGTAACTATGAGACCATTTTTTAATTAATCCAAAAATCACTGCTACACATTAATATATATTTGACTAGAAGGTGGGTATCGGGGAATCTTCTTACAAAGTGAATCTACGTTAGGCAATATGTCAATTGCTACTATTATGCAAAGAATAAAATTTAAAATCAATGATGGTTCCGAGCTAACCCGATGAGAAATAACTAAACAGCATAGTTTTCAGAGTTTAATGGAAGATATAAAATGAATGTATTCAATTTATTATTGTAATATTCTTTAAGCTGTACTAACTTGAATTGACATAATTAAATATAAAATAAATTCAAACGAGTAAAAATGGATTCTCATACATTATTCTTAAGAAGCTGCCAATATCTCCGAAAATTCATCGGTATTTTCTGTTATGATATTTCTAGTTGATCAACAAACTACAATTATTTTCGGATCACTGTCATAACTGATACTTGGTTTACGTGAAATGATTTAGCTTCTGTGGCTGTAACACATGACTGAAACAAAAATTGTGAATTATATAAAAGTTGTTTTATACTAAGCTAAATATATATATATATATATATATATATATATATATATCGATCAGGGTGACTACTTAAAACTAAATCTACGTTAGTAATAAAAAATATTTGAACTGATTATAAAACAAGTTTATAAATGATGCAGGTTAAATTATTGCTCAATTTCATAATTTTAAGTTAACCTCCTTCAAATAATTGTCAACAGGTTTTGGCTAGATTGTCGTATTCATAAAAAAAAATTTTTAAAGCTGTGATGTTACATAAAATCAGAACAAGATCAGATCATAAACAATTTTTTAATTTATTTAGAATTTCAATTAGAATGCTTCAGCCTTTAACTGCATTCGAGTGATATGTTTTTGGAAAAAGCTTTACTCTATGATCAACATTCCATAAGCGGTTCTCAACCTTTGGTTGCTCGAAATAATAGTTATTAGATTCTATATTTCTTACTTTTTATTTAAAGAAAATTTTACGAAGAATAATGAAATCTAATAATGCTGTATTAGTATTATAATGATAATGATTAATTCTATTTTAAAGCAACACGCATCTTTCCTGTCGGTAGTAAGGATTGTCAACGAAAATATACTATTCTGTCCAAAACGTATTGCGAATTCAATATCTCTATCTTTATCTGTTTATGTTAATTGACAATTGAATAAACATGTTATGTGTTACTACTTTATTTAAGTTCTGTTGGATCCGATGAAGGTGGGAAAATCAGATGTGAGGATTATGATTTTATTCAAGCTATGCAAATGTTGGGATTAGATGATGATGCAAGTGGATCGAATGATTCAGCTGGCGTACAAGGTGCTTATTTATCTTTTTTACATTTAAGACACTTGAAATTAAGAGATTTAATGCGAACAGTAAGTAAATATTTCATTGTACTTATTTTTTTTTTAAATATTATATGCTTATCTTTTGACGAGTGTAGCAAACTGCGAAAAATGTAGTTCAATTGCGTATATATATTAATTTAACTGTTTAGGTTGGTATTCATCCTTAATTTACAGATCCATTTAAAAATCTGACCGAAATTGTTAGTACTAAAAAAAAATAATCGTTATTTTAAATTGCTATAATTTACTGAGCACTTACGTGTTATTGTTTTGTTGTTTATATAACTAAGTGACTTGGTTTCTTGTATTCATTTTCTAATATAGATATGAAAGAGAAAATGTTTTTAGCTTTAAATTATTATCTTGTAAACAAATAGGTGAACTTGCATTATTTGATTATGCTGTATAAATAGACTTTGCATGCCTTGTTCAAATCGTGTACACATGAAGAGAAAATCAGAAAACACAAAAGATTGTACATGTTCGATCTTTTTGCCCCAGTAAGTTGACGGGTATCGTATCCGTGCACTACACTTACAGTTAGTCATCATAGCCGTCAATAAAAACGCATTGTTGATTTAAGATGTTTTCTGTGTTTTGTTATGTATGTTATAAACTCCAAAACAACTCACTTCTTTCTTCAAAGTTATCTCAAAAAAAAACATTAAAAACAGTAGCTTTATTTTGCATATTCACTGATCGAATCATGTGTGAATTTCACTAATTATACAATAATCCGAATACATTTTGCATCATTCACTTATAAATTTTAATAGCTACTGCGTTATCTTATATGAACTAGTGAAGAATGGGGGCATAAAGAATAATCTTGAATGTGTATAACTATTGATTTGAACTTTTCTAACTTATTGTCTGAAAAAAAAGAATTTTAAACAATAAAATTGCATGTCAGTTGAAATGAACTCAGTTTTTGTTTATTGTGTATTATGAAAACGGATCATGGTTGTTCTTGACTTTTAATATATTTCATCTTAATAAATAATTTTTTTTGTTTTCTTTTTGTCAGTGTTTATCTGTTTTAAATTATTTTCGATCCATTGAAAGAACATTAACAATTAATGATCAAGGTTTATCAATGAATGTAAAAGGTGGAGAACGCACGTAAGTGAAGACTTTTCTGTTTTTTTTTCCGGATTTTCAGAAACAACCCCATTGTGATTGAAACTTTGTTTAAAATAAATATTATTAAATATTGAATTTAAAACCTTAATTTATGCAATAAATATATTTAGAAAAGTGTGCATTTAAAAGTAAACATTTCTTATTATATAGCAACACCTTGCACCGATAATTTCATTATTCAGCTGCCTTCGTATATTCCATTACGAATGAACATTGTTTCATGAATAGACTACATAGTAAAAACAGAATTCAATGCAACAAAGAAGTAAAAGCAAATAATAAATCTGGTCGATAAAAAATATTCATCTCCCAAAATATAAAATGTTCACGTTCATCTATGACACAAAGATAATTAATGAGAAAATCAAAATCAAATATTTCACACTACTACTACCATCCATCATCCAAGTTATATAAAAAAACTCTTTGTCTAAACCACTACAACTAAAATCAAGACTTTTTCTCTTCATAAACAATTCAGCGTCAACTGATAGATAATTTTAAAGTATGCTATTATGCATCAAAGATAATTGAGTTAATTGAATGTGTTACGTTTTATTGAATTGAAGAGAAAGCAGTAAAATTTAATGAATTTATGTTATTCTCAAATAGTAAAGTTTTTATTGATATTTTCTTTCATTATTTAACACTTTAACAGAGTTACAAAGCATTTATAATTTAAACATCAAGTAAGAAATTTTAGAAGATTCGAAATAATTTACATGAAACTAAAAATAGTATGAAAGAAAATTGCCAAGGAATTATTATTTAGCAAATATATATTTAAAACCACTTACTATGTTCATTTCGTGATTAGCATGGTAGAAGGTTGAAATCAGCAGTCAGTCAGTCTATCAGCTAAAACAGTGAACTTGATACATTCTTAAGGTAGTTTAAGTTGTAATACTGTATTAGCCCAGAGAGAAAGAACTGTCATTCACATCACATAATAGTTGACATTGTAGATTTATTAGCATTAATAGAAAAGACTCAGTATCGATTATATGATTTGAGAAAATTTAAATCAGGAAAATGACGATTTTGGACGATTGAAATTTGATAGAAAACACGAAATTGATGAATCTGTGCGATTGTAAATGATTCTGAGCCGTCACTTAAAGCCTTTAACCACCAGTTACGGTAGTCTTGCCGACCCCAGTCAAGTAGCCTATACCTACTCCTACATCAGACAACATCACCTATCGAGGTAGTCGGTGGTTGGGTATAAGTAACACATGCCCCAACCACCTCGACTGATGAGGATCCGTTATTTCATCAATGGATTTGCCATCTTTACCTAGTACCCTTTTCTTAACCCCAGCATTGCTTACTGCATAGACCCGGGATATACGATCAGTGCTTCGAAGACACTTGTGATCGAGTACTAGTAACTTTCTAATATCCTGCATGCTTATTGGCCATGTTTTGCACCCATAAATTAGGGTGGAGCGAACTGCTACTCAATAAACTAGTGCTTTGCTTAGCGGACAGATATCTCGCCTACACCATAAGTGACGCAAGTTGGCAAATGCCAACCGAATATTCTGTATCCGTGCCGAGATTTCGTCATACACCAGGCCATCAGCAATGATGAGACTTCCTAGATGAGTAAGGCGGTCAACACGCTAAAGTGCTTCACTCCCTATCACTAGTTCGGGTGCTGCTGAAACTCAATCCTGAAGCAACACTTTGTATTTGGAGGGTAGACTAGCGTACCGAATATGCTTCCATAGTTGCTAAGGGTAGTAAGAAGACTGTGTTTTGTCAGCGACTTCATCAAACAACAATTTTATCTGCATGCTCCAAGTCGACTAGTGAATCTTCTCATTGAAGATCAACGACTGAAAAATCCGACCGTGGAAGTATCGTCCTTAGAAGCGTTTCGATGACGAAGTCAAATAAGAGAAATGTGAGAAACCATGAGGAACACCAGTTGAAGTATTTGGTTCGGATGACATATTGCCATCAGCTCTGACTAGACCAGTAGTGCTCGAGTAGAGAGCTTAGTGCTATATAACTTTATGATCAAAGGTGTCAAAAGCCTCATTTAGGTCTGACATACAATTATTATCTGACGTCAAAATTTGTTTCTGTGTTCTAAGACCTGCAAAAGTGAAAAAGTTCGGTCTATGCATCTATGATCACGAGGTTTAATTAGTCGTTCAAGTATTATTGAAGCTAATAATTTAGACACCATATTAGTTAAACTGATTCCTCTATAACTGTTACGAAAGGTCTCTTTTCCTCTCTTACCTTCTGGGACTTTCAGTGATTGAGACCAGTCAGATGGGATTGGGTGCAGTTCTCAGATTCCAGCTAAGATCTCAGTCGATCCGTAAAAATCTCAGGGGTAAATCCATCAGGTCCTGCTCCTCCCCTCGCTTGAGATTGAACTACAACACCATAAGATCCACCCAGGCGCCCTTCCGTTTCGCCCAATCTACCTACTTCACCATTAAAATCACTAGCCACGATTACTACATCAGAGCGCTTAGCTTTTTGAAGAAGGTTAGAGAGCTTTCCGTAAAATTCATCTTTTACCTCTTCTGGGTCGCAATCAGTCTGAACGTAGGTAGAGACAGCAACGACGAGTGTCTCTGTTTTTCAGTTCTCACTGTACCGTTTGGTCGGACAGCGCACAAGTGACTGTCTACTGGAATCCAGTCTAAGAGAGCTAGTTCTGCTTTAGAACCCAACACTATACCTACCTGGAGCGGTAGGACCTAAAGAAACAAGTGTTTCAGCCAATTTAGCTCGGTTGGGTCATCATGATTGGCAAGCCTGGCCACCACGTCAAGGTAACAGCTACGATCGGGATAAAATTAACTCAAGATGTGGAATATATTTGGTTGAATTCTGTAACAATAACTCCATTTCCTTCTTCTTTTTTGCACATAAGAATATCTTTTGCAAGCTCAATAGATCCATATCCGAATGAAACCTGTTTCATGATTTATGGACGAGTACAATACTAAATAATGCAAATAAAATTAAGGGGGATTCGTAGATTCGAGGACACTAGAATACAGTATACTTCTGGATCTTTACAAGGATGGGAACGACATTCTGGCAAATACAGACACTAAGCTACTCAAAAATTATGTCGAAACTGAAAGCTTACCAATACTGTACAATGAATCCACTTATGTACCCAACCGTGAAAATCCATGTGTAGTATATGGGACGACATTCAGCGCATTCATATATTGCCGAATGTCAAGATTATAAAACTTTCAGTTAAAAAAAGTCATACTCCTTGATTTTCTGACTAAAGGAATCATTGCTGAGTATTTTCGTCATACCTCAAGAGTTTTTTAGAAAACACCGATATATTAGGAAAGGTCAAATAGGTTACATGCTTTCACAAGGTCACATGGTAAATAAAAAATGTAAATGTGGGCGACCTAAATTATCTGACTGGAAGAGGTCAAAACTTTTATACTGCTTAGGGGTTTCCTTGATGTCTTTCGTCTCTCCATGAGCCACAGACATACGTGCAAATGCATGTGCAATTTATCACCTTTCAGACTATGAATTTAAATTATCTGTCTTCCATTTTCTGAGTTCTTCCTGCTTGAATCATTTGTATGCCTTATCGTTTTCTTTTGCGCTGAAAGAACAACTGCTACTGTTATGGTACTTATACAGTTCATTTTATGAAGCCACACTCATTGAATGCTACCAATTCAACGGATGCACTTATATGCGCTGTTTGATACTGCTCACATTTTGACTCAGTGTATGTACTGTTGAGCTTTAAGTAACTGTAAAATTTAGATTTCACAGTGAATATCATAGGAATCGATGGTGGAAGTATTAATTATGTTTTCCTTTTGAAAATTAATATGTCTCTTTTATTTAGGCTGATTCAGCATAGAATACTGATCATCGATTTTCGATCATCTTTTTTCTGCTTAGTTTCACTGAACACCTGTTTTATATCATTTTACATTAATTCAGGTTAGAATTATCAGGTGTTTATTCTGTGGGAAATATCCAAAATGTCACTAGTTTTAATTACATTTGCTCTTTTCTAGTATTCTGGTTAGTTTCATCAGTGCTTTTTACGAACCGTTGATATTTTTTTTGCAGAAGTCCACAGAACCATAGAGTAGGCATAGATGGTCAGGATAATCAAGGCGGTGGCAATACACTAATCAATCATGGTTATCTTTTCAATACCCCTGAGGAATTCAAGTAAATTGGTATTTTTAGATTAGCTAATCATTTATTACATTTAATCTGTTGGTATTTTTAAACTACGATTCAGTTCACTTTGATTTCAACGATCACAGTAAGCAGAATGAAATAAAGCTTGCAATCGTTATCATATTCATGATTACCTTCTGTGAATGTGAATTAGAATTTTTAAATTTCATAGTTTTTTATATACAAATGAATTGTTAATGATTGCCATAGTCGACAAGTTACCAAAATTTATAATTCTATGAAAAATATGTCGTGATCATGATTATTTTAAGTAAGATATAGTGGATTCGGAAAAACGTATCATATAATATGATAGTGTTCAAGTAAACAATGTTAAAGAATTATTTTATTTCCTAGTTAAATTGTCTAAACAATGAGCCATGTATGGTTAGATCTTTCTCTTTCTCTGTTTAATTTTCCATAAGACAAATGAGAAAGGATATTATTGAATAAGATTATTAAAAACCTAATAATTAAATGTATACAGTCATTAGATTGTACAAAGCAAATTTACACTAAGCACTTGATCATTATTTTTAAATACTAATTTTTGTATAATAAGAATTGAATTTGGTTAATTCTGTTTCGAATGTTATAATCCAGTTTGCAAAAATACTCATTGCATACTGGCTGGTGTGTTGTTAAACAGCATTATTGTTTCTACTTATTTTCGTTACAGAGTTAAAGAATTTGACTTCATGCAATTTGCTGACATAGAAAATCATGATGATTTCTATTATCATGAACAAGACAGAATACATGTCAAAGATCAAGTTGGTTATTGGATTGTCTATGATTGTGCATTAAATGATTTCAGGTGAGTATGAAATAAAATAAGAAGCATATGAAATATTCTTCTAAAATTCGTTACTAGACTTCAGTCTCTATTTGATCATCAGCACTGCAGTTGCATTCAGCTGACTATTCTGAAATCGAACCCAACTTGTATCATCATCCAACTTGACGGAAAACTTGTCAGTAAATATCATTATTGAGTTGTCTAGGATGCACTTGTGCCAACAGAGACTGATCATTCACAGTTCTTCAAATCAACAAAGAGAAGATACAAGCCATTACAAATAATAAATTGATACCGTTGAAAATATTACAATTTCAAATAGTGATTTGTGGATTGGACATTTTTTTTCACATACTATACTCATTAATTTGATAAAATAACAGAACATATCAATGCATTATTTTTACCACTGCTTTATTAAAATTATATTAAAGCACAAATTCATCATAAATTAACCGAATTCATCATTGTCAAATGATAGTTATTTCAAAATGTTGAATAAACCTCACCCAGAATAAAGTTGAAATCAGTCGATGAAATCAATTCATCAAATAATTTTACTGATTATCGAATATCAACTGATTTCTACAGCTTGTAACAATGTCTGAAAATACCATGCTCAATCTAATACAAGATGGATAGGGAACAGTGCAATGAGGAACCATTTGGATTCCCTAAAGATTTATACACCATAAGTATAAGACCCATAACCTGCATCTGAATTTCCAGTTGCTTTCAAACTAATGTCTGTTCATTAACTATTATCAACTTTTGTAAAATATTCTTTTATTATTCTTCTTATTATTATGATGTTTAATTCGAAATAATTTTGATGATGAAAAGTGATAATTAATATAAAATATCTTTTATATTTATTTAACACACAGAGAACTAGAAAACGATTTACTTATTAATGCAACAAATTTTATACAAAACTATGGAACGAAATCCATGACTGCTAATCAAACACAGAAACATACGATGATTGATGTAAGTGTACTTGATATAATTTGACTTATGCAATGCAACTGATTAACATTCAGTGGTTTATTAAGTTATATTCATTCAAACTGAGCAATTTAAATATACCGTTCTCTGTATTACTTACTTGCTTACGGCTGTTGAAGCATAGGCCGCTGACTAGTATTCTCCAACCTACTCTTTCCTAGGGCCTCTCTTTCCAGTGCTGTCAAATTTTAGTTCATTCTCCCCAAGTTTGTCTCCATTTCTCGGGTTAATGTGTTCCTTAACCATTCTCTGTATTACTCCAAAAAACAAAAAAATATCCATAAATAAAAACTTACGCTTTAGTCGTTGAATAATTTTTTTCATGAATTTATGCAAAACATCAACTCATATATGCTTCTCTAATTTCTTCACTTGTCTCTTCGCTTTGCTTTTGAAATTATAACTGAGCGAACACGCTATCTGTATGATAAAACTCAGATGTTGTTGCCTTATTCATAGCGTCCAAAGCATTTATCATTTCAAAAAGCACGCAGTAACAATCACTTCTTTTCTATGTAAGATCAAAGGTTGAATATAAATGTTGACTGATAAGCCAATCAGCATTTAAAGAAAGGAAATTTTTGTTGTCTTTTATATGACTGATGAATAAGTGAATTATGATAGTTATTTATAAAAAATATGCAATGCAAAGTTTTGAGGTTTGTAAAATAGTAGAATTTTCGTTATTATTAATCTTTAATACTATTTTGAACTATTATTTATATGAGGAGTGTCATAAATGTGTGAACTGTATTCACAACTAGAAAGTTAGCAGTTCTGTTTCTGAGAAAAGAAAGCCACGAAGTGACATGTCTTTCTTTTTCCAACTACTGCACTTCATTCGTTTCGAAGAGTTTTCGTGAACTGTCTTTTATTTAATTTACAATATAATGAATATTCAAACTGTATTGTGAGTAATGCCATTCTAACTACTAATCTAAATTTAGTTTAAACATTAACTGCTAACTCATTTACGTTTGATCATGATGATGATACTGTTGATGGTCACGATAAGAATGATAATAATATCTTCTTGTTTTGCATTCAAGAGTCAAAAGGAGGAAATTGATCTTGCTTTATATGCTCAACGTGACGTGGATCGATTTGGCATATTATATGACATTTGGGCATATGAAACTGCTTTCCAGGAAACAAAGAAAAGTGTAAGTTTCGTTTTAAAGAATGTTATAATTAACAGCTAGTATGGAAGTGGACAAGATGCATTTAATTAATATGTAGTTGTAATTTTATCAAAAGTTTCATTATTGTCCAGATTAAATTTTTTAGACTAAATTTACAAAACTATATAAAAACTTCTTTTCAATAGTATATACGGTTAGTTGCTAAATCATTCTTATCAGTCAGTCAGTCAGCAACAACAAAGAACTTGGTACCTATGTACATCAGTTCAAGTTGCTTGAGTAAATTAGCACAAAGAGTTGGAACTATGAATTCAAATCCCATAGTGGTAGAGGTAGTAGCAGTATTATTATCAGTAATCGGAAAGATTAGGGATTAAAGATGCAACTCGAGAAGCATATTTTTAAAGAAACAGATTTAAAAAGAGAAATGTGGTCACGAGGAATTCAGAAAAAGAATGGATGCCCCTCGTTATTGCAAATGTTTTTCAGCCATATCATTCAAAGTCTCATATCATCTTTATTGTTAATTCTAAATAAATATTATAAAAAATATTGAATGCAGAGTTTCTCAAAAACCGATCATTTTTTTTATAATTATTATTCAATTTTCAAAAATTACGCTTTGATTATAATTATTTACGACAATATCTGTAGACAAGTATTTAAATAAGAGCAAAATAGTCTAGATAAAATTACCAATTGGTTTATTAGAATTTTAGGATCAGTCAATGTTACTTTCAGTAATTAGCATATATATTTTATCAGTAAATACTGACGCATAAAGATTAACCACTAATACCTTTGTTTAATTAAAGGTTTCAGTTAAAAAAAAAACTTGAACTGACGAAATTACAAATATATAGAGGAGGTGCAACCAATAAAAGTTGATTTTTATTCGAAATTTCAATAACTGACATTGAATCGTATATATAACACCAGAGCAAATACATTATTTTAAATTATTATTCAAATAACTGATATTTATCATTTGAATCATGTATGCTTCACCTTTGTCAAAAACATTACCAGTTAATTGTTTTACCTGTGACTGAGCTCTTGCACTTCTAGATTAATCATAATGAATAGTCAATAAACATTAGCTGTTACTTTATCTACACTCGAATGTTTATGGAATTCTATGTTTTCTTTGTTTTTTTTGTAAACAGCTAATGGATATTTATTTAGAAGCATACAGTCATATCACATCAAGAGATAGTCGACGAAGACTAGCACAAATAATGACTGATTTAATGTATCAAAGACCTAGACTAGATTTGAATGAAAGTTACTTTGTTACATCATACAAATATGAATGTGCTATTTTAAGACAACGTAAAGAAATAATGAGATCAATTTTAAGTGATCAAGTAAGTTGATACATATTTGTTAAATTTTTAAAAATTTTTATGAGATATTTTGTCAATGAAGATTACTCTATCTTTCGGTCCATAAGTTAGTACAGTATGAAATGGTTGATATTCAACAAGTTAAAATTCATAGAACTTACTCAACATTCACAGAACATTCATCATGATGAATATCTTATTCACTTTCTTATTTTAATTCTGTTTAAGTTGATTTTTTCAACTAGTTTTGTCGAAACTTATGAGATTTTCCTTTTTATGGGTAATTATCCTCGTGCCGGTGGTTATATTTTTCAGAACTCCATGTTGGGTTAGCTTGCTTTTTTAATATTTTATTTCAGTAAGTAAGGTCATTGAATTCATACTAGTTGTTAAGATGAGATATTATCAGATAGATCAAAACTAAATTTGACGTTGATGATAATAAAGTTTTCATTGTGTTTGGACGATATGAAAACGAGTTAATAATTTGTCCTACAAAACTCCACCTTGGTTGTCTAGTATTCTATAGATTTTGACGATCTTTACCTATGAATCCTGACTTTTGAACTAAACAGTTAACAGATACCTCATTATTATTATTATTATTATTATTGTTATAAATAAATAGGATCCTCAATCATTTTATGTGTTATTTTAGATTTCAAACGAACGAGAATATCTGAAAAATCTAAATACAGATGAAATAATATATGGCTTACCACCACCATTGATAGAAAAATTTTTAATTGCTCCAAGTACAGATGAGTAAGTAGTTCTACAAGTTAAAAGTCCAAACAATGTTTTTTTGACTACCACTGAATGATAAGAAAATTCTGAGATATTTATAAGAACAAACTTCATGAATTGATAGCAGAGATTATGTCTACATCGATTTACTTTTCTATATTGAGTTTTAACGAACAACGCCTAAAAATTGACTACTTACTTACTTACGCCTGTCACCCCTAATGGAGAATGGACTGGAAACCATTATTCTCCAGCCTACACTGTCCTGAGCCTTTTCTTCCAGGTCTACACAATCGCATTTCATTCTTCCTACGTCTGCTTCAGACTCTCGGCGTACTGTGTTCTTTGATTTTCCGCTTGTCCGTTGGCTCTGAGGATTCTAATTAATGACTTGCTCTACGAAGTAGTTTGGGGATTTCCGAAACGTGCGTCCTATCCACCGTCATCATCTCCCCTAATCTAGTTCGTTCTCTTTCACGGTAGCTTATTACAGATGGTGTCTCGCAAACGGATCCTCAGTATTTTGCGTAAACAACTAATCATAAACACATATATCTTTTGAATGATGGTGCTGGTAGTTCGACTTTCCGCTCTCTACTACAGAATTTTGTTTATGTTCCTATTGAAAGATCTGACATTGGTGTTGGTTGGCAGTTATTTTGAGTTTCATATTTTCTTCAGTTGTATAAACGCTTCCCTTGTTCTGCTAATCCATGTCTTTATATCAGCATTAGATTGATCTTGTTTATCAATGATGTTGCTGATTAATTCAAAGGTTTCAACATCTTCCAAAGCTTTTCCATCAAGTGAGATTTGGGTAGTGCGTGTTGTGTTGTATCGGAGGATCGTGATCCTTTTCTCGTTTATGTCGAGACCTACTGCTGCACAGGCTGCTGCTAAACTGGCCGTCTTTTCCTGCATTTGTTGTTATGTGCGGGATAGAGAGTCTAGATCATTTGTGAGGTCTGAATCGTCCCGTTTCATTCGAGGCGTCCTCTGTATTCCATGCTTCCCCCAGATGTTGGCGTCCTCATAATCACCAGGACAAAGAGAAAGGGTAAGAATAAGCAACCGTGCCTCACACCAGTCTTCATCTCAAACGAGTCTGCCAGCTATCCTCCGAGCACGATTTTGCAGTTTGATCCATCATAAGAATTCCGTATGATTTTAACAATCTCCGACATGCCGTAGTGTCGAAGAAGCCTCCACAGTGTGTTCCTGTCTACGCTGTCGAATGCTTTCTAGTAGTCAATTAAGTTGATGTAAAGTAGTGAGTTCCATCCAATTGATTGTTCCACAATGATACGTAATGTAGCGATTTGGTCGGTACACGACCGATCTTTAAGAAATCCAGCCTGTTGGTCTCGATGTTGGGCGTCTACGAAGTCCTTCATTCTGTTTAACAATAGCCTATTGAAGCCTGCCTGGTACTGACGGAAGAGTGACGACTCTGTAGTTTTCACACTTGCTAAGACCGCCTTTGGTATTTCGATGAGATATCCTTCTTTCCAATCTGACTGTACTTGTTCCTCATCCCAAGTCTTCTTGAAGAGAATGTGAAATGTTTTTGCAGTTGATTCCACGTCTACTTTCATTACTTCTTCTGGAATGTTGTCTGGTCCTGTTGGTTTGCCACTCTTGATTTGTCTGATGGCCATACTGATCTCTTCAAATGTTGGTGGCTCAACATCGATTGGGAAGTCCATGGAAGTTGGTTCGACGTAGGGTGAGTTCAGTGGAGCTGGTCGATTCAAGAGTTCCTTAAAGTGTTCTACATACCTGTTTCGCTGTTCTCCATTCTTGCTGATTACTTTGCCTTCCTTGTTTTAAACCAGTCTCTATGGTTTACGATAGTTTCCAGCGAGCTTCTTTGTTGTATCGTATAATTATCTCATGTTTCCTTCTCTTGTAGCCTTTTCCGCCGTCGTCGCTAGATCCTCCACATATTTCCGTTTGTCGGCTCGGATGCTCTTCTTCACTTCCCCGTTTGCTTCTGTGTATTCAGCGCGCGGGTTGGCTTTATCGGCTCTTATTCGGCTGATGCTGATCTGTGCCCTGTGGATCCTCCTTCCTTGAATTTAATCAAGAGTATCGACAGAGATTCATTCCTTGTGATGGTACTTGTGGTCCAGAACGTCATGGTATGTTGAAGTGATTGCCTCCTTGACCCCTTTCCAGTTGTTCTCCAAGGTTGTTTCCTCTCAACTGAGTATACTGTGCAAGGCCTGGAACCTATTGCTGAGAGCGATCTTGAATTCCTTGAGTTTTACGGTATCCCGAAGGAAGGCCGTATTAAACCTTTGCGATGTTGTCCGCCCAGCGCTCCGCTAATATCTTGGTTCGCTTGTTCTTTGTGGTCCTTCTGAACTTTTTATTGATGCAGATATGGTCAGTGTGGTTCTTGTATGGTGTAATCAGGTGAAATCCATGTAGCTCTGTGTAGGCGTTTGTGTGGGAATATTTTGCCATCCATGACCAGTTTGTTGAGGGCACATAGGTTTGCAAATCTCTTACCGTTTTCGTTCCTTTCTCCTAGCCCATTTCGTCCCATGCTGTCTTCATATCCGGTGCTATCCATGCTAACCTTGGCATTTAGATCTCTCATCACGATGGTTAATTTCTTTGACGAGCATCTTTTGACGATCGACTGTAGCCTTTCGTCGACTTCATCCTTAACGTCCTCATTGCTATCGCTGATAGGCGCATAGCACCGGATTAGGTTCATTTTAATCGCCTCTTTTTTGGTTCGGAGATGGCTTTGACGATCTTGGCTTACCACCCTATCTGCTGAAGCTAGTCTCCGTTGTCCAACTTGATTCTAATGTGTTTCTCTGATTTCCAGCAACACCAGGCTGTATCCTTTCATTTTAACTGCTCTCCAGATCTCCCCTATTGAGAATATTTCATGCACTTATATTAACTGTTGCTGTGGTTGTGAGAAGTGGCATCAGTCCTGTGAATTCCTAATATACTCAGCTTTTATCATGAGGCGTCATAACTCTTCTAAATGAGGACCTTTAAACTCCCAGTGCAAAGTTCATTTGGTTCGAATTATTTGTTATAGTTACAGCTTTTTAATGAAATGGTTTTCTACGGGATAGAGTTGCCTACCCTATGCTCAACCCTTCTTCTTTATCCAGGCTCTGGGCTTCGCTGTGATCCCAAAAGTGTGCCAGGCGAAATTCGGTGCCCATTTACCAAGAAGAAATTTCTGGAATTGGCAAAATATTTCTACCATGTGTGGCGTTCAATAGTTCTTTAGGATGAAACCGCCATGCAGTGTTTTTAGGTTTCTAATGGTGGTCTAACAACGATCGATTCATTATTTCAATGAAATGTAACAATCTCCATAAGTGTATGATGAAAATTCATGAAATTCGCTCTCTGGTGGCTAGCTTTTTGAGAACGTTCTCGGAGTTCTTGTGAAAAGCCATGATCGGTGCAGTTCAACCCTATCGTGTGTAGGCACTTACCTACCGAAGACATTGGGTGAGGTTGAATAATACCTTCGATTGATTAAAGTTAGTTAACACCACTGGATGCCGACCGAGCAGTCTTATGATTAAGCGTTCGTGCACGCAATAGAAGGTACTGGGTTCGGTCTCCTCAACCAGTGGTCGTAGATGAGCATTGCTGATGAGTCTCGTACTAGAACGAAACAGCTGTCCAGTGCTTGTCGGTTTCTAATGTTGGTCTCACGATGATCGATTCATTATTTTTTTCAAAGAAATTTATCGTACTGTGATTTCATTGATGATTCACCTAACTAGCATGCTTGCATTTCAGCTTCACTCATCGGCTTGCAACCTGATGTCAGAAGTTACTAAAATATATATTTTTACAAACTCTCTGGCGTCAGGTTTAACCAATATATCATACCATATCTTTTATTTTAATCTTACTGAATACTTGATTGCCCATGGTTATTTAAAGTGTAAACATGAGTATCGAGCAGAAATGACTTGCAAAATACCACCTAGTCATTCAGGAAAATGATGATGAATGACTTTGTTTATTGTAAAAACGATGATATTTAAAACTAAACGAAAATGATAAAAACGTAAAAGTATAGAATGGTTCTACACTGGGTTATCTTTTAATTCATCCAAAAGAATCGTTTATTAAAACAGTATATATCTTCTTCATTAAGCTTAGTTTATTATAGATAACGGCATTTATGCAATCTATCTTTGAATATTTTCAAATCTTTGAAAGTTTAATTCCAAATATGTTAATTTACCCAGGTTAATATATATATATATATATTATATTCAACAGTTTTTTTCTCTACTTTTAATAAAGGCACACTTGTTAGAAGAAAATTCTAACATTGAATGATTTATTTATTTCGATTAGATAATAAACCGTTGTTAAGGTTACATTGTTCTTGTAGAATTATTTGTATATTTTCGATCACATTGTATTTATTGTAAATATATATATATATGTTTTTTTTTTCAAGGCCAGTATTAGGTCCAGTTTATTTATTAGAATTTCATCCATCATTAGCATGTACACCAAGTTTAATTGAATCAATGGATGAAAGTGTACGTACCATGATTACCATGTTAACACCAAAACATCAAATTCAACGAATAATATTAGAAAAAATATTTTTTGATTATTTAAAATATGAAATCGATACATGGAGACCATTAGGAATATCTTATTCAGCACAAATTCAAAAAGATGTAAGTTGTTCAATGTGTAATTGTATACAATTTTAAATATATATTTCATTTAATTAATCTATTGAATGTAAAATCAATAATTTACTTCTCATTCACTATGAAGATAATAAATAAATCATATTCTCAGTTATTTTAGTTATGAGTAAACTAACAACAAACAGCAGTTATTATTTGTTTAGTTAATATTTTAAAAGTTTGTGATCATGTTGATAAGTACTAAATAGTAGAACAAACAAGCTTATGGACTGTTGGATAGTGGAAATTATAAGATTGTAATTTTCGTTTTTGATTTTCGCATTAATATCTTGAACAATTTCCGGGCAGCATCATCGACAATCAAAGTAGATCCAATGCGGATGTGAGGACGAGGATCGGTAAAGCAAGGGCTGCATTTTCACAGTTGAAGTACATCTGAAACTCAAAACATCTGTTAATAAACACCAAAATAAGAATTCCCAGTGCAAATATCAAGATAGTTCTGTTGTGTGAAACGGAAACTTGGGGTACTACGAAAGCCATCATCCAGAAGATTCAAGTATTCATTAACAGTTGTCTACGCAAAATACTTTGGATCCGTTGGCCAGACACTATCAGCAACAACCTTCTGTGGTAGAGAACAAACCAGATTCCAGTGGAGGAAGAAATCAGAAAGAAGCGGTGTAAGTGGATAGGACACACACTGAGGAAAGCACTCAACTTCGTCGCAAGACAAGCCCTTTCTTGGAACCCTCAACAAGGTAAAGGGAAAAGAAACACATTACGCCGAGAAACAGAGGCAGATATGATAAAAACGATCAAAAATTGAACAGAATTGGAAAGGAAAGCTCAAGACAGAGTAGATTAATGAATACTAGTCGGTGGCCGTTGCTCTATCTATTAGGGATGACAGTCGTAAGTAAATAATCTTCAACAATAAGTAGCATTTGGTTTGATAAAATATTCTCCGACTAGTCTTACAACTTTTAAAACATTATTTCTAAAAACTTTATATTCCACTTAACATACAACATCATCATACTAAATTATTACAAATATTTTGTTTTTAATTTTGAAGCTTAGTTTGTTTTTATCTCGTTTGTTTTATACCATTGTTTTTCTGTGATACCATTTTATCCATCTTCACACAAAATATATAAACATTATGATAACATCTTTTGATTCAATCATTTTATGGGACAATCAGTTGTTTTCACCTCATTTCATTGAAAATGTAGTACAAATGTCAGAATTATGCAATGAATATGTATCATCTGTGGAACAACGTAATGCACGTGGTGATAAAAAAACTCGTCAAAACACTATCATAAATGAATTGGGTCGTTTATTAGATTTAATTACAATACGTCATCGTTTAATTGATTGTATGTGGGAATGTGAAATTTTATCCAAATTATACTTGGATTTATCAAATCTAATGGGTTTCAATGATTTCCATTTATTTCTTCGACCATTACAATTTGAATCGGCTAAATTTAAAGAAGGAGTTGAAGAATTGAAACCACCAATGTATATTACATCTATTCATGATGATGATTCTTTATTGGATAAGTAAGAAGTTGAATATTTTTTATTCATTGTTTTATATTTTATGAACATGTTAATTTTTTTTTTAGCCAGTGTTATTGTTAAGTAATGAACTTTATTTAATTTAGACTAACTAGCATATTTTCTCACTTATTTAATTCCTGATCTTACAATGAATGAAGTGATCAAATATCTGATAAAAATTTGGATTATTACTTTGAAAATAATTCAGAACAAATTCCAAATAATTTTTATAGATGTAAATGCATACAAAAAAATACTCAATTCCTGTAGAACTGATTTAATGTTTATTGGAAGATAATATTTATCTGAAACTACTGAAACTATGTTATCGCATTTTTCAATGATCAAATATTTTACACTACTAAATTGAAGCATAATCTTGTTTAAAGAGAAGAATCCAATCTATCAAATTTTACTAGGATTTGTGAGTTTAGTATGAAAACAATAAGTAGTCTGTATCAAAGATCATGATTTGTTCGATTCATTATAATTATACGAACAGAAAGAATGATCACTATGATTCTGTTACGGATATGAGGACAGATATTACTTTCTGGCTGCCCACACCATGAAAGGGTGTTTCTAGAGGAACCTGAAAAGGAAGGTATATTAGCGTTGGTCTTAAAGACCTGGGTGCGTGACGGCAGAGCTCAAGGGACAACTGCCTCAGGCCGTCCACATACCGTTCTTCTATTGCACATTTTTAAACTGTTAGCTCCGCTCTTTAAGTGGCCTTACCGCTGGAGACGGAAATCCGTGTGGGGTGAGGTGTGATATTTTCAGGGTCGACTGATTCTAACCCTTCCTTCCTTGTGAGAAGACAGCATCGCTGCAGATGCTGGTTGTCAGAAGATAACACCTCACTGCCGTCACACCACTCTGCAGTCAGGAGTACGACTTCGCCCTCAGACCTTGAGTATCTGCTTTTAGTCTCATCGTCCTCCAGTCGACCTGCGTGGAATGGTAGAACATACAGAAACATATGTTCTGGCCAATACAGCTCGGTTGGGTCATCGTGAAGGGCAAGCCCGACCACCACGTCTAGGTAATAACATCTACGGTCTGGCAACATTTTCAGTACTTCATTAAATAGTACAACTTTGTAATCAAAATTTTCTTTTGATTGCTCCATTTTCTAAATTAATTAGAAGTGAACGAAAGCTACATTTCAAATGTTGGAATGGTGAAAGGTTTTGACAATAATGACTACTTCCTCAAAATAAAAAAGCATATTCACAAAATTCTGTTCTCCACGATTCAGCTTTTTTAATGACTGACCGAAGTTATTGATTATTTTGTTTCTCTTAAGCTTCATAAAATATTTTCATTGACATGTCGATTACCAAAAGAACCGTAGTCATGTAACACTACTACACGCGTATGTATTATGTCAAGGTGTATATTCATTACACAAATGATGAATAGACTGATAAATTAACAGTGACTATAATACTTCATGATCATAGTGACTAAAACTGCTAGTTGAATGAAAAAGCCAATTAGTTGATGATAAGGTACTTCTTCACAAATGTCAGACAGACAGATACAACGCAGAACTTCGTACGTAAGTACATCAGTCCAGGTTGCCATAGCACATCAGCACAGAGACGCAACTGTCAGTTCGAATCCAAGAGTGACAGGGATAGTAGAATTATTAGCAGTAATGGAGAAGATTATAGTTCGAAGATATGATCCGATAAGTATAATTCAGTAAGATAAATTTAGAAAGAGAAAGAGACAGGTGATTAGAAATTCAGAAGGTTAGGATTTACACATTGTATCTTAATCCACTAATTAACAGTGTAATAAATTATTCCTTTCGAATTTACCAATTTTTTTAAACTGCTTTTCATTCTATTTTTAAAGATATTCACCTTCTTCCTTACCACTTGCTATTCACGAATTAGATGAAGCACAAGTTGGAAAATTTTCATTTCGTGGTAAAGGTACAATTATGGAGGTTTGTATTTTCTAATTATAAAAAACGATTGTCTTGTGAATAATTTTATTAAACTTAACAAAAGTATGTTATACTAATCGTGAAGTGTTGTAATCTCACTGATGCAGTCTTCTGGTAGCATCTGTTTACAGTGTCAAATTTTTATAAAATTTTATCACGTTATTAAAAGATATTTAAATATGAGAAAAGTAACTGTTTTCAGTCTTCTTTGCATTGATAACCATTTTTTCCTAAGCTAATTATGTCATTACCTAAATTTTCTGATTTTTGTTTGTGTAAAAAGGATAATAATCAATATTTTTTGGTACCACTAGTCGATCAATGTTAAACTACTATTAGAAACCTGGAACCACTGGACGGCCGTTTCGTCCTGGTAAGGGACTTGAACAGTGCGCATCCACGACTCCTGAACCCCGCAGGATTCAAACCCAGGACCATCGGTATTGTGCGCGAACGCCTAACCCCTGGACCACTGATCCGGTGTCTCACTTTTGTTTCGTTGAAATGTTCACTGTTATACAGTGTCAGAATGCCTTTTGCATGCATCGATCAGTTTTGACAAAAATTTGAATACCACCTGTAATACATTTATTGAAATAAAATGGCTTCAAATGGATAGTTGAATTAAGAGTAAAACTCTTCAAGTTACTATCAATTAGATATTTCTAATGTGTAGAAAAGTAAATCACGATGAAGCCTTCTTTTTCTAATTGTTCAACAACTATTTCTAAACCAGTTTACTTCGTCAAATGATTACAGAGGATCAGTATGTATCTTTTGAATGCTTATCTTCCAGTAGTGTCCATATCATTAATTTAATTTTATTATAAGATGCATTTGTTATCAATGTGCTCAATGTTTTGTATTTCTTCCCAGATAATGATAGATTTTTCAATGAATCTAGAAAAGCCAACCTATCCAATTAAATAACAAGGAGTGGTTTAACCTGTATATAACTAAATTTTATAATAGTTAAAACTCTAGAGTTATATTATTAGTAGAAATACGACAATGTGAAATACAATTTTTTTCTTTTTACATACTCCGTTGTTATTAATTTCAGTTGCTGGAACCAAGGGGAATAGAAAATATGCTATCTATATTGCAAGTTCAAACTGTTCATAAAAATGGTTTGATTGCTGCCATTTTATTAGCATTCAATGGATGTCCTGCATTTTACACTGCACATGCTCCTAAAACCAAGTAATATTTAAATGAGATACATTTATGATTAGTACTTATTATGCATAAGAAACATACAATAGCAACTCATTTTTACAGCAACTAATTTCATTCTTATGAAATCAATATTTGTTTGAAATATAGGTTTAACTCTGCATTGATTACTCACTATATATTAACCAACGTCATGTATGTCCATCATTAACTACTGATCGAATTCTGTGAGTCATATTTCAATATGACGATAAATCTAAGTGATTCGGCACTGTATGGCATTGTATTTGATATGCGAATCTCGATCATACAGGTCTCACTTTACTGATGATTATTAACCAGCACGAATCCTAAGTTTTCGGATTGACTTCCTACAGCCACTTGACATCAATTGTTCCCCTATGTGCACTCAAATTCATATGATAATTGAATTAATTTGTAGAAACATATGTGAATTATATTAACTGCACTCAGTTAAGGGATCATTAAAAGCTAGACGAAACTGAACTTCTTGTATGTTTTCGAAAGTATGGAAAGGCAGAGACGTGCAACAATTGACCATGAATAATCGAGATTTTGATATTTCGAGGCAAAATTAAGTATATATGGAAATGATCTTATCTATACTGTTTAGATTCTACCGTTTTTCTCTATTTAACTTTTCACTAACCAAATCTATGTGTGCACTTACAATCGTCAGATTTATCAATGCTAAATCATGAAGGATAGAAATAGCATGCAGAAATGTTAGAAAGAATAGTTATTAAATCACCTGTAGTTTGTACTAATATGTCGAACCCACTGAGCTTGTCTCAGCCTCTGAACAAATTAATTAATCCATTCTACCGGAGTTATTCACACGTCTTCAGGCCTTGTCAATTATTTGCTTCTAACCTTGGTTGCTTTTATTTGAGTGCATGTGTGCATTTCTTGCTTCGCTTATCAAATGTTTAGCTTATTTTTGTTTGACTATAAATGCTTATTCATGCCTCATCACAATGACGCGAATGTATGAAATAAATTGATCCGAAATAAACCTTATTGGGCTTTTAATTACCGCTGTCACACAAACAGCGTTCGCTTACGAATGATTGACGGAAATCAAAAAGAATGTTTATTTCATAGCATCTTCAATTGTTCGTAAACATTCGAGTCAAATCTCATACCATCAAACAACAAATGATTGTATTGATTTATGCTTGATGTATGGGGCTCACTTTCTGGATCTGTTTGTTATTTTATATCTCATACTTTTTAGAAATGGCCTCATTTGTACTGCTGATCCTGCAAGCAGCGCGATAAACAACACTGATACCGGTCCAAAACCTTTAGCTGTTGAGCGGTCAACTCACCAATTAAATGCGGAGTATTATCCAGAAGCATTTTTCTCCATTCAATTGGAAAAGGTTAGTTAAAAAATATTATAAAAAAAGTTTTTTAGTAGTTTGACACAGGTCAGAGGTTTTAATCATTGAGATTATTTCATAGTAAAATAGCTTCAATATTTAAACTGAAGATCGTGAAGTATGTACATTTCTAACAGACGCTTTCCCTATTCAATAAACTACTTTATGAACAGTTCGTTACCTTTTAATCAAAGCTTACTTTTGCAAAATATTTGGTTTCTAGACTATTTTGTAGTAATCTGTATTCACATCTTATCAATAACTTATTTGCGTACGATCGGAGAGAAAAAGAGATTTAACTATGAAAATGGTACTTTATATAAAAGGTTTGTTTACAAGTTGTTTTTCCACTATTTTCAGGGACCAAGTCGAGATCGAATACACAATGCTTACATCAAAAAGACACAAGGTGGTGGAGCCGCTGCATCTAGAAGTACTGAAGAAAGTGAGAAAATGAAACGGTAATTCATAATTTTGTTTGTTCCGCTAAATGTTTCTGACGTTGGTGTATGTAGTGGCTCATTTAAAATAATAGTTAATCATTTTTAACAAAAAGCTTTCTATTGATTAATTGTACACTCACTATCTTTCATCATTTACAAGATAATCAAAACTATGTGTCTGCTCAGTACTTCAAAGTGAATATTTAATTGTAAGTGATTAAAAACAAGGTGATTCGAACTTAAGTTTTTTTAAATCAATATATCAAGTAGGTTGTGTAAATACACATTTACAGTAGTACTTGAAACATGTGTAAAACATTTTTTTTACATTTCACTCTTCTTTGACGTTCTTTTAAACTACAGTGATGAAAGTTGTTCAGTGGAATGCAAATGCGAACAAAGTCTCGGCAACTATGAACATTATGATTGTCTGATATTTTCCAATTTCATATCAGCCTACATTAATTTTATTCTTTTATCAATTTGTTTTTTTTTTCAGTGATTTTATTTCAAGATTTTGTCATGATTACAGTGAACGTGTACAGCATACATCGCTTAGAGCACAAATAATTGAAACCTATAGTTCCATATTGACTACTCTTGAAAATATACCGATTGTTCGGTAGGTTTTTGTTTAAGTGTCAGTTAACAAATAACTTTATTTACTTAAATGAATAAATAAAAGAACTATTCGATTTTAAAATAGGAAGAAGGGTTAAACCATTTAAAGTTATTGTTTATGATATTTAATTTACTTGTCTATTCATCATTTTCTAAACCAATGATCGAATAAGAAAATTTTCCGACACATTCAGAAATGTTGTAAATCATGGATTGAAATCTGTTGTGAATGTAAAGCATGCAATACTGTGCTTCTATCAAACAATCCTTGGTTTTAATCGAAACTTTTGGAAACCAAGTTTGTTGTCTAGTCATTAGTATATAACTTCCCTATCAATGTTCAATTTATTTTGAAACTTTCAAGTATAAGCTTGATAACTGATACCGAAAAGTTTGATTAGCGTTATTAAAGGTTTAGTATTGCTAACATTAAATGTGAAATGCATAAGTTTATATCTATAAAAGAATGTAATAACGGGTTCTACTGGACACTGAAATAACTTTGTATCATTCCTTTTCATGCCTGTCATAATTAGCATTCAAAGTTTCGTTGTTCATTTATATTATTTCATGCCTGTTTGTAGAGACATGAGCTGTATGTAAGACCTAGATATTTATAAAAAAGACATTCAACTCTCAAAAAAACAAACAACATTTCTTTGGCGTTTATACATAGAAATATACTTGATTAAATCTCACTAGTTAAATAACATTGTGTTTATTCGAAGACCGCTATCCACCGCAGGCAATCGAAAATTGCAAACCAGCATGTTAGATTGACTGAGGTTAGATGTTAACATCATTCGATGATGGCTTAGTGGTTTGTGCCCGAGACCTAAGACCCCGGGTTCGATACCCGCGTTCAGAGTCGTGAATGCGCAATTCTGAAGAGTCTCACATTGATTCCAGGTTCCCAAAATTTGTCTAGCCAAGATCGACTCATGGTTTCAACTATTAAAATTCTACTATCCCCACAAAGTTTCGATGCCTTCTCACCAACCGTTATATTAATTAAATTTTTATTCATTTAATAATTTTCTTTAAATTTGAATTGTATCCATGTTAAAGTCAGTTACATAATGAGTCGGATTTTATTATACTATTTTTATAAATGCTATTAATCTACAGTCTCTGTTTCTCTTTTATAAATATGTATGCATATAGTTAGTATACTTTGATTACACCAATGCTATTTAATGGTGATCGAAAAAGGGTGATATATACCGAATTACGTTATCTTCGTTTTTCCAAATAATTATTTCGTTTTGTAATCGATGGACAAGATTTCGATTAAAATGCATCCAATTATTCAATGATAAGCCAATGTTGTACGCTAAATCTTTGTAGGGATAAACATTTTGCGAATATTAACAGCAGAAGACAGTTTATTAGCTGTAAACGACTTAGTGTTCACATTGTTTTTTTTTAATAAATAAGCTTTTGAAGCAATCGATTACAAATCTTGAACAAGTTTTCCACATTTTCTATCCATCAATAATGATTTTAATTTGTTTACGTTTATTGAAATCAACTGAAAATTCAGTTAACTCAATGAGCTAGAAAATCAGATATTGTTAAATGTGAAAATTAAACTTTATGATGCCTTTGTATCTTTTCCGTTGATGAGCACAACTAAGTTATACAAATTACTGGAGATGTTTTGTAATAATCGAAATCAAAATGATATTAGGCTGTTGATTCTAAATAGACTCATGACTTTTAGTTAGTGTGAGCTTTATTTTCAATATGAATTATTTATTATTCTTAATGATTTGTGTTGATTCATTTTTATAGGAAAGAATTTTTTATAATCGGTTATGCTTTTGAAAAGAAATCACCGGAAGAAGCTATAAATAAACAAGAAACCAGTCCTAGAGCATTACGTAACCGTCCTCGTCGTGTATTATCTTCAGATGGAACTGAATTTTATAATTTATGGTTTATACCACATTTTATTGAAGTTTTATTTTTATTTCGTGATTTGAATAATGAAGCTTGCACCAAAGCATTACGTTTAATGGCTAGAATAGCTCGTGCATTACATGATATTTTGCATTGTTTAGTTGCATTCGCTAGATTAGGCATTAGCTCTTCAAAGATCACTGTTGAACAACAACAGTTAACATCAGTGACGTCTGAAAAAGTGAGTGTAATTAATATGGATTTTATATATATATATATATATATATTAATTGTAAATGTATATTTATGGTAAACTGATTAATTTATTCACGTTACATATGACCATAAAAAGTTTTACTTGTTATTTACGCTGACAGTTATATGTCAAGCATTATTTTGAACTACTGTAAAAAAACTAAGAATAATTTTGAACTTCGATAAGGGAATGATGTAACAAACATGATATACGTTATTTGATTGTTTCGAAACTATATGAAAAGTAGTGTTTAAATGACACAACGAACCATTCTTTTCATTAATATTCAGATCTATAGGTAAATTGAATGAATCTTTTTCATAATCATCTTCAAACGTGTTCATTCTGTTCTTTCATTCGGATTCAGTGAAGCCACAAAGTTATTATCACTTTAAAACGTGTAGTACATTTGTGTTTATGATCTTTTTTGTATTAATGTTGTATCAGTGTTGTTCTATTTTTTCCTTGATTGTGTTGGTTTATCAATATTGAGATATGTTTGATAATGAGCAATGAAAGAACTAGATAGCTTGAATATTATTAGGTATAAATATTTAGTTTCTATGTTGCAAGTAATGAGTGTTTTGTTTGTTCAGTCATTTAGGAATGATTGAATTCTATCTATCAAGCTCAGATGTAGCTACTAGTCTAAGAGACTCGACATTGCATGCCCTGTGTCAAGATGTTTATTAGTTGGAGGCATGTAGCAGAAAGTCAGACACCACTAGCAACAACCTTTTTGTAGAACAGAACAAATGGGATTCCAGCAAAGGAAGAAATCAGGAAATTTATAGGGAACAGTCCCAAATGCCCAGGTTGTGTTTTGTGTCAGATGTTTTTGACCACCAAATACTAATTAATACTAATACGTCAGAAAACTTTGTGTTGATCCAAGTTATCAACCATAAGCAGTTGTTAATTTTACTCTGATCAATTTCTTTGTTTTAAACTTATCAATAGGGTTAATTGGAACCGTTTAGTCTGAAAGAAATTGACAAATAATTAAAAACATTTTTCCCATTTTTACGTTTTAATATATAATTTAGAATCAAAGTAGAAAAAACTCGTCAACTCCTAAAAACACAGTCATATCTCCGAAACGAACATCTACAAACATTAAATCAACTAGTTTGAATAAAAGTATACCATCGACGTTATCAACGCAAGTCGAGCGTACTACACCGTTAAATTTCGACTTACGAGGGCGTAATCTGGTTGCCGATCAATCAATAGGTAAATGATCTTACTAACAATTATTAATTGTTCTGAAATTTTTATGCATTTGATATTAAGACTAATCTTTTCTTGTTTGATTTTTATCAACTATCTAACGTGGATTAATACTAAATAAAATGTTTTTAAAAAAAATAGCATTTTTGTTTATTTACCTTATTTTGTTTTAAAAGGTTTAATACAACATCTTCACTTTATTCAAGTATGTATATTAGAGTAAAGCCTGATGACGATCTAATCGAAAACAATATTGTTCGCTTATATGTGTTGTTCTAATTTATTCAAGTTTACCACTGCTGCTTCGCTTCCACTAATCTACTCATTCTCAGTGCACTTGGTTCTATCGATATATTACTTACTTATTTGCGCCTGTTACCCCCAATGGAGCATAGGCCACCCACCAGTTTTCTGCAACCAACTCTGTCCTGGGCTTCTCTCTCCAGTTCTGTCCAATGTTCGTTCATTCCTCTTATATCTTTCTCTATTTCTCGGCGTAATGTGTTACTTGGCCTTCCTCTTTTCCTTTTGCCTTAAGGGTTCCATGTGATGGATTGTCTCGTGACGCAGTTAGGTGCTTTCCGCAATGTGTGTCCTATCCATTTCCACCACCTCTTCCTGATTTCCTCCTCCACTGGAATCTGGTTTGTTCTCTCCTACAATAGACTATTGCTGGAAGGGTCTGAGCAACGAATCCGAAGTATTTTGCGTAGACAGCTGTTAATAAACGCTTGTATCTTCTGGCTGATGCCTTTCGTAGTTCTGCATGTTTCCGCTCCATACAGTAGAACTGTCTCGACATTTGTATTGAAAATGCTGATTTTGGTTTTGGTTGAAAGTTGTTTGGAGTTCCAGATATTTTTCAACTGTAGAAATGCAGCCCTTTCTTTGTCAATCCTTGCCCTCACGTCTGCATCGGATCCACCTTGATTGTCGATGATGCTGCCCAGATATGTGAAGGTGTTAACGTACTCCAAGGCATCTCCATCGGGAGTGATTTGATTGGTGCATGTCGTGTTGCATCGGAGAATTTTGCTTTTTGCATTATGTATGTTGAGACCTACTGCTGCAGAGGCTGCTGCTACACTGGTCGTCTTATCTTGCATGTGTTGTTGCGTGTGCGATAGAAGAGCCAGGTCATCTGCGGAGTCCAGATCGTCCAGCTGCGTCCTAACTGTACAGTTGATACCGTGCTTCCCTCCAGATGTTGACGTTTTCATAATCCAGTCGAATACCGTCTCCTACACATTGCAGAAGCCATAGGAATACGTACATTCAACCCTAATTTATGTGTTCAGAAGAAATTCGTGACACCCCTATCTCTTCCGTGGCCGGATATGACGTAACTAATGATCGACAAATTTTATTATTTTTTGATTTTTTTTATTTTATTTTATTTTTACACATTTGCTTATTACGTAATGTTTTTGACGTTTTTGATGATTATTTGAATTCTATTCATCCACCCTTGACCTACTTTAGTTATCATATTGTAAAAATTTTCTTACTACTATCAGCACACCTGTTTTCCTATTATCCACTTGAACTTTTGCCTATTAGATGTAGTTACGTAATCTTTTTCATTTCATTGTGATTATCACTCAAATTGCCTTGATTGGTTTAACATTTTCATATAAATATTCATGTATATTAGAGTAAAGCCTGATGACGATCTAATCGATAACAATATTGTTCGCTTATATGTGTTGTTCTAATATAAATATGACAATCCGATTAAAATTAAGTGAATTAAGTTGTTGGCTTTTTTCGTTTCACATTATTTATTTGAACGTGATTTCTTAAGATTACTAAAACCAATTTACGGGAAATCATTTTCATACCAGGTCGAAGTAATATTTCTTTTAGAAAAATTGAATATTTTTGCTTAGTACAACACTTCTGTGATATTTTAACGATTTAAAACTTTTCAGATGTTTTTTCATCTGAAGCTTGTAACATTCAAAATATGTGATGAAAGAGTATATAATAATTTTTAAATTGGTTCCCGGTTTTTTTCGAAAAATATTTTCCAGATAAAATCTATGTTGATAATTGTGCTTCAATGTCTACTAGGTATTTATGCTATTAGAACGTAGTTTTCTATTCACTCGTTTACGGTGAAATCAGTTTCGCATTTGCTCAGCTTTTTGATTGTCTACTTCGTCTCCTCTTTACGTCTGTTGTCAGATTCTTATCAAAACTGTTTGCGTACGATTAAATGTTTTGGGCTCGATAAATGTAGAGAAAATAGACTAAAAAATGGAAATACTCTGTCATTCCTAATCGAAGGCTATTTGTGAGGATTTTACATAATCTTTTACTTAAATATCCATTATGAACCAATGACCTTAAACTATTAAATAATTGTAGAGAATGAAACTTTGAGTATTCAGTTAACAAACATTTCATCAAAAAATGAATGAAATTACAATTAAATGTTAAAATATTGAATAAAGATAATACTAGAATAGATTAGATAACCTCAGTTCATTTTAGGTCATCACATACAAAGTGTGCATTCAGTGATCACGTGTCGTTTATTATACCGCTGCTTCGGGTCAGATATATGCCAATGATTTGGGTCATTAAACACTAGTATGACAGCTTAATGTCATTTCTTAAGCTGACTACCCTGGAATTTTGTTGACAGTCATTGAACTGCATTGCTATTATTCTTCTTCTTCAGTGGTTTAGCTCAAATAAGATTTCTAGTCGATTAAAAGAATATATAACACTGATTAAATATAATCTTATGATAAATCAAATAAGAGTTGTGTACGTGTAGATAATTTACAACATAAATTTTATTATCTAGATCATACTTTTCGTTAGCGGATTATGTAACAAAATACAAAAAGTATAAAAAGTATAAAAAGACCTACACTTCAAGACTGATTAGCACACTTCAGCTTTAATTCCCTATCTTAACTGTTATCATACTTCTGTCCAGTTATAGTTAGTTTATAAAAATTACTTTATAATTTACAAAATGAATACTTCATCTACTGACCAGAGTTGTACTTAATTTCTAATCGTTGGATACTAGACTACATTAAAATCATTTCTCTTTGTATGGAAGAAACATTTGCTTTTATAAAATGCATATTAGAATGTTATATAATTATAAATGAATGAAATATTTTTACTATAATGTCAGCATTTCTTTTAAAAATTTAGCTACACAATTAAAAGAAATTCAATACCAAATAAATCGTTTGCCAAATTCAACAGATCCAGAACAAATTATTCAACTTTTAACACTTAGACGTGATGCAATGTATTTGAAATTTGATGTTTGTATACGTAATATATTAGGTGAAACATTTTTATCAGTCGGTAATGAAGATGCTTATAAAGTATGTTGAGATATTTTTTTTTTTACAGCTATTGTGATAATGTTATTACAATTGATTTTTAGAACAGTGTAAAAATTCGTGTTTATGCTTCTGACATTTTTGTTTCGTTGGTTAATCATCATTAAGATTTGAACTTTGTCCTCCATGTTAGTTATCATCAGTGAAGCTTTAAATAAATGATTATAAAAACCTGTTCGACAAATTTTGGTATTTCTGATAATTCTGTTGTAGAGTTTGTCAGAATAGACAAAATAATTATTTGAAATTTTGTTAACGGTAATCTCTTGACTATCAGCAAATAGATTTTTGTGACCAAATACATTTACGAAATTGTCGCCTCTAGGTAACACTGAATCTAGATTGGATTGACTAAGCAAGTCACGTTGTTCTGTATAATGAAAAACAAATTAATGCTAAATGAATTATAGTATGCGATAGATAATCTCAGCCTTCACAATTGTCAAACATATAATAATTATTGATGATACAGTTATGAAATTCAATTTGCTATAGTGTAGTAAAACCACCGAGTTAGTAATCTGTAGTCTGTTATTCTGTTCAGCGTTTATTAATACTATGTAATAAACCTAATTCGTATACAACTGAAGTCAGTCAAACCATTTTTACATCTTAACTATTCTCATGTGTGACCATATGACCAATTAGACTAGAAAATTTTCTTTTCTCTAGCGTCTACACTTACAGTGATTTATTGTTGGGGATATTAAATACCCAGAAATCGCTTGATAAATATTTTTATTTTGGGTTTATTTCATGGACCGATCAGTTGACCTTGAGATCACATTCTCCACTAGAAAAATCCTTGGCTGTGATTGATTACGGTGTTATTTTAGTGTGCTATTTTTGTGACTGTCACAAGGAAGTTTCTATAGAGTATAAATAAACGCAATTTGAGTGCTGACTGAGTGTTTGTAGAATGCAATTTCTACGCTATATCAAGACCTTTCGCTGATAGAGTTGGGTCAAGGGATCTAATTAGCCTACCTGGACGCTGATTCATTGTTTTGTTCTCGTTATTCGACTAAGGTGAACCCCTAACGTTTTAAGCATACCCAGAGACGAGCGTAACATTTATTTAATTCCTGTATTATACTTTAATTGCCCAAATATGTATATATATATATATATATATATACCTGAATGGTTGATCATGCTAGCATATATTAAACGAAAATTTGCATTATTTCTCATTGCTTTTAATTCACTACAACATTCAACTTGGTTAAGCACTCTTATTTAGACCCTTGTATTTACAATTAATATTTAAATTACATACCGACTTTGGATAATAAAATATATTCTCTGAAGAGATCGTTTTATAGAGTAATCAAAAATCCATATGTTTTATATGGTCAGGTCATAAAAAAAAACATGTTTTTTCTTGTATGATTGATTATATCAGATATATGTGTATCATAATCAACTTCACAGATTTGATCTTAATTAAACGTCTTTCATACAAGTATAAAAATATACTTATATTCATTCATCAGTTTTTCCGCCCAATTTATGACTAATGTACAAACAGATATTTGAATAATTAGTTACTGTAACCTATTCGTATTCATTTGAAAATGTTCAAAAGAAAACATTTATAACCTAATGTGACTGGAATTATCATCTATAATGCTTATTGAGGAAAATCATATAACACTACTGTATAGTAGATAGTACATCACATAGGCAGAAGTAATGTTATCTATTTTTTTTACATACATTTAGGAATTGACGGAAAACAGTCAATTTCCATTGTCTGAATTATCTAATTTGCAACGTCCATGTGTAAATGCAATTGAGCTGAGTGTACCAGAACCGTTGGAGCCTAGAGATGAAAAAGCTCAAGAAATATTTCCATGGCGTGCAATGATAAATCATTACGGTCCATTTTTATTGCTGAATACAAGTTGGAAACAAATTGAATATAACGTACGCTTATGTTTAGCTGGATTAAAACCAGTCGACCGGTAAGTCAATTACAAATTATCTATTTTTGAAGTATGAACAAGTCAAGCTACTGAATTATTGTTAGGCCGGTTTCATTTCCCACTCGGTGAATTAGTCACTCATTACGAAAGTTTTGTCACTCTTAATGGCTTGATGTCTTATGAAATCCCTACTTGTTTCCAAAGGGTTTGATTGGCTATTTGTAGATTGTATCACTTATGATGTAAGCGAAATGCTCGTATAAAAATAAAACAAATTACTGTGCAGCCATCCTCTTTATTCAACTGTGGCTATGAAACTACTTTTAGAAATAGAGAGTAATCATAGGTTGTTCGTATTAGATGATTTATCCCCTTGAAACGTTCCTTGTATATGATGAGACCATCATTTTAGCAATCCCAAGGTTAGACATAAGGCACCAGGTGTGTATGGCGAGTTTGTTGACATATTCCAATTCGCCACTTATTAGATATTTGGTTGTAAGAAAATTAGGGGTGGTAGCCAAAACCAGATGCAGCGTCAATCCTTGAAGATTTTGAACTGTGAATTAAGCAGTATTGATAGGTGCAAACTTTCTGATGGAGTTCATATTGATCATTGTAACAAACAGTCAGAGGTTTTGGGTGACAAGATTTAGAATCGGTTGTAATATCTCAGCTACATTCGCTTGTCTTCAGTTCAGTACTGAGCTTCCAGCTTATACTTTTTAAATTCCGAAAACTCATTCTTTATTCGGGAATCATAACGTCCATAACGTCCATCTTTTTCACTAACATTGTCACTGATGCTGATTTTAATCACTGTCGATTCGTTTCCATAACTTCATCTCGTGCTTTAGGAACTTTCACTGATGTACAGATCTATATTCCTTTTTACATTGTGTATGTATTGCCGATTTACGGACCTAATTAAAATAGTTGGCTTCTTGGATTAAATTTATAAATTTTATTATACATAATCGAGATTGAATTATCTGTCATGTAAAACGAATACGGTGAACCATTATTGATTATTTTGACTTCCATTAAAGCTATCTACACTGAAGTTAATTTTTTTGAATAATAATAACACGATACGTTTCATTATACTTGATTAATTAATGAAAGTGAATATCCGAACTACTCAGTTATCAACGATATTAAACAATTGTGTTGTCAGTTTAATTTTTGAAAAAAATTTTGATTAAACAAAAAATTGAACATATATAATCATTTCTTAATTTCAATGTAGTTAGTATGTGGACTGAAATATATGACAGTGTATATTGGTTTGCGTGATAAAAAAAAACCTGATTTCCATGTATTCCGACTACATAGCATTGAAGGTTGTGAAAAATACATTTTGTTATTCACTGATACAATATATACAGTTTGTTGTAAGTTTGTTCTAAGTGTTTTACACTTAAAAAAAAACTATTTTGAATGAATCTTAAACTTTCTGAGGCTATATGCTAATAAGTGAATGTTTCGTCATTGGTATTTACTTATCAGCATTTATCTAAAATGTTTTTAAAAAATATTTTTGGTAAAATATTAATATGGTAAATTTAGTATGACCGCATAATAACTTTTCACATTAGCTTAGTGATAATTTTTTCGAATGCATTTTTCAACTTTTTTCAGTCCAACTGTACACGGTGAACTGTCAGCTATGAACTTAACATTGAATGATATACTTGAAAATGGAGATGAAACGGAAATTTGTGAAAGTGACAGACCAATAATTCAAGAGCCTGAAAATATGCACCTCATATTGGAAAAACGTAACAAAACTCCTAAACATGAAGGAACATCTGAAGGTGATGAACGAGTTGTTGGACAAAATAAAAACACTGTAATGCAAAGTGTGAAAGGTAAATGTCAAAACATGAGCATAAGTCATCTTAGTGGAACACTTAGTTTTATTAAGAAAATTGTAAACTTCTGAAGTACATCATAGTTTCATATATATATACTGAACATCGCACAGACACGTGAACTCATAACTTATCGTTCCAAACTCTAAAGCATTTTTCACTAAGCTACCCATTTCAGATGACCCACTAACGTGTTCACTGAGTATTAATGTTTCTTGTAACATTTCATTTGCACTCTTGTTTATATTAGGATATCCAAATAAGTATGTATATATCGTATAAGTTCATACTAAGCGGATTATATCAGTATTTTTTTATCTAATCACTAATTTTGTTCGGTAAAGTTGGATAGTGGCTAGCAGTAGAGTCAAAAACACGCGTTTCACTATACTAGTTAGTGACTTGTCAGCTGAAAATACATAATGATCCTCTCTGTTATCACAATAATAAATTAAAATGATAACTGTTTAGTTGTATATTATTCATTTTTTCAAATGCAGTAAAATTAAATAACTCATTTCGCCACTAATCCAAACAATCATATATTTTTTCTATATAAGGTATAGAAATTCTAAGAACGCATATTCATCGCTAGAAAAATGAATTCATTTTCTATATTCCGTATTGTTATATGTCGAAATTCGGTTTACTGAATCAATAGTAATTTAAGGCTTTGCATTTGATGAGTTGCAATGCATTAATTGAATAATTTTCTCTTTTTGGTATATTTTTTCTTTAAAAATTAATCAACCGATCCTTTTAGTGACTTCAGTAAATATAATAGGTTTTCAAAAACTACTTACAACTTGTTATGCTCGTCACTAGGAATGCTTGAAACTATTACGGGTTCACCTTAGTCGATAAACGAGAACGAGAACAATCAACCAGCGTCCAGGTAGGTTACTGTGATCCGTTTACACAAAGGAACCAACGAAAAGTCTTGATATAGCGTAGAAAGTGTATTCTACAAACACTAAACAAGCACAATGAATTCAAGCACACAAACCGCATTTATTTATACACCATAGAGACTTCTTTGAGAGAGTCACAAAATAGCACACGAAAATAACACAGTAACCAATTACAGCCAAGGCTTTTCCTGGTGGGAAATAAGATCTCGAAGTCAACTAACCAGCCGATGAATAAAATCCAAAATGAAGACATTTATCAAGCAAGTTCTGGAGATCTAACATCCCCAACACAACTTTAATAAGAATTTATTGAACGTGGAATCCAAAAACAATGCCTTACACGTTGCATGAGTTTATCATCCATACATGTCATCTTTCTGTAATACCGCAAATTGTGTTTCCAGGATAGTATATTCTTCACTTTTTAACGCTCACATTGGGAACTGCTACTGTAAAGATATTTTTATATTTTCATGTTTTCGATAAAGTCGACAAAATAGGATCATCTCTTGATGATTATGTGGCTTTTAATTGAGTATTTCATTGAATTCGAGAAATTAAGAGGTTTTTACTGAATAATAATACTATTATAGTATATGTATGCGTATGAAAGAAAGCTGCTACATTATTTGTTACAATATACAAAATTAAAATGATATCCAAAAAGTAATCATGAGTTAATATTAAATTGATTTTTTTTTTAAATAACTAATTATCGGTGATTTAATGTTTATTGTGTACTTTTTTTTAAACGTTTATATCTCAGATTCAAAACTGAATATACTAAACACACCGATTGCAGCCTATAAACTAATTAAAAAATATTTAATTTTACGAAAACAAGTTGAATTATTAAAATATGCATGGGGAGCACATCGGCTGGGCATTGAACGTATTAACACATCAAAAACATTTAAAATGTTTTGGTAAGATATTGTATTTCACTTAGATAATCATTTTATTTTCAATAATTCTGTTCGATACCTTGGAAGCCGAATCTTTAAATAGACAACTGAAAATAAGATGAGGCATGTAGATATAAGTATTTTGATTTAAGTTTTGAATGTTTTGGCGATATTTTTGTACAAACTCATGTAAATTTTCAGCTGTTTTGTTACCAGTACTTGAAAATGTTGATTAACTAGTATATTTTAGTTGTCAGCCTATCAGCCTTGGCTTAAAACTGTTCACTTTCTTACTGATTCGCTTGTAAAACGGGTCTATGAATTTGAAAATAGAAGACACAAGTGAGTTGTGTTTGGCTTTCTGCTTGGTACAGTTAACTTAGCATACGTTGTTATCACTCGAATGTATAGAATTCATCTACAGGTCTTTAATCAAACGACAAAAGAAAATAGGATAAGTGCTTACTGTTGAAAGTGTCAGAATGTACAGAAAAACATGAGTGTTTGTAGTTTTGGTATAGGCAGTAAACATCATTACCTAACGTGCAAACAAAAGTTTTACTCAACAGTCTAATTTCCTTAAGTCACACTGATATTCTTGAAATTCTATCGGGCTGTGGTATGAGTATTACCTTAGTTTTGATTTACATGAACTCCATTATTTCATTGAAATGAAACTTTAAAAGTTTTTATTTGTCATTGCTTAACGTCATAAATTTATTTATTTTTACACTTTATAGTTCAGTCTATAAAAGTGAACAGTTATTTTCATTATTACGAAGTCTATCAGTTCAATACAATCAGCCTGACCTATATACACATGCATCATTGGATGATAATGATGTATTTGTAGTACCTAAAAATATTCCAGAAATGGTTGTTAGACAACGTCAAGTAAGTTATTTCTCTATTATTGATATCATAATTCCATCAATGACAAATACTTATATAACTGAAATTTTGAGCAACCTTTTAGAATGTGTGTAATATCATTGGATGTAGACCCCGAACTAATTTCGCTGAAACCATGAACCGATCGATGTTATGCCAACAATGAATACCTGGAAGAATTGGACAGCCGTTTATTTCTAGTATGAGACTTCTCAGCACTTAGTATCCACGACCATGCAAGCAGGAATCGAATTCAAGACATAAATGATACGAACTTGAATGAGCATGGACAAAAACATACTATAAAGACCCCGTTTATGAGACTCAATCGAACTGACTCGTACGTGGAAAAATAATCAATGCAGTGCAGTGCAGTCCATTATGTTCTTGCTGTATGAGTCAAAGTTCACTTATCTGGCAAAATATACTGAGAAGGGGCATACAAATGCTTACCACTTGTCGATATAGTCATAAGGTTATGGAGAATAATGAGTTTCATTGAAACCATGGATCACTCAGTGTTAAACCACCATTAGAAACCTGAAATCACTGGACAGCCTTTGCGGCTTAGTATGTGACTTCTCGTCGGTGCGTACTCACGACCCCGCGAGCGTGAATTGAACACAGTGCCATCGGTCTCACATGCGAATGCTTAACCTTCCGGTCACTGGGTCGGTATCATATGGTGTTAATGTTTAATTTAAATCAGTCCACGATATAACGTGACCATAATCCATTGTTTCCTGGAGGTAACTGCTTCACGTACAACATGACTGAACTCCATTGATCAAAACAATTCTTCCAGCATGAAATTAAAAGATGAACTAAATTGTTACTATAAATTAAAATTTCATAATACTGTTTACAATAATATAAACAATATTCACATGCAAATGATGGACTTATCAGACGTGCTGACAAAGACTTATTAACATTAGATAAAAACACTGGGTGTTTCGGTTATGACAATAATCAAAACTAGCTCATTTAAACATCTTTTATAAAAATAAAATTTGAAGAAACAATGTTGCCAAGATCACTGTTTACAATTTTTTGATATATCATGGCATAATTCTCCGTGATAAATATCATTTCTAGTTGAATTCTATAAAAATTCCAATTACATGTAATTTGATACCATAATTGAAAATTTCTAGTTGGAGATATTGATTAACGAAATACTAACCTTGAGAAGACTGAGGCAGGCTCGATGGATTGTATTTCGCAAATTTACACTCTTAGTCAATTAAAAACGAAAACATTACATTGAACACTCTATTTGCACACCATCTTTGAGTCCTGACTTCCAACGCTCCAGCCTTCTTCTATTCCTGCTGTTGCTTCCTTTACTTCCTGTCGGTGCTCTATTTGCTTTCCGTTTTCCTCTTCTGACCGTGAGACTTCTTCTTTCACGTCCATTCTTGTACTACTTATATCGTTCGTATAAGTAGCACACACCACACCCTGACACCTTGAAAAAATTTGTTTTTTTTGGAGTTGATAAAAAACTATGATGTCTAATCTTCTCAAATACAAAATATCCTTTAGAAAGTTAAAACAACAATCGCTTCGGTTCAAGACTAAACTGTTTATCTGAAATATCATCTTAATAATATTTATAAATAATAATACACATAACACATAAATAAAAACTTTCTACCAATACAAAATCCTATTAAAAAAAATTGGTTTCAATTACCATTAGAATTTATAATTATCTACAAATTCTTATATACTCATACCTCAAGTGATTTAGAATTAATTTAAAGATGCTAAATTTTAGCCGAATTTGAATTATTTCTTTTGTTTTCTTTTCTCTCTCTCTCTCCCCTTCTCTTGGTTTATTTACAGTTAGGTAAATTGACTGAAGCATTTGAATTGTTAATGATATCGGATTTACGGAAATTAATTATACGACAAACTGATATAGTCATTAAAGAACGTAATCGTGAAGAAGGCAATTTACCATTAGAATTATGGAAACGACCAGTAAGTTCTTATTTATGATATTAATTGAAAAAATCTATACATCATTTAAACAATAAAAAAATTGTTTTCTAATCAGTACGTTTCTTCTTTTTTTATTTTGTACATGCTCTTAGTTGGTTTATATTTCAATTTTTTGTGTGATCATGTTTTTTGTTGTGACTGTTTGACTTTTACCATACTCATACAATAAGTTATAATTACTTATTATTACTAACTACTTATTATGAAAGCTTACATCGCATACTATGATTGCTGTGTAATTTTGATCTTTGCAATGAATATGTTAAAATATATATTCTTTCTTGAGTATAATGCATTACTTGGTAAATTACTTGGTAATCATCCTTCATTTCTCGCTTGAAAAATACTTGATCTATCAATCTAAATAATACTAGATGAGCTATTGAAGAATTAAAAATTTTCATCACTTGATATCAATTAAGTAAATGCTGTAAAAAAACAAAATCATGAAATACTGAATTAGTTGGCAGTTTCGTTTGTTGGAAATCTGGTACTTGAAATTGTTCAAGAGACTTATTTGTCCAGAAAAAAAGCTCAACACATATATGTGTTATTACCACTTTTAAATCTTTTCACTAATCGCAACCACTTTTAAAGATAACTTTTCTGTTTCAAACAAACACTGGTTTCAATGCGCCAAATAATTTATCTCAAAATGTAAACAAATGATTATATGCTAAACAGATTTCAGTATGCTGTTATGTAAAGTAGTAGTAGCTTGTTAAGTCAACGAAATCTGAGTTTAAACACGAACTAATCAGAGTTTCTATCACGCTTGCACGTAAACAGGTCATTTTGATCTGCTTAAACTATTACGAGTTTACCTAGTCGGAAAACGAGAGCGAGGATCGAGGATCCGGCGAAACGACATGCTACTCAAATCTGATTATCCTGGTCCTAGTCCTGGTCATAAAACATTGCACATAATGCGTATTTATACATTTCGGTCGAATAGGAAACAGCATCGAAGTCTGTGACATTGGCAGTTAAGACGACCAATAAGGAGCAACATTTGGAGTGACAATGATAGTCAGGACAACCAATAAGAAACAACATTGGAGCGCGTGACATTGATATCTAGGACGACCATAAAATTGACCAGTAGGAATTAACCAATAGGAATTGACCAATAATTCTCTTAGGATATTGGATGAATATCCTAACAGTTCCTAGCCCTGTTACAAAACAAATAATTATATGCTAAATAGATTTCAGTAAGCTTTTATGTAAAGTAATAGTATGCTCTGAAGTCACCTAAATCTGAGTTTAAACAAGAACTAATCAAAGTTCCTACTATTATTAAAGAATTGCATTGCGTTAAACAAATCGATATCAAGTAAAAGAACAAGAAAATACCTGCTTAGATGATGAATGATATTGCTCGGCCACGTCATTTAGTTCAATGTTTTTTTAGTTACAGATATAGATTGACAAAATCATTGATTAACTACCAGCTCAATTCACTCAAAGTTATTGATTGACCAAACATTGAAAATGTCGTATAATCCCGGGTTTTGTCATAAAATTAGTGGTTGACGAACGGATCCATCTTCTTCTACAGTCTTATATTCTTCTTTCCGTCTTATTCCGTTGTAGTAAGTAGCAGGTAGAAGTGTATTTCACACTTACAACAAACGGATTAAATGAAAGTCTTGGGAAATATGTTTTATTTCAAATTATTACAATTGGGTGACTAGTACATCGAGCATAACAAAAGGTTATTTTTTATGTTATTAAGTAAATAAACGCACACACAGTTCACCATTACCACTTGTATTATTTACTTTCCTATTTTTCGTAAAAATACTTTTTGAATAGGCAATGAAAGGAATTTTATCTGTGAAGAGACCAGCATTAGCAGAAGAATTTCTCAATCAGCTAATTTCACATGCAGTACTTAATGAGGAAACTGATGATTATACAATCACAAAAGAGAATTTTAATGTAATTATACAAAATGTAGCTATCTCAGTGATGCATAATGAAAGAGAATCATTTGAACAGTAAATTACTTTTCTTTTTTTAGAAATATAATTTGTGTTAGTTTTTGTTTATAACTTTATCTGAACGAAATATTTGGTTGTGAAATATTTTTATTATTTTTATGATAACAAAATATCCAGATAGCTATAGGCATCGAAATAGAATGTAAAAAGAAATGCTAATTAATCTCCTCCCCGATTACTGACAGAATATTAAGATACAACAGATTATGTGTAATTTCAATTTCAAGCATAGTTTTAACGATGTAATGTATGGTGATACAGAATGGTATGCAAACAACACAATGTTGACTATGAGTCGATTAAGAGGTATGAAATGTTTGGAAATACTTGAAAAGATTCACATTGTGACGCTTTACTTTAACTCTTCATACTGTTTATATATATTTTTTTTAATGAAAAATCTGAGGTTTTAGCCGGTCAAGTTAAGAATATTCACATAAATGTTCGTTTTACTTTCATCAAGAAAAAAATACAGTAAATATTTTGAAATCATAGACTTTTTTTTGATGTATGAAATGAAACGCGATGGTCAATAGTAGTTAGTTCAGTCAATTTCAAGCTACCTACGGGTAGATCCAAAACAAAGTAACAACAGTTGTTCATGTATAACAAATAATATTCTTTTTGATCAAATGACACTTTCGGGTGAGATTTAATTGAAATCTAAAGAAAATTTCCTATGCGTTAAGTGAATAATAGGTTCATGTAACTACTTTATCTTCAACCTTTTTTTGTTTAAATGACCACATAATTGTAAAAGATTTAAGTATATGAAATGGTCTATATAGTATGCGTTTTCACTAGCCAGATGTGAGGTTATGATAGTCAGTCAATGGGATCATAATTACTCTATGTTCAACAATAGAAAGCTAATTTATATATACATGATAATGTTGAAATCGCTTCTTTCTTCAAACTCTGGAACTTAATAAGTCAAACGGTATGCTGATAAACCTTATTCAACATATTGATATAATCAACCATTGAATTCGAGATATTTGTGACATTATTGAAAATACTTAGAAAAATGTGCTTATACATTATTTTAGTAAAACTTAGCTTACAATTTACTGTTCTTTGTTCGTTCATTCGAAAAAAAAATTTGTTCATTTTTATTACATTTGAAAAAAAAAACTAATTTTTCTAGTTATTCAATGTATTATGAGAATTTGTTAAGAAATCAACATAATATTATATATGCGAATGAACGTGAAATACAAGATCTTCGTGATAAATTGCAACAGAAAGATCTAGAAACTGGTACAACAGTACAATTTCAAATGTCTAAACAAGTACATGACTTATTGTTAGGTAAGTCATAAGAATAAATTGACAATCAAATGAAGTATCGTTTAGTCTTTTTCTTTTCATTTAACTTATCCAATCTCTCATCATTATGATACTTAACGACTGATAACACGTTTTTACACTAGTTAGCAGGCGGAAATCAGCGGTAAGTAAAATAAGATTCATTGGAAAGCACAAACTATTTAAAGATTTTCAATTAAAAATTTTGTATCTGCCATTATATACTTTAGTCCTTACTCCCAATAGACAATGAAGAATATTTTATTCTAAATTCAAATTACTTAACTGTGATTAAAAGTAACTTTAAGTGAAATGATCTTCTAGCTTGTTTCTTTTTATTACTAAACAAAGTGTTTAAGAATAAAATATATGTTGCATGGAAGTACGAATGATTGGAGATACTACATGTATAAAATTCAACCAGCACCTTTTTCAGTTACAAAAACATTTCAAAAATAACTTTCACCTTTGATCCGTTCACAAGTTTTTTGTAGAATTCTAATGGCGGTCTAACAATGATTGATCGATGATTTCAAATGTGTAAAAACACTAATCTCCATAATCTCCATAAAATGTGCTCATTAGTGACTAGCTTCGTGAGGAAATTCTCGGAGTTCTAGTTGAGAAGACGTGACCAGTGGAGTGGGTGTAGGCAGTAACTGCCAAAGACCAATAGTTGAGGTCGCGCAAAATCCCTAGATCAATCAGAGTTAGACATTAACACCATTGGATACCGGCCCATTGGTCCAGAGGTTAGGCGTTCATGCACAATACCGAAGGTCCAGGGTTCGAATCCTGCGAAGTGCATGAGTCATGGGTGCGCACTGCTGATGAGTCCCATACCAGGACGAAACAGCCGTCCAGTGATCCCAGGTTTCTAATGGTGATCTAACAATGACTGATTGATGATTTCAAATATGTAAAGTTATAAAGTTAGTAAGAAAATGTAATAATACGAAAAATTGTATATGCTAAAGGATAGGTCAAGTGGAATGATCAAACTCGTAAATGTTGAATTGCAAAACATTTAATTTTCAAACGGAGTAGATGAACATTTGATACATGGCTATAAACTGGTAACAAGTAATTTGTTCACCGTTTAGAAAATGCTAAACTGTAGGTACTGATTTAAAATAGCGGAAATTACGTCCAGAGATCAGTGTTGAATTTTCGTATGACTATTAACTAACTTCATCTGCCGAGATCCAAATGGATTTAATCTCATATATGAAATAACGCTTTAAGTAATCATGAAGAATACAAATTCTCATCATCTCATAGTTAAATGAATCAAAATCACAGAAATATTTTAATGCTTTGCATAAAAGCAAAATCCTACAATTCCAGCAACTTTTATTCTGAAAAAGTGTAAAATATAAGTTAAGTGTTCAATATCTTTGAAATACGATTTTACATTTCTAATATTTACCTTTTTTGATAGATACTTATTGTATTCATAAAACACTGTCGCTAAATTATCAAATAAATAAAACTCTTATATTTTCTGTTGCTAACTCACAAAAGTGAATTTTAACGGTCCATCATGATTTTGTAATCCGTTAATTTATTTCAGACAGTTTTGCGTACTGGAATATGACAATCATAAATATTCAACAGTATTTCTAAATGAACATTAAAATGTTAAGTGTTACTGTATTGTAGGTATAAAATAAATTATTACTGACTAATTGAATTTACCACTCAGTTCGAGCATGAAAAATAGATAACATTTTATTTGAACAGTTTAATTGATTTGTTCTCTCTGCTAAATCATACAGAGGTTACAGCACTGCGAGCTAGAATTCTTGAATTAGAAGAAATACATAAAACAATTGAAGCTGAAGTACGCAAAAGTGTGAGAAATGAATTTAATGATTCACTTCGTAAGCTATTTGGTCTCAGTTTCGAACAAAAATCACGTATTGATGAATATCGTAATCAATTGAAGGCAATCACTTTACAACGTATTGATGAGGTGAGAGAACAAGCTTCTACTGAATTGTTACGCATAAAAGAACGAACCGCTGTTGGAAGTTCAGCAGGTGAATTAATTTTTTAATTTTATTTTAAAAACTGATAAAGTTACGCTATTTTAAAAACGCAATTGTAATAAGACACTCAGATTTTAAGTGACAGTTTTTCATGGTAGTAAATACTATTTTAACTGGTTGTTATAATCATTAATAACTTTCTACTGAAAAATTGTTCAGTTATTTCTAGTCAGCAGGTAAGAAAATACATTCAATCAAATTTTTCCACTGTAAACATTAACTCCGTCATTCCAAGAATTCCAACATCCCTGTGGTGTTCACGCAAACAAAGCTGAAGTGGAAGTCAACTTTGTCCTATGTAGTGTTTTTAGCAGTTTGAACAGTTTATTTCGTAAATGATGTTAGGTTTTTCATCTTTAGTCATTTTGCCTTTTGGTTTAAATAGGATTGAGTGAAGTGATTTGGTTGGTTTATGGGCTATACACGTATTCCAAACAGCTTCAGTAAACTTACTGCAATTCCAAATATCTTTTATATATAGTAAAATGATTCGTTTGTTGGTTCTTGGACTTGATTTCGCTTATGTTGATGGTTTAAATTGATATTTCTTGATGAAGTTGTATCTCTCTTCACCAGAATCGACACAAGAAAACTGGAGATTCAAGTATTTCAGAAACCAATGCACACAAATCTAATTCTCAACTACAGTAGCAACAGTCTGTCTGTTTGCTTCGAGAAGCAGACAATGACAGCTTACAGGTCCATAACAACCAATCAAGTTCGAGGTCAACAAGACAAGCTACTAGTCATACAAGGTGAAATTCGAATACTTCATTTCTATCTGAAGTTTATACTGATGATGTTGTTCAGAAGAACAACAAAAGCTCCACAACCAAAACATCCAACTAAAAAAACGAAACGCCATCATAACCGTCCACCTAAGCTACAAATTTCCTTTTTTTCAGCTGTATCAGTTTCGTCTATTTTTATTCAGTATCACATTGTCTAACAATATAAATCTTTGAATCATGTTTCTTTTCAGTTTTCTGTGATATAATATTTATATATTTAATCTATAAATGGTCAATTATTAGAAAGGTTTTTGATTCAACCTTATCCCCAAAACATATTCTACAATAAAGTAATCATGCTTGATCGTTCTTTAATGAATCAGATCATTATATGTTTTGGATGACAGCATTTGAAGCAAGTTGGCAAAATAAATAAATTCATAGTTGTTCTTCCCTATTGCAAATATCTTAATAAAGTTAAATTGAGAAAAGATTTATTACACGTTTTGATATATTTTCATGTGTTTCACATTTGGTATTAAATAACAATACTGAAACATTCAACATTTAAAATATATCAGTCAATTTGAAGTTCTATCCCATCAAATATACAACAAAACTATTTCTTGTTTTGTCATAATAAAAGAGTTTATTAAACAAATAAAATTCTTAAAAATAATTAACAAAATTGATTATGATTATCAATGATATTGACTAGTTTAGTCTCTAATATTTTTTTACAGCTATTTATCTTAAAATATTATTATTATTATTATTATAATTCAATAAAACCTGTTGTACATATATTGAAATTTTATAGAAGATGAATTAACTGAACGTAATTATAATTTATCTAAAGAAGTGACCAATTTACATCAATATAATATTAGTCTTCAACAAATGATGAATCGTGTGAAAGTGATGTCACAATGGCATCAAACTACAATGAAAAGTATATTTGAAAAACAGGTTTGTCAATTGCATAATTGCTGAATGGAAATTGATAAATTTTGTTTTTGGACATAATTTTATTTAACCTAAATGTTTATTCTGCACAATTTATTAATGTATAAATGGTAAATTTATATTTTGTTATGTGATAGTAATTATTATGATTGAGGCTTAATAAAAATTGGTTTATAAAACTTTATAATAATAACAATATTAAAAAGTATATCACATTTGAAGTTTGTTTATTATGCAGTTTAAGTAAAAGAGGAAATATTTGAGTTCAAGGAAAACAGATATCGCCAAAAAACAATGCCTAGAATGTATTATTAACGTTAACTTGAGTTACAATACAACATTAAGAAAGAGAGCAAAATGATAAAATGAATTACTAAACAGAGTGAAATATTGTGGTATCAATGAAAACAAGACAAATATTGGCAATACAGCTCGAAAAAAAACAGAGTAGATAGGTTTCCAAAAAAAAAAATAACTGAATTCAGAAAATAAACGAAGGAAAAGCAAGTGCATCTACTGCACTGTAACCGATTATAAGTCGTTTCAACCAAGGTATCGAAATACTGACGGCGAAAGGTTTGACGACTGGGCTTAGTATTTGATGTCGATCCAGTGTTACCTATATCCTTAAATTTTCAGATAAAAACGGAGTGAAATATTTTTAGAGTTTATCCCCATAATTCAGAATTTTCTGGAGGAGAGATCACAAACAAGGATAACATGTTTGTTTCAATTAAACTGACCTTGATAGCTATCCGAATATATGCAGCTTATATCTTGAAAGTGATTTGGAACTATGAGTATTGTTCTTGAATCCAACACCCACATTTCGCTAAAATATCTGTTTTTAAAATCTCATGACATATGTAATTCTGCTCATCGGACGCATCAACTTTTAAATTAAATTTACTTCTTGTCACAGCTATGTTTTTCCTGTCGGTTTGCAGCTTTAGATTGAATTTTCTAATACCATACAAATAGATATCTTCTGGGACTAACTACTTGTGAAAGAGTAAGACACTTCTTATGTAACTGCACGAGTTGATATTTCCCTATACAATGCTGGAAATAAGCCTTTCTGGATGCTAAATTAACCGAATTATTCAAGATACTTGCGCCCGGATTCCCCTTATGCAATTGTGAAGACTGCTGCAGAATTCACCGAGTGGTACCGAATATTTTTTGATCTCAAACTTTTCACTTAGTTTATTTCTATACGTGTTTGGCTTTCGAGTGACGTTGATTAAATTTCATGTGATATTTGTGTTAAATATCGTTATTTTGTGTTCAATTTAACAGCTTGGTACTCTTGAAAATCAACTACATCAAAATAAAACACATGTTACGCTACTGAGTATGTTATCTGAACAATATATACGTTCGTTAAATGAAGAAAAGACTAATGTACAAGAACATTTAGCCGATACACAAAAACATTTGAATGGTCTACGAATTGCATTGGATAAAGAAGTAAGTCGAATTTTAAAAAATATTTTGTTCTTTAACAGGATAAAATAATTAAAATACTTGTATACTGCAGAAATTAACATAAGCATTTCGATAAATTTTACATTAGTTTAGCAACTAAAACTTCACCAGCAAAATAAAGTGATACAAATCGCTGTATGTTACGATTACACAAGTGAAGCAAGTCAACATAAATGAAAAAAACTAGAAAAAGTGTTAAGAAATGTAGCTGAAAAGAGAAAGTTTAGTAGTTTGTAAGTATTAATAAATCTCAGGGCTTCAGAAAGAGAACTTAAACACATATGCCCTATTCTACTCACTTATACGCTCTCACACGGAGTCTCTAGCCGCTGGTTTATATCACCTTGACAGTCTCACCCAGGAAGTCGGAATATCTTTTAATCAATAGGGTAAACTTAGTTGTTTATGTCTTCATTTGATCACTTTTGTGCTTATATCAAACCAATCTCGTCTACGGTCCGAATTTCAAGTCACGTTAAACAATAACTTGACCTTCGTAACAAATCAGGTTCGCCTCAACCAATATCATTTCGAAACCCCATTTACTGATTTATCCTTAGGATATACATTAAAACTGTACATTGTCTCCTACTACTAGTTCCATTACCAACAATTAGTGCCATGAATAACATAACGACTGAACACTTAAACTCTAAAGTAACAAATATCAGACTATTCGGCAAGCTTACTGTCACTCTGATAGACGACCTTAGCTCCTAATGGTGTGGAGTATGGCGAAAATGAGAAATGAGATTTTTTACGCTTTCCAGTTGGTATTCATGCAATCCTTTAGATAAATGGAATGATCATAGAGTCCAATCTGAACACATAATTGCATTTCCATGTTTCATTTTAAAAATAAATATCCGTATATAAATTGGTTTTATGTAGCTAGAATCCGAGTTTTCTTTAAACACAATGAGAAAATGTGCATGTATACATAATTTTAAACTTTCTATCATGTTTTTCATTTATTAATACATTATAGATGAAAGATAAAATCGACAGAAAACACGCAGCTGAACGAAAAGCTGCTACTGATAAACAAATGGCTATAGTAAAACAAATGCATATTGACCAGCTAGTAAGTGTTGATATTTAAATTGATTGATTACTGAACAAGGTAAAAAGTATGCTGTTATTCTAGACCCTAGTGTTGATTGAATTCCATCAATTAAGTTCCAGTCTAGCTGCTAGTCTTAAAGACTTAATATTCCGTTCACTTTTGAAGCATGCTGACACAAATTAGGGGTGTTTATAAATTATGAAGTATTCGGCCTTCAGAGCTCCTGATACAACTGAGTGGCATGTCCGATATACCACACGAAATGTTTTCATTTGACTACGCGTGTAGAGCCACTACTAGAGAAGCCCTATTCACTGCCTTCTCATGACGGGGTGCTACTAAATCAAGAAGACGGGGAGAGGATGTCCAGCGAGGTGGTGGGTATAGAGGATCCACCTAGGTCACTTGGGAAACCCCGATCTTAAAAGTGCTGCACATGCGCCCCAGGATCCTAGCGGAACAAATGTATAAAACTAATGTTGGTAGCCGGCTACCATGGGGCTGCATCTGCTGACATAGCTCCGTTGCTTTGTATCAGACCTCTAGGTCAAAAGTGCGGGGAGTATTATCCTGGGAAAATCAATTCCTTTAGTTTGGGAATCTAGTAGCATCCCAACATACACATAAATTCAATAATTTGCGTGGCACGCAAGTATTTGGTTGTTCCTTTCTACCAATAAGTATATGTTTAAATAAACAGCATGAAGTATCCAGTTTTTTTTTTAAATCCTGGTAGAGTTTTGTTCTTTGAGCTCAGAAAAAATTTACGAACTTAAATGGTTTCAGTAATGATTAAGTTTTGTTTTACTTTGATTATTTCCTTGTAAAACCATACTACACAACGTTTCATGACTTTATTTAATGTCTATGAATTACATGGCCTCTTCGTTATTATTAAAAAGAGAAGGCAATGATTGGAGAAATTATTTTCTTTGATAATGGTTGGTGCCTTAATCCAAATGGAAAATTTGTCATCAAATCTTTAATAAAATTTGATGTCTTAAAATATTTTTGTGAATATTCATTATTTACGAATAACTTTACTACTAAAAGCTCGAAAATAATAGCTAACATAACGTTTGATTAGTAAACAGATGTTTAGAAGGTGCCGATATACTTTATACATACATATTCTTAAAATAATCACAGAGTGCGCACCAATGTACAGGTAAGATAAGATTCATGCGAAATAGAAGTGATATTCATAAAAATACGACTACATTATCTGAAAAGACATGATTAATAAATTAGTTGGACTAAGCATTTAAGATAGAAGAGATATGTTAATGATATGAGATATAGTATGCAAACAAAAATTCACACTTAAAGGTGATAATATCTCATTAAACAAATTTTACTAGACATTAATATTTTAAGCATATAGAGTTGTCTTTAATAAACTTGCTTAGAAAGTCCCATAATTATAACATTTTGAAATGATGTCATATGTACTTCGATAAAAGTACAAAGTAAATAGTTTGTTCACTGTAAGTATAATCTGATATTATATTTAAGGTAATAAGCTTGTTGAATATCATATAAATGATTGATTCCTTTAAATTTATTCTCTTCAAATGATTATTATAAAGAAAATTGTATACACTATAACAGTCCTTCTCTGTATTATATTCCTATTATTACACTGATTTACATCTCGTACAAAATCCTTTTGTTTTTTAATCCTCTATTTTTGTAACCTTCAATCTTATTAATTTTTTATTGATTTATTTAAGATGAGAGAAATAACAGAGAAAGATACTGTACTTAGTGAAATGAATACAATTTTAAATGAAAGTGCAAAGTCAAGAAAACAAGAAGTTGATGAATCAATACGACAAGTTGATTTGTTACGTAAACAACTCAAAGAAGAAAAACATTTAAAGCAATCAGCTATACAAAAAGTTGATGATCTAATGTCACAAGTGAGTTTATTTTTATACTTTTTCAACTTCAATGACATGATATTTCACTATCTTTTTTCCGTATATTCTGTGCCTTAAGAGGGGAACTATATTGTCTTGCTATAATTTGTCATGCATTACTTATATTCTGATTTTAAATAAGTTAGAACAAATATAATGTGAAATGATGTTTAGTTAGTCAATGTGCAATACACTAAATACTTAGTTGTTACAGGACGGCATATATTTAAATTTTCCAACAATCAAAATGAAACCAAAAGTAATCGTAAACCTTCTTGAACACTTGGATGAATCTACAACATACACTTTATATTCATAGACCTTAGAGTCACCGAATCCCAAAACAAAGTTGTCTAAACATAGCAATGGTGTAACTTAATATCAAAACACAAAAACAACAGACTAGTTTTCTATTTTATATGTTTTAAAGCATTTTAAAAATTTTCATTAGCAAAAGTAGCGTTATTTAAGCTATCTTTACAATTTCTTGACTACTTTCTTATTTACTAATCTATAGGTAATTATTTCTGTTGAGAAAATGTAGATTATCATTGATTGATTACATATTTACATTTGTCAAAAAAATGACAGTAGTAGTTCGACTAAATAGTACAATTATTTACTTCCATAAAAGGTATTTTATAAATTTTCTACTAAAATAAACAAACGGAACTTTTCTTTAAGTTCTGAATACGTTATTCAAACTGGTTTTTAGTGTATACTCAGTGAAAATTGTTCTAAATAATAAGTAGATATACAGATTCAATGTTAAGAGTGAAATGTTTTTAACCAGATAAATGAAATAAAAAGAAATACGCTAAAGATACGTAGAACAGATTGTACTCTTGAAAATACATATCTTTATTGTACTTATTGCTACTAAATGAATCATAAAATTGGATTAAATTGTCTATAGTTATGATACTTTAAAATCTAAATAATCGATCAATTTTAAGGTAGTTATAGAACAAAGAAACTGCTTTATCGTAAATATTGAAATAAAATAAAATAAAAAGTTAGGGAGATTTATTCAGAATTACACTAATGTGTTTGCACAGCATGAAATACAATTTGTCCTTCATAAATTTGCTGAAATGAGTATTTTTCTTCTTTAAGATTCTATAATAAAAGTATAAGAATAGAAATATTGTAGAAAATTTATTTTTATTAACCAACTAGTCCTGATCAGCATTGAACCTGGTACATATGTGCGAAAGCACAAGTTTTCATGCTATTTAGTATAAACAGATGAATTTTAAGGGAAAGAAAAGAATAATAAATAAATTGAAATCATGCAACATCACTGAGTAAGACTGAATGTACAGAATACGGTTCAAAAAGACAGATTGAAAAGTAGATATGTAGAAGGGAATACTGACAAGTGGACTGAGTCATATTGGTAGATGTAGATATTCTGGTTTGGGTCCGCGGGACGAAAACCACCGATGGTTAGAGACTTTGAACAAAATGGCTCCAAATCGTTTGCAATGGCGCAGGTACATCCATTCTTTGTGTTCTTTCAAATTCTAACCTCCTGAATTCCTCATCATCCCTTTCTAAAATTAATCTCACTGAATTATACTTCTCCAATCATATCTTTGAACCCCAATCTTCTCCATTACTGCTAATACTTCTACTATCTCTACCACTATTGGATTTGAACTGACAGTTGCGTTTCTGTGCTGACGGGGTATGGCAACCTGAACTTATGTACTACCGTACGAAGTTCTACGTTGTAGTTGACTGACTAAAGGAGTATTTGGATTTAGAACCTAGAGGAATATAAAATTGAACGCATTTGTTTTGCTAGGTTGTCTTTTATCTCATAACACTAATCTCGGTTATCATGTTGACCCGAACCAGTTAGTTTGGTTATAATTAGGCGGCTTTGACCAACAATGATTGACCTACTAGACTGATGCAGCGTTTTATCTTGACCTACTTCATTTAGCATTCGCATACAATACAGTTAGTATATATTGTTCACTGTAGTCATTTTAAATTATTTCTTACGTAAAGTTATAACCTAAATTATTCTTCATTATGAACTCCTAATTAAAGACAAAACATTGTTGAAAATATCTCTTTATTACTACACATTAAGTAAAAATTTCATGGTAAATAAATGAATATTAAGGTGTGTAAATATGTATAAAAAAGGCTAATCAACAATTCGCAAATGATGAATCCTTTATAATATTTTAATCCCAATAAATTTTAGTAAAATATAAATTTTGATCAAGACAATAACTATTGTTACTTTCACCTTGTTTTCATTTACCTTAAGGCAAACTAATTGACTTGTACTTGGTAATAATAATATTTTATACAGTGCAATTGTCATAAGTTAGAAGTAATGAAATAATTTGCATATTTCAGAACGTGCTGACTAATGTTAAAATGAATTCATGACTATCGTAGGAGCACTTTAGATTAAATTAATGACCGCTTTTTTACTAACTCATTTGCCGGGTATGGATTCGTGCACTCGGCTTGGAGCCACACTTTGAATGTGATTCTATTCAGTTGCCCTAATTGAAAACATGTGGCTTAGTTTGAACCTGAGACTTAACAGGCGCCTAATCTACCGCTCCACGAATAGTTGAATGAGAACTGTTATAACAAATTTAGTTTCTTAAGTTGCCAGATTTTATTGCCGTTATCCATTTGCAGTTGTTGAATTTTTCATTTTACATTACTAATCGATCTTAGACGATCATGGATGACTAGAAAGTGTGTGGTGATGTATATTGGATATAATTCCTAAACTTCGCATACTACAAGCCTGATAATCGTTACTAGATAACGTCTAATGGTGTGTAAAATTCAAAAGAAAAATTCGCAGCATTGATGACGTTTATTATCGCATCACACTGATCGAAAAACAAAGAAAAGCAAATGATTAAGTTTAAAATGTACATATATACATGGTAAAATACAAGAATCACCAAATTATTTAAGCGAATAACATGAAAGCTAGTAAAATGAATATATGTGTAGCCGATAACCAATGCTCAAGCATACATGCTCAAATACAAGTGCGACAACAAAAAAGTACAGTGGTACCGACAAGTTGTTACCGTTCCAATGACGCTATCCTTTAAATAAGTTAATAAAAAGGCCTAGCTAAACAAACTCAAATGTATGTGAAGTGCACTAGGTGAACAGCTGGTTCGCTGTACCATGGGTATGCATTACGATCCCAACGGCGATAAAACCTGGCACATATAGGTCTCGTGGAGCTCAACTACCCCACTCCTAATGTGGTGGAATTTCACTGGTCACGGCTTCTAATAGAAACTCCGGTGAATACTTCTCGGGATTGATCAGCGGTGAACATATGAATATTATTCCCTCGCAGGGGCTGTGGGTCCATAGTGGTGAGGATTCCCACACTAAGATGAAACATCAACCCATTGCTCCCTAGTTTTTGACAGTTGTCCAGCTAAAGTAAGTTCATGGTCTATATTACCAGACTTTAGTCAACAGTACATTTAAAATGTGTCTCTCTGTCTGATGCCTGATTACTTAACGTAATGATTAAAAGATTATCCTTTTATGTGATGTAATGTATCATTTTTTAAACATTATTTTGAAATGTGATCAGTCTTGATTAGCTTTAGATCACTCTTTGAGAAATGCTTCCACATAGACATTATGACACATGTTTGCATAGAGTAGATAAGTTGTGGTTATCAGTGGAATCCAAGACGCGCGTTTTCTCTTACTTGGGACTGCTCCAGTTGAAGTACCTACATACCAAAGTTGATATTTACACCTTTCGCTGGAAACGCCATGTTATTCACTTAGTTATTGAGTTCAGATAGCCACTTACTGGTACAATGTGTAAGGATTAGTAATGGGTTGGAATATTAGCTATGTGATTCAGGTCCATCACTCATCTGACGAGTCATAAACAGGATCAGACGCACGTCTGGGACTTCACTGCTGGACATAGTCCATCTGCTCTATATAAATTACCAGCTACTTAGTTCTGTTATTACTTTATTGATTAACATAATGATCCACACACCGAATGAATACACGAATGTTCAAACAGAATGAGTTCACCTAACGGAAGCCATTTCATTGTTTCTGTTTTCTTCTAATTTTAAACAGTTATATCAATTTGAATCAGTACAAACGGGATCCTCAGGTAAGAGTTCGAATATATAACTGAAAATCTCACATGCTTCCTAAACTTTTAGCGTCTATGTCTTAGTTTTTTTTAAGATGTTACTTGTTAAAAAAATAAAAAACATGAAAATACCAACAGCACTTGACTGCCAGCTTTCACTTGCCTAAAAAGTATCATCAACAAATTATTTCGCTAAAATAATTTGTTACTGAATCGAAATATGCGATAAAGCAGAAACAAACTGAATGGAGCAAGAAAAGGTTGATGTATAAATCTAACATGTTAAATAACAGATAATTGATCTGAGTCATATGAGAATGTGTAAGCTTACTTAAGTTACGATTATGAAATCCAACTGTTGTGTACCATATCTGATAGTGCTTAAAGTCTATCATAACTTAAACAACAGTACAATCGTTCTTTATCTTATGACACTATCAAGTATCCCATTACTCCATATCGATGTAAATTCACTATCTGCCCCACAGTATAAAGTTTTAAATTCCACATTGCTAGTTTGTCGATCGAAACTTAATAGATAATAATGATAATAATAATAATAATAATAATAATAATAATAATAACAATAATAATAATAATAATAATAATAATGAAACAAATGAATGAATCGAAATTTTAAAAATCACAGGGATGCCATGATCGTTTGTTACATCTTCAGTTTTATCTGGCTGATAGATTAAAAACACAAATTCTTTTTAAACTAGATTTTACAATGGGTCTAAAATTAGTTAGCTTTTGGCAGAGAATCGCAGTGCACCTTAATCTGTTGCTCGAATTCAGGTCAGAGAACATAAAAACAACTAATTATGCAATATTTTACTGTATAATTGATCTTGTAGTTCGATTAATTTTTAAAATGCATAACTAATAAAAGATAGAAAGACTAATAATTATTGCTCTCTTAAACTAGATCAACGTGTATTGCCTTTTATTATCTTTATAGGGATAAAACAAAAACCCGTATCAGCTAACTTATTAGATCGAGCAGATAAAATACGGTCAACTGGGATTCAAACAAAAGTTCATGGTGATCAAGTTCAAAAGACAAGACCAGTTACAGTAAGTTGAAGATTATTTCTAAGATTATCAACCAATGTTATTTTATGATACAAGCGATAATGTAACAAACAGAACATCTACATATTATCTTTTAACGAATATTCACAAACTTTCTATGCTGATTCCAATAGCTTACCAGTGGTGTATTTAGTAAAAACAAGAGAGCACAAGTTATATTTAATAAGCTTCATAATAAGTGTAGATTTCTGCTACTTATCTGAAGACAATTTTCATCAAAAGATTGTATCAGCCCACAAGTCATTAAAATCAAACTATTATTAGACAAATAATCTAGAAAACTGCATCAAAAAGCAGTTTGATTATTAGCTCATGATCATCCGTGAGCTTACTTGACTGACTACTCGATTAAGATTTGATATAGATTAGTGATTAATTCCCATTGCACCAGTAAACCTCATGGATATTTTAAGATTTTGTCAGGATTAGGTTACTTATTAGTTTATGTTTATATTCAAATTCATAGATTTCTGCATTTATTGTGGCATTCATAGATATCTGACTTAATATTAACTGTTCATAAGTCCAAACTGTTCACGAGTTACATAACACAAGGGCTAATAACAAAAAATACGAAGTTTTAAACAAACGATCAATTATTGGGGCTTATGACATGAACTCAATTCATAAAGATAGCCAGTTACATCTATTCATGCCTACGTGCTTACCGATTTCATCAGTAGCAGACAATGTAGAGACAATCTTGATGATAGATACTAGTCCTTTTTTCCGTATACTATTGTCAATCATATGTCTAGGTTGCCGAGTCCGATCTGGATGTGTATCAATCGGTAGTACACTTTTATTATGGTCGAATACGAGTCATATTCTTTAATCACTTTCAAATAAACTAAACAAAATACTTAACCCCAGTAAAGTATCTTTTGTCCTGTTCAAAATTATATATTATATTCAGTTCAATTTAATAGGTGATCATTTTCAACTTGCTACCAATGCCCAATAAAAATATTTCACTAAATTACCTTTCGTTAACTTCCATGATAAAATATCACAATATAATGTAACCACTATTCATAATTTAGTAATAATTATCAGGATTTTTTGATGAGACTTCTATTCTTTATAATCCACCCATAAGAAACAAGAATTTACTTCTAAATAAATTAAATATATACCACACATAATTATCGGTACTTCTGTGTCAGGCTTTAATATTTATTATGACTAATAAAGAAAAACCGGAAGTTCCTTAAAAATTCCTGTTAATTTTTAAAAATTAACAAGGAACTGGATATATACGTTGTTTTCTAGACTCTACAAAAACTCAAATCAAACTTTAGAAACATGTACATCAAGTGTAAAAACTGTCTCTTTTGACATTAAATAGTAAGGTTGAGTTCTAAACTCTTACTATCGAGTCTTATAGCCCAGAGAACATCACTTCTAAATGGAGTATGTAATGATGATGTAGACCAAAACGATGAAAGTTCCATATAATCTAGCTCAAATAATTCAACAACAGTAAAATCATCTACCTAAGTTGTATTATCTCTTTCATCACACTCTCGTACATTTATCATATTGATTGCGTTTACCATTTTTGGTGACTTGTATTTGTTCAGTTTACTTGTTTTTATTTGAAAGGTTTAAAAAAATAGTTTTTGAATAATAATTTTCATATTTTATTCCATTGAAGGTTGGCATTCCGTCATTACGTGAACGTTTAGCTGAGAAATTATTGAAGAATATACCACCTGATGCACATATACAATTAGTTAAATACCAAAAAGAACAAACTTTTAATGAATAATTTATTTGATGAAGGAAAATAGGCATAGAAACGAAAACAAACAAAGGTTCACATAAATTAAGTCATGTGAACGGAATCACTTCTTAATATATATATATATATATATATATATATATATATATATATATATTACTGTAATAACTAACCCTTATCATACATTATGATGCTTATTGCTAATTACGTAAGCATTTTTCTAAATGTACATTGCGTGTCACAAAAATATATCCTGAATAATGCTTGATATTTGTTGTTTATGCCCGAGTTTCAGAGTTGATTGACCTAAATGCAGCCATTTTTATAGATCAGTAAGATCACAAACCGACCTATGTTAGACAACCACTGATAATTGAGAAGCACTGGACATTTGTTTCGTCTTGATATGGTACTCCTCAACAGCGCGTCCATAACCCCACTGGGGACCGAACCCAGCATCTTCGTTCCTGACGGAGGGAGTTTAATCTTCAGATCACTGTGGCGGTATCCATTGGTGTACATCTTTGACTTCAGTCAATACATCAGACAGTTACAACGCAGAACTCTGTACATACGTACATCAATTCAAATTGCCATACCACATATTAGCACAGTGAGATGACGTTGTTAGTTCAAATCCCAAACTAACAGAGGTAGTGAAAGTATTGGCAGTAATAAAAAAGATTAGGGTTCAAAGATATTATTCGAGAAGTTTATCGCAGAGAAGTAAATTTAACAAGAGAAATGTAGTCATGACGAATTCAAAAGATTAGAGTTTGAGAGAACACAAAAAATGGATGCACCTGCACCATTGCAAACTATTTTCAGCCAGGTCATTCAAAGTATCTACCCATTGTTTACAATCGTCTCGCGAACCCCAACCAGGTAGTCTACACCTAGCACCATGGCTCATTGACTTCATGCATTTATGGCATGTTTTGGTTTGGCCGTAGCTTTCTTTCAATCTACCCCTACATCACAAAACATTGCTCGCCGGAGCCGCCACTAGTTGGGCATACGTAACACATTCACTAGTCCACCAATTGATTTGGCAGGCTTACCTAGTACCCTTTTCCTAACACCAGCATCGCTTGCTCGATGGTCACAGGATATACGAGCAATGCTTTGAAGACACCGATGGTCCAATACTAGTAACCTGGAAATATCCTCTATTCTCATTTGCCATGACCCCCACCCGCAGAGTAAGACAAAGCGAGCTGCTGCGCAGTGCACTCGTCCTTCGGTTAGCAGACAGATATCTCGCCTACACCATAAGTGATGCGAATACTAGCGACCAAGAAATATCCTCTATTCTTATTGGCCACGTTTCACGCTTAATACGTGGGTTTGCTCAGTCATCTATCATCGTCTCCAGTGAGTAACCGCCCGACTCCCAACACGATTGGGCTACACTGATTGCAACTTCTAAGACAGTACTGATTTCCTCTCATAGTTAGTTTATATACCACTAGAGCCATTTAATTGTGTTCAACTACTACAAACCAAATACAACGGGAGAATCAATAAACACGTGTGTAAGAAACCGTAAGAATTTATGAACGGATACCTGATTAATACATACAACGAAGAAAATTTAATCAATTTTTACAACAACCTGACGCATTCTTATCAGTCAACTGATCTCATTGATATTATTTCCACTAATTATTCTGCTTTTTTAAATGACAGAGATGCACTGTTTACACAATAACGTAAACCTGTTGGTTTAGGTCCATCTTCAAATACATGACCAAGATGAGCGCCACACTGTTTAAAAAAGAATCAAAAAAAGTCGAAATAATAATGCATACAACGTTTAAAATAATGGATACTTTCAGGACTAGACTAGTTTGATCAAATATGATAATATCACAATAAAAATGTGATTACCCAAGTTTATGACTCCAGAAAGTTTAACTGAAAATAAAATTCTCCAAGACAGTTTTATAAGAATCGAGTTCAAAAGAATTAGTTAGGTTTATTTAAACAAAATCATGATGATGGATTACAAAAATTGTCATATTCGTCAAGCTTATCAAGGCAAAATTATGACGACCGTAACCACTCAACTATTAGGGAGGAAAGCTTTCAAACTTTAGAAACCCACAACTGACGACGCCAAAGCTAATCGAATACAACAATCGGTAGTCACGGGTTTACATAAAAACGTCTTTTTTTCCTCTAAGAAACAGATATTTTTATCAACAGTTATTCACCAATTCTTCTATTTTGCTCACAACACTTAACAAGTTATCGAAATTTTTTGTAAGAACTTCTATTTAAATTCGAAGGAATGGTTCCATAATGTAGTTGGGTGCCAAGTACACGGAAGATATTACACAAGGAATTTTATTTTTAAAAATCTCAATGACCGAAATCAAGAATTACTATAATGCTTCGCTAAGTAGCTTCTTCATAGGAACTAACGAATATAAATAATGTCAAAAAACAATAGTAGGCCACTAAACAACTATACGGCATTGTTACGCTATTTAGTACAGATTTTTAAGTTTATCACAAAGACAGTCAAAGCCCTTCATTTTTAGGCAAACCCAGGCAACTTAAGCAAACAAAGCGGAGCTGAGCTACTGCAACTATTATTGAATTCAATTTACTACTTCAATACACTTGTTATCCCATTTATTTTGGATAACCATATAGACTCAATTTTCTAGTCTGTTATGATGTTTGAAACGAGTCTCTTTAGTATGAGAACACAAACACATTTACTTACTCTCAATGCATGCATGCTATAAAAAGTTTGATTTCTTAGCTATCAAACATATCGTTGAGTTTGTTTCCCACCATAGCTTGAGTCACGTGTACTCAATAGTTTTTACATAAGCTCTGCGTACATATCTTAGCTAGTTACATTTCGAACATATTCCAAACGAAATGACTTATATTTATATTCAAAAAAAACCGTATCAAACATTGTAGCGTACATAATTATTTCGTGACCTTATTTGTAGTCGACTATCTTGATAGTTATTTTCATGAAGAAGCTCGAATTAATTTAAGTGAAACGTTTGTTAGTTTTTTTCAATTTCGGAGCCCTTGATAAATCTGTAATTTTGTAATTCACTGTAATCTAAGGAGCACACACACAACAAAGCACAACTCATTTGTATCTACTACTAGCAAAAAAGGAGAAATGTAAATATTCTACATAACTATACCTTATGGTAAAACATCTAAGTCATTCTAATGTATCTTGCATAATAAAGGAAGTTAGTCAATAGTTAAACAAATTTTTTTTTACTTTCCATCACTACGATCAACTTTCGCAGTATAATATACAATACAACTGTTGTTTTATAGAAAATATTGAAAAAATTATTTGTCTTATGAGCAAATGATATTTATTTTCTATAAAATCAACACTTATTGAATACATAGTACGATATCAGGCTTTTCAATGAATACATACCTGTTTACATGAGATTTCTATTCGCATTGAGTCAAGTGAATTATCTTCTGTTCTGATAATATTTGTTTGTGAATCATCTCGTCCATTTGATCCATGAACTTGGTAAAACGATGGCCAACCTGACCCACTATCATACTTTGCAGATGAACTACAAAAAAACAATACCTAGTGATTGGTGACTAAGTAAAGTTTAGATTAATTTATATAGAAAAATCCAGCCAATGGAAATGAATGCTGAAGCATATGTTATTCAATCCATTGAAAACAAAGGTTGCTATTAGTTGTTATGGAGATTTTTACCAACATGATTGATTATAAACTGGCGTATACAATACCACGGATCATGTCTGGTCGAACTAATTCGTGGATCTTTTTGTATATAACGGTAAAAATTGACAATGGTTGCCGGTCATTTTTGATGTGCGGAAAGTGTAGAAATTACCAATTGAGTTGCTATAAATTTTTGAAGTGTTTGGTGATCATGAGTTTCATTTCTTTCTCCTTATAAAGGTGATTTTAGAAACCTTTGTGAATAATTGTATTACCATCATGGTAGACTTCATGATTACCCAGTTATGTATAACAAGTGTGTACCTCCTTCATGGTGCTTTTTACGACAATTAGATGCCTAAACATCAAATTATAAGTGTATAACATACTTAAAATTATGTATCAGCGGAGTTGTGGTTAAGACGTTTTAGTGTGTACAAATATGTCGAGCCCACGGGGCTTGTCACAGCCTTTGGAAAAATTAACTAATACGTTCTTTCCAAGTCATTATCCGCATGTATTTCGATTTTGTCAATCATTCGCTTATAAATTTGGTTATTTTTAATTATGTGTGTGTATGCTCATTCTGCTTATCACATGTTTAGCATGCTTTTATCTGACCATAAATAGTTGGTTATGCCTCATCTTTTGGAGCTGGCTCACTAGTCTTCTCCACATCGCTTCGCTTTGCATTTTACGCTTTGTATCCTGATATCTGTCTTCATGAACGATTGCATGAAATAAATTCATCCGCAAAACCGTATTTGGCTTTTTATTTCCACCGTCGCACAAACGGAGTTCACCTAAATCGGATATACGGAAATTGGAGGGAATATTTAATTCGTACAAATCGGAGTCAGATCGTGGGGCACTAAAGTGGTGAGCACTACCTCGAATTTAACGTAGTTACTAAAACGTTCGACTTTCGAACACTAAATGACAGTTTTAAACCTTGATTTGTTCACTTTAGTTTGAGCGACTGGACTCTTACTAGAGTTAACAAAATACTAGGTTCACAAGATTATATACCGTTTTTTCCATAAATTGCCTCAATCGGGTCAATTTTAAACATTCGATATCAGCACCGTGAGAAAAAGATATCAGCATTCATAACAATCTATGAGATTAAAGTTTGGATATAGATGAAGTCGAACAATAAAAAGTAAGGAATAGTAGTGAAACTTGAAAAGTTGAAAAACAACTATATAGGTATCACTATGATCGACTTTAATTCATAACCGTAAGAATCCCAAATGTTTTTTTTAAATCTAAACAACTGTACCAGAATTATAACGATTAATTATTTGAGAAGGATCACAAAGCACACAAGACGAATAAAATAGAATAGACTTTCAGCTTAAATTTTCACTTTCTGAACATAAGTGCAACGTATACCAAGATGCCTAAAACCAAAAAAATTTCCACTAGCACAAAACTTTTGGCCTTACATCCAATGCAACCAAGTATCGAAAGGCGATGTAAACGACAGTTAACACTTCTGTTTAATGTTTCCACCTTATAAGACAGAAAATACATGTCATTAAGTAATATTTAAAACTAGCATCTAATATGAAACAGAAATGAAGCTTAATGCAAAAGACGTCTTTGTGTGCACTCTAATGTATATTAATGGTGTGAATACTAATAAAGTTATCTGCTATTATGATTATTACATTACTAATCCACTTAACAGAAAAAACTTACTCGAAAAGTTTTGATCCGCAACATACACAGAGGTATTCCCCTTTCTCTTTATTATGATAATATTCGCCAGTAAAAGGCTAGATAATAAGTTATGAGAAAATTCTGTAGTTACTGCTTCTGTGCCTTTAAGACGAGCTACTCGATACTGTTCAGGATTCAATATACATTTCCACTCCTCGTCTGACTTATTTGTGGACATTCTTAAACAATTTCTAGTTAACACTTGGAATTTTACTGAATGATTATATGAAACTCTTCTTTATCTCACCTGAATAATTGGACACAAAATGAAATTGAGACAACACCAAAGCATTAATGCTTGTACGTAGGATTTCTAGAACAAAAAAACAAGTGAATTTAAATTATTATGAAAAGAATTGCTCTATTTGTTCATTCATAAGTTTATACGATGAGCTGTAAAGCTTGTGATACTATCCAATGGCAGGATATCAGGCATCCAAACTAGTAAGACACAAAGGTACTAATATCTTGAACGGTGAATGACCCAAACAATCCATAGTTCTCAACAGTTCAATAATTATTAACTGTTATGAAGATACACCAAAAATTTTACCGAATGAAAAGCGTTTTACTTAATTGTGTACTAATATATATATATATATATATATATATATATATATATATATATATATATATATATATATATAACCGAAACGTCATGAAATAAATTTCATTTTCGTGAACTAAAATTTTTTTAACTGTCGGTACAGGAACAACGAAAAGCACCCAACCTGTAATTATTACTCGCAAATGGCAAAATGCCTTGGTTCGGTCAAGAGTCCAATCTTCTTTCCGAAATGCGCTATCATATGGATACACGTATATAGCCACTGTCAGGGAAGTCTTATTTACGGTTTTCTCCTGGTGGGGGTGCGTTTTACAGAGGTTCAAAGGACTAAAGGACAGTAGCCCGCGACTTAACCAATAAATGCCGAGAGCTAATCCGCCATTTGTGGCGAGATCTGGTATAAGCGAAACAGACTTTTAGGCAGATGGGACACCAATATAAGCATCTAAAGATGTCTTAGACGATCAACAGTTTTTCAAAGTAAAGTTTAGTCGGTCTGCCGCACCGACGGTATCGATCAGACTGTCTTGTTTCCCATGACTGGTGACAACTGATGCACCTAACACGGCGGAAGTATACAAGGAACTCCACCTTTGAAACAGCTACTAATCACTAGCTTCAACTGACTTACCTACAGCTCCTTTTAATAAATGTAAAGATCTGACTATGAATCTAGGTTGCTTACATCCGTTCGGGAATTTACGGATGATGGTGAGCTATTTGGAAACTGAATGAGTTGTTTACAAATGCTTGGAAATTACAATGTATCAATATCGTGAAATGAGTTGACAATTGTCTCTGTTTTCAAAAGGTTTTACGTCACCTTTGTAACAACCCTCGTGGATAGGTTCACTTTCTACTGAGATCAAATTATTAACTCCCATCACAACTTAAAGACTGTTTAAAGCCCGTGAAAGATTGACTCGCGAGTAGGCTGGTTTTGATTCAGGTCGAAGCTATATTGATCATGGCTTCACCATTTACAGTTTGACTAAATCATAAAGGCGTCAAGGAAGCACACACTGACATAAGTTGCTTATTATACGCTGAATGATCCCTTCACTCACGCCGTCATCAAGACTTACACAGAAAACCAGATATACACACCTCTCGATTACTTCAAACTGAACATGAACAAAAGTGAGTACAGATTCAGGGTCTTAACAGTCTTGTAAAGAAGGTGAAAAGCACAAGCCATACCTATGAACACTGACTGTCAATTGAACAAGCGTGGATTGCATCGTTTAGGAATCAACGCACAATAAGAGAATACCATACGAATCTCCTGTATATCGTGATCAATTTTAAAAACTTCTCACCTATCACCACAGATGAATTAACAAACGTGCGGTCCCCAAAACTGATGAAATGCTTTTGAGACTCACTTTCTGAAGATATTAGATTTCTAAAACAGAACACCATTAAGTTAACTTGTCGGCTTTTCCACAACATAGACGGAGCAGATTCGCTGGAAGTATAGGGCAGATAAAACGGATCAAAATCATTATTCTATCATATCTATAAAGCTTATTCAAGAAGCAGTGAGCTCACTACACAAATGAGCTGTGGAAATTTATCTGTGCTCAGTGTGAAGAGCGAAATACGAAGCAAAGCATGGGATGCAAGTTCAGTTAAATTAATCTAAGTTACTAATTGCTCGATTTCGCAACCGAAAACATCATCATTACTGGGAATTTCAAGACTTTCGCCCAGACCTCTTATACCTAGGAATATTAAGCCAGAGAAACTGTCAAGTCTTAGGTTAGAAAGAAAACGCATCATTTACGATACCCATAATGACCATATTCCGCCAATGTTTAGATGATCAAGGATCTGCGTTGTGTCGAAAACGAGTCATCTTTGCACGAGATTGTTATCGGGTTATGGATATTAAATGTTAAATTAAGTTGTTGAGACAATAATCAGGACCGATGCGAATATCGGCATGAACTAATTGTCAATGGATAGTTAACCATTTTAATGATGATGTAAGCGACATTACACGGCTTTTCGAGTTTGAACTCCCAATTGCAAGAGTTTTTATGCTTGTCGATACCAGTATTGGGACTTCCACACTACCACTACACCATACAGTAGTGAGTTTCTCATCATCTGGAAGGTCCAAAAACTTCTGAACCGAAAGTCTTTATTGTAAAACATATCTCTTATAACTTTTAAAACCCCCATTATAATATAGTTTATGCGCTCCACATCATGTGAGACTGGTAGTCACAAACGCTTTATATAGTCTTCCAGAAGGAAATGTCAACAGTTCATCTACGCCAGTGAGGAAACCACCATATATACTACAAAAAATCCTGACAAAGGCATTTATTTCACTATAAGTGTACCAGGTGATTAGAGAAAGGCTATAATAAGACTGTAAGATAAAACCTTAAACGCGTACCGTCCTTGAGCAATCGACTGACCTTGCGAAGTAAACAAAATAAGACACGGTGAGCGAGTCCGATAAATCTGCACTTCGAAGAGTCACACCTTCCGCCTATGAACTCTCTACCTCTTATCCATGAATTTCGCTATGACTAACAGATAATGAACATAAGACTGGTAAATATAAGGGATACTATGCCAACAAATACTGACATGTCAACACAGCATAAACATCAGAATGAACTCTTAAAGCCAAGAGCTAAGGGTTCACAAACCAGGGCGTCGAATAATTTATCCAATGAAGACCACAATACTAATCAATATGGCAGCAATATGCGGAAATTACAAAACTCGCCTGCCAAAACTATCAATAAAGTAAACCGGTTTCTAATGACAACGACTCTCAGAATAAAAACTCGTTACATCGTATCTTACCAAGCCAGTCGATAAAAATGAACACATACTTTAAAAATGTCCATTAAAACTGGCAATAACGTAAGGAAAGTCTACCCCAAGTTAACGCTAGTCCGAATAAATATAACCAAAACTACGAGCTGTACCATGAAGACCATACTGAAAATAGTGGTGCACAGCACAAACAAACTATTGAGGATTTTTCCGGGATCTATCTCCTTGTGGTACCTTTGGCGTTTCATATATCTAAAGTCACTTCACACCGCACACAGAATATAGGCTCACTCCTCCCACACGACCTCAAACAGGTGACATTCCCACACCTCCCTCCGGGCTAACAACCTCCCCAATTAACTTCAGCAACTGGGTTAGTATTTCCCCCTTTAGACTCTGTCACCAACTTTGTTCTCAGTTTAACAACCACTGTCTGGCCTTAATCCCATATCACACCTATGAAGGTTATAACAACTCCTTTACTCGGGATACTCTCAATTATTTCAGCTTAGTTGGACATTTTTCTAATATATATCTTATGAACGGTCGTTAGATATGTAATGAAAGGACAGATCTAGTCATGTTTGCAACTCTATATCAGCCATCACATATAATGATACCTCTTCAAAACTTTGATCTGTTTCGCAGTGATAGTTCACAAGAACGAGGCGGAGAATGCCTCATATATGCCCACTCTAGACTACACCCACTCTTATGGGATGTGCCGGAACTAAGTAAACTACAAGATTCTGAGTGAATCGTTCTGAAACTCTCAAACCCAGCTTCCTCACTATTTGGCTGTGTTTACCGTCAGTCTCACATACCAACAGGAGATCTTGCATTATTGTCAGAAGTAAAGTAAGATGGTCTAAAGCGAGAGAGGGGAGCTAATTTATTCAGGCCAATCAAATGTACGAAGACCCTGAAAGTATCATAGAGCTATTTAGTGAACACTTTTTTGCCTGAAAACCCACCAAGTGAATCACAATCGGTTCCAATATCTTCCTGTGAAACCACCAGTGTATCCTTCAGTGTACAAAACACTTCAGGGATCCCTAAATTCAACTGTCCCCCTGAATCCACCTAACATCGAAGCAGCTCATACAGACCTCACGATCGATAGGAACGCACCCATTATTGACGAAATCATCATGGCTATCAGACCAATCAAGAGTAGCGATTCAGAAGAACTAGATGACATATTAGCTGAGCCACAGAAAGCAGGCAAAACAGTATCTGCAAAGATTCTACACATCCTCTTTAGCGAGATTCGGTATGAACAAGTACCAACAGATTAGAAGGGAGGATAGCTGATCAAGGTAACGAAGAAAGATGATCTCAAGTTAAAGAACTATAAAACCATCACTCTTCTCTCACTAACAGGCATTCTTCAACAGGATAATGTTAAACAGAATGAAGGGCTCTGTAGACGCCCGTCCAACTTAGAGATCAACAGGCTAGATTTCGTCGGGATCGATCGTGCATCGACCGAATCGCAATATTACGGATCATTGTGGAACAATCAATTGAATGGAACTCACCACTGTACATCAACTTCATTGACTACGAGAAAGCATTTGATAGACTGAACATGACAACGCTGTGGATGCTTCTTCGACAATACGGCGCGCCTGAGAAGATAGTCAACGTCATGCGGATTTCTTATGATGTATTAAACTGCAAAATCATACACGGAGGACAGCCTACAGACTCGTTTGAGGTGAAGAACGGTGTCACGTAAGGTCTCTTACTCTCACCCTATCTCTTTTTAAGATCTTGACTTCGCGGATGATCTGGTTCTTCCATTGCACATGCAACCACAAATGCAATAGAAGACGACCAGTGTAGCAGCAGCCTCATCAGAAGCATGTCTCAACATACATAAAGGCAAAAGCAAGATTCTCCAATACAACGTAACATGTGCTGAACAAATCCCTCTTGATAGTGATGCTTTGGAAAATTTAGAAACCTTTATACATCTGGTCAGCCTCATCGATGAACAAAGCGGATCTGATGCAAGTGTGTGGTCGCGGATTGGCTGAGACAAGGCAGCATCTCTACAAATGAATAGTATCTGGAATTCAAAGCAGCTGTCAACCAACTCAATTTTCAATGCAATTGTGAAGATGGTCCTCTTGAATGTGGTACAAACTTGGAGAACTACCAAAGCCATGATCCGGAAGACAGTTGTTTATTAACACTTTTTTAGGTAATATACTCCAGATATGTAGGTCAGACGCCATCAACAACAAAATACTGTAGGAGAGAACAAATCTGCACTGGAGGAAGAAATCATGAAGAAGCTTGGGAGTGGATAAGACAAACATTGTGGAAAGCTCCCGACCGCGTCACAAGACAAACCCTAACTTGTAACCCTCATGGTCAAAGGAAAGGAGGATGGCCAAAGATTACGGTAACTCGAGCAATGGAGAGAGACATGAGAAGAATGAATAAAAACTAGACGGAGTAGGGTGGAGAATGCTGGTCGGTGGCCTGTGCTCCATTGGGGGTAAAAGTCGTAAGTAGGTAGGTGATCGTCTATGGTTGAGCAGCATCTGTGAGTTTTCTAACGTATATGTAAACTTGAAGTGGAAAATACAAGTATTTTTAAAACTTATAGAAGATAATGATGCAGATTTAAATAATAAACTAACTTCGAAAGTTATGGGGAAGTGCTACTAGAGTTAGTTGGCTGATGAATTCATGACTTCATCATTTTTTGATACTTGTATGAATGGAAATCGGGGTGCATTATATTCATGTTCGATTAGTATCTTCTAAGATAAATCTAGATATTCGGTGGACCATCAACAAGTGCCTCAAAGTTGGCGGGTTTCCGAAAATAATCCATAAATCTTTTTAGAGTCCAACAACTGCGTCACTAGTTCCTTGAACCTGCTGATTATGTCACAGATTCGGACGGAAGTAGGTAGTTTGTTCGATATTGAAATTGACCGTTTTATAAAGAAATTTTGACTCAGTAACTTTTTGTGTTTTGTAGTTAGTAGCGAATGTGCTCTGTTTCTGAATCTGTAAGCTGAGCTATGGTTCACATTTGAGTCGGGGTTGAAAAGTGAGAGGCCGTATACCATTTTGTAGAAAAGTACTGGGTTATTCTTGAATCGATGGCATCATAAAGGTTCAGCGGAAAGATGTTTGCATTTAATAGTATAATTGAGAGTACGGTAACGTCCTGGCTGTTAAATCGTGAAGCGTCTTCTGATATCTTCGACTCGTATGTTGTCCATGGTATTCACGTTTGTAAAGATAAATGAGCAGCATTCATTGGAGGGTCTTATACGTATTGGGAAGAGTGTGAGCTTAAGCTCCTCTGCCAAGAAGTTTTTATTGATGCATATCATTAGCCGTCTGGTTTAGAGATAATAGAAGAGGCGTGCTCTTCCAGTTTTAGTCTTCTTTAGTAATGAACATCTAGATCTTGCCCTGCAATAAGTGTTTGTATGACATACATTTAAAGTACAGCTGTATACTAATTTAAGATTACCAGCATATAAGTATGGTCTTCCACATAAAAAAGATTATATATATCTTTTATGAACATTAAAGGCAAGAGTGGATCTTACATATTTACCTGGATAAATCCACTATTTATTAGTGTTAGTGATGAAAAGGAGTTGTTGTTGTACCCTACCATTTGCTGACCACGAGTATAGTGGGTTGCTGATTCCGAGTGACTTTTGTTTGACAAGAAGCCTTTTGTGCAGGAACTTACCAAAAGCTTTCTTAAAGTCGAAGAATACGACTGATACTAGTAGTCCTGTGTCATCTGTTCGAGTTACATCATTCAGATAGTCTAGTAGGCATGTATCGCATGACCTTGACCTCAGAAACCCATGCTGGGAGGTCAAGATGAGATTGTTGTCAAGTGGGTATTACGGTGCTGCCACCTGCACTACTTCCTCCATCACCGTAGATATTACAGAGGTCGATAATTTTCAACATTTGCTGTAGGCCCTGATTTAACTTTGAGGATGATATGTGCAGTGTTTCAAGTATTAGGGTGACATACTGTGTAGAGTGATATAGTAAGTAGTTTATTACGTGTGACACACAGATCATCGCTTCCATTTCTCAGTATGCTAGCTAGGATACTGTCTGGCCCTTCAGTGTAGGAGTTTTTTAGTGTTCTAATTATCTTATAAATATTCTGCACACTGAAGGATACACTGGTGGTTTCACAGGAAGATATTGGAACCGATTGTGATTCACTTGGTGGGTTTTCAGGCAAAAAAGTGTTCACTAAATAGCTCTATGATACTTTCAGGGTCTTCGTACATTTGATTGGCCTGAATAAATTAGCTCCCCTCTCTCGCTTTAGACCATCTTACTTTACTTCTGACAATAATGCAAGATCTCCTGTTGGTATGTGAGACTGACGGTAAACACAGCTAAATAGTGAGGAAGCTGGGTTTGAGAGTTTCAGAACGATTCACTCAGAATCTTGTAGTTTACTTAGTTCCGGCACATCCCATAAGAGTGGGTGTAGTCTAGAGTGGGCATATATGAGGCATTCTCCGCCTCGTTCTTGTGAACTATCACTGCGAAACAGATCAAAGTTTTGAAGAGGTATCATTATATGTGATGGCTGATATAGAGTTGCAAGCATGACTAGATCTGTCCTTTCATTACATATCTAACGACCGTTCATAAGATATATATTAGAAAAATGTCCAACTAAGCTGAAATAATTGAGAGTATCCCGAGTAAAGGAGTTGTTATAACCTTCATAGGTGTGATATGGGATTAAGGCCAGACAGTGGTTGTTAAACTGAGAACAAAGTTGGTGACAGAGTCTAAAGGGGGAAATACTAACCCAGTTGCTGAAGTTAATTGGGGAGGTTGTTAGCCCGGAGGGAGGTGTGGGAATGTCACCTGTTTGAGGTCGTGTGGGAGGAGTGAGCCTATATTCTGTGTGCGGTGTGAAGTGACTTTAGATATATGAAACGCCAAAGGTACCACAAGGAGATAGATCCCGGAAAAATCCTCAATAGTTTGTTTGTGCTGTGCACCACTATTTTCAGTATGGTCTTCATGGTACAGCTCGTAGTTTTGGTTATATTTATTCGGACTAGCGTTAACTTGGGGTAGACTTTCCTTACGTTATTGCCAGTTTTAATGGACATTTTTAAAGTATGTGTTCATTTTTATCGACTGGCTTGGTAAGATACGATGTAACGAGTTTTTATTCTGAGAGTCGTTGTCATTAGAAACCGGTTTACTTTATTGATAGTTTTGGCAGGCGAGTTTTGTAATTTCCGCATATTGCTGCCATATTGATTAGTATTGTGGTCTTCATTGGATAAATTATTCGACGCCCTGGTTTGTGAACCCTTAGCTCTTGGCTTTAAGAGTTCATTCTGATGTTTATGCTGTGTTGACATGTCAGTATTTGTTGGCATAGTATCCCTTATATTTACCAGTCTTATGTTCATTATCTGTTAGTCATAGCGAAATTCATGGATAAGAGGTAGAGAGTTCATAGGCGGAAGGTGTGACTCTTCGAAGTGCAGATTTATCGGACTCGCTCACCGTGTCTTATTTTGTTTACTTCGCAAGGTCAGTCGATTGCTCAAGGACGGTACGCGTTTAAGGTTTTATCTTACAGTCTTATTATAGCCTTTCTCTAATCACCTGGTACACTTATAGTGAAATAAATGCCTTTGTCAGGATTTTTTGTAGTATATATGGTGGTTTCCTCACTGGCGTAGATGAACTGTTGACATTTCCTTCTGGAAGACTATATAAAGCGTTTGTGACTACCAGTCTCACATGATGTGGAGCGCATAAACTATATTATAATGGGGGTTTTAAAAGTTATAAGAGATATGTTTTACAATAAAGACTTTCGGTTCAGAAGTTTTTGGACCTTCCAGATGATGAGAAACTCACTACTGTATGGTGTAGTGGTAGTGTGGAAGTCCCAATACTGGTATCGACAAGCATAAAAACTCTTGCAATTGGGAGTTCAAACTCGAAAAGCCGTGTAATGTCGCTTACATCATCATTAAAATGGTTAACTATCCATTGACAATTAGTTCATGCCGATATTCGCATCGGTCCTGATTATTGTCTCAACAACTTAATTTAACATTTAATATCCATAACCCGATAACAATCTCGTGCAAAGATGACTCGTTTTCGACACAACGCAGATCCTTGATCATCTAAACATTGGCGGAATATGGTCATTATGGGTATCGTAAATGATGCGTTTTCTTTCTAACCTAAGACTTGACAGTTTCTCTGGCTTAATATTCCTAGGTATAAGAGGTCTGGGCGAAAGTCTTGAAATTCCCAGTAATGATGATGTTTTCGGTTGCGAAATCGAGCAATTAGTAACTTAGATTAATTTAACTGAACTTGCATCCCATGCTTTGCTTCGTATTTCGCTCTTCACACTGAGCACAGATAAATTTCCACAGCTCATTTGTGTAGTGAGCTCACTGCTTCTTGAATAAGCTTTATAGATATGATAGAATAATGATTTTGATCCGTTTTATCTGCCCTATACTTCCAGCGAATCTGCTCCGTCTATGTTGTGGAAAAGCCGACAAGTTAACTTAATGGTGTTCTGTTTTAGAAATCTAATATCTTCAGAAAGTGAGTCTCAAAAGCATTTCATCAGTTTTGGGGACCGCACGTTTGTTAATTCATCTGTGGTGATAGCTGAGGAGTTCTTAAAATATGTTCAAGATATGCAGTTAATAGTTATTTCGTGTTACAGGCGTATATGTAGTATAAGGTCACCTCACTCCTACCGAAAATGTGCTTACCACCCATGTGTCCGAACCTTCTTCCTTCAGGTTATGAGAAGTCCAAACGAATTTTGTTCAACTGATATAATTATTAATAGAGATAACCTAATATGACAGAAATAGATGATCGTTATGTCAAAGGTTTTTATACACTGTACTCAGAATGTACAATGTAGCTCGTTGAAAAATAGTGAAGTTGGTTTAAATGACTGAGATTAGTAATATGATTAACTTAAATACAATTTTTTCTCCGTGGATTTGTATGTACTATATTATTCTGTCGCTGTATTGAAGACTAAGTTACTTTGGGAGAATAGATTCCTTCGTTTTCTATATGTTTGTAATATTCATTAATTTTTAGTGTAGGTGGTGTATGCTATCGTAGTTAATTTTTTTTCAACATTTCTCGTTTCTTATATTTTTTATTACTTGGTTAATGTGTTCTTATGCGATGTATGATTGTTCATGTTTCGATTTGTAACTATTGTTTTGAATCACGAGAGATTTATTAGCTTTTATAAAGGCCTTTAAAGTCACTGATTTCACGATATTTTACGAAAGGTTTGTAAATACCCTGGTAGGCCCGGTAGTGATGAGCGCCCACTACTCCTGGAGATGCTACCTCATTGACTCGCGTGTACAGCCACTGCCAAGGAAGTGCTGTTCACTGCTTTCTCCTCGCCGGGTAGCTATTTACAAAATTTAGAGGACAAGGCTAATAACTGGAGCCCTAACCGGATTGATGGGTATGAAGGGTCCACCTAGTGGATTTGGAAAACCCTGATTGCAAATCAATCGTGCACAGACTCCACAATTCTGACAGAACGAATGTTGTGTGAACCTGTTGTTGGTCGCCGGTTGCCATTATCCTGTACAGTGGACCTCTAGGTCAAAGGTTCAGGGAGTAGTCTCCGGAAAAGACCACCGGCTCTGTTTCGCACTCTCTGACAGCACCTCTGCACACTCATAAGTTCAATATTTTATGCGGCGGGCAAATATTTTGGAGCTCCATCGAGCCAGTAATTATGTGTTTCGTGAAGTAATTGGATTTAAGTTAAACCTTATCATATTAGTTTCATCAGAACATTTCTATTGCATATCTGACCAAACTAAAATGCACCTACGGTATTTCATATTTCCGTCACGTTGCACTGAGACGGATGTACCTCGTTTGTTTATCCATCTCTGTGACAAATCATGCAGTTAAAAAAGATCCCCTAATATACTTTGTTATGCTCCTTCATCCAATGGCTTAAGTCTGCTAGTCAGTTAACCTGTTTTTCATATCTTTAATACGTTCATTTTAAGGCTTTAGAAGGTAAATTGTCTTAGTAAAATTTCGAGATCCATATAATAGTGTTTTATTTATTTGTGTGAAGATATGTATTTCGTGTCTGTTTATATTTTGGATAACTACATGCAAGTAATTGTTAACAATATCTGTATTCCTTTGTTAACGTGTGCTCCTTCGTGTAATTGTTAAGTTTAATTTCAGTTCACTGTTCTAATAAATTTCAGGTTCCACTAGTCTAATCATCGTTTTAGTTTACGTTGGTATTCAACTCAATGGTCCTTGATGCCAGGACAGAGGAAAACAAAGTTGACTTTGATGTGCCGGGCATAATATATCTCTCAACTATACCAAATGGGATGAATGTTAGCATGGTTTCCGACATTATGCAACAGTTTGGTAAAATTGGCAGAGTTTACTTGGTACCGAAAAAGAAGAAAGTGGGGAAATACCGTCAGTATGAAGAAGGCTGGGTTGAGTTTCTGAACAAGAAAATGGCTAAGCGTGTCGCTAAGCGACTAAACTGTACAGAAGTTCTTGGGTCGAAGGTTAGTTTCCTGCACTTAGTATTCGTCATTATCATCAATATTACACATTGTCACTAGCTACAGACGCAGTGTGCTTCAGTATTCTAATGTTATATATTGAATTGAAGTCTATCAAATTCGTTTATACGCAATAAACACCATGCTCCTACTTTTAAATCTTGTAGTAATTTAGAAGTTGCTAGGAACCTTCGAGATTTCTGCTGTAAATCTTATTTTGTAATGGAATGGCTTAATTTTGCAGAAAGAACTTTTTATGCTTGTTATTTAACAATGTGAACCGATGTGTATTAAGGCTGTATATAGTTGTCTGGAAACGGAATGTTTTAAAAGCTATATGACGTTATTAGTATGGTATCTTTTAAATGCGGCCAGTTCTCTTCTATGCTGTTGGATTGACAGATTCCTTGAGTTCAACTTCTATCTCTGTTTGACTCAAGTACTAAATGCAGCTAACCTGCTTACGATAAGGAAGTTATTGACTACTATGTGGTGAAATAAGTTTGGCACTTACTGTGATACGTAATCCGTAAACTTCTCTCCACTTACACGCTATTAGTTGCTTTACTATCTAATACTAGTGTTTTGCAAAATATTAGAAATTATCTTCATTGTCTACCTCTCAACCAACTTACCTTAATACCACGTTCTGTGTCAAACATATTTTGCTGAAATCACCTTGCGGTAGGACCATTAGTTACATTCACGTTGCGGTCCGTCAGAGCACAGTGATGTTGTTGTTGTTTTCACCTAACCGTTAACCCTAATAGTAAACGATTGAATGATTGGAGTGTCACTGCTTAGTGTCAAAAAGGTCACAAACCTGTGGAACTCCAAATATTTGCCGTAAAGGAAATTAATGCAAATAATTTTGCAAAACGTGAGAGTATCTAAGATGCGTCATAAACAAGTATTGAGCTGATTCATAGGTCAAACTACTTGTAATATAGTATGCGTTAAAGTTTAAATGTAGAATCTGATTGATTGGCACAGCAAGTATTAAATAAGTTAATGCCTTGAGAAATCCTTGTCAAAGGTTTGAACTCAAAAATGTCTTGCCTACAAGACAGTTGAGCGATATCATGTTGTTCATCTTTGTGGTAGTCCGTGAATATAGGTATTCACACCTTCCTTTGACTGCTGCATGAAACGTAACCAGGTGATTTGGTAAGTTCAACCTTTGCAGCGACTGTTTTTCAAAGAAAACAATTACAACTCATCTCGTTTACCAAAATACTTAAGGGTGATTATTACGCTAGCCTGTATATGAGGGAACTAAAATAAATGACGCTTTTAGAAATTCGGAAATACTCAAAAATTCATTGTGAAGCCTTCCTACTTGATTCTTTCACAACTAGTCACAACTGTCTTATTTTCACTTTCTAAAAATGTCGCTTTGTGTACATCTATGGTTACTGTCTCTCGTTGTGTTAGTGAATATGAAATGTAATAGATCGGCAACTATCCAACCCTTTTACTCTTTCTATTTACTTTTGTCTCTAGCGTAATCCGTGGTTTGGTGAACTATGGAACATTAGGTTTTTGAAGGATACTTCATGGAACGACCTTTTTGGCGCTGAACGTGAAGAAGAAGAAGAAAGACGTACAGCTCATGATCGTGATATAGTGATTGCGAAACATCAGTCTCATCAATTTTCTGCAGCTCTAGATGCAAAAAAACTAGAAAAACGGATGAAGCAAGTTAAGGGAAAAAGGTATTTCTTTAACATATATTTATTTTTCGTCACTATATTTTTATGGTTTGTGAATGAATTTCTAAATATACGTATAAAAATTTCTCTTTAAGGGTTCATTACATTTAGATACATTGAGAAAAGTTTTCTAGTTCAAGTACTTTGCCATTTTGTATAGTTATAAAAGGTTTTAATTGTAACACTCAAATAGTGATTTATGAAATTGAGGGTAGAGATATCAAAGGGAAAATACGTACTATCATTTTTATTGCTAAGAATCAGTATATATGTTAATATCAAAAACACTTAAATACAGTAAAATAAGTCATAAAACGTTTAGTTAATACAGGCTTTTCGTTTTCAGTCTGTTTAATTATTTAAATAACAGGAAATAAAAGTTACAACAGATTCCCCGTTAGTTTGAATTCTTGATTGTTTCTTTCGTCTAAACCCTATAAATTGTCGCTCACCTGTAGTGCTCTAATAGAGTTTTGATGCATCTAAGATAATTATCTTCCATATCGCGACTTAATTTCATAAAATGGCAGCCTGGAAAACCCACTTATTCCCAATGTCAACAAACATCATTATTAGCAATAGCTACTTGAATTCCATATACAAATTATTCAAGACGGATCTTAGTGTTTACTACTCATCACCTTTTGTCAATAAATGTAAACAAAATTTCTCATGGTCTGACAGATAACTCAGTCATTTTTATTTTTAAATAAAAGTGTAGATCGGGACCAAACTCTCCAGTGTCTTACCGAAATCCTTTATATTTTCAAATGATACTTTTGATAAATTCAGTCGATATTTGATTTCAGTTTTCTATTAGACGCTCCCGGAAGAGATTTTATCTCTTGAGGTATACAGAATCACCGCATGGATGTGTTTTGTAAGGGACTGTTATCTTGTAGATCTTGGCACTCGGACGTCGCACCAGGAGCAAGTATACGTTACATGTTTATCAGAAACACATGAATTTTCACTTCATATATCTCATGAAATACATATAGGCATACTTACCTCAGAGGTCATTTATATGTTACACACTATAAACACACGAGTTTTCATCCATGCATTCCTTAGTATGCACATGAGTACAACCGCTCCTTGGGAGAGTAGATGGTCGCCACTCCCATGTACGTATTCGCCACCACACACTGTCTCTCATGCGTTACTCGCATATCTGTAGTATGTATGTTTTCGCCTAAGCACTTCGTGACACACATGTAAACACAGACATTCTATCTACTATTTATTTATAGTGCAGACTTTCCAGCTAACGTTCGTTTTTGAGAACCCACAGGCGTACCCTTTGCATATGCATTCGCACATAAATTATACAGACCGCAGAATGAATGAAAGAATGAATAGCAGTTGGTTAGAACTGGAAGGGGGAGCCCAGAAATAAGTTGGTTAGAGATTGCTGGCTGGCGGCCTATGCCCAATGAGACGTAATAGGCTTAAGTAAAGAGTTGGAGTATATGATTAGTCCGACCTCCACTTACCGCCCAAGTTAGCTAACAGGGTTGCGCCCATTACCTAGCTGTGCGATGAGGAGACCTTAGGTTGGGTTTTGCAGCCCCTTCACTTGTAGTCTAAAAATATTTATACAGGTAAATAGATCTGCAGTATAATTACATATTCGCTTAGTACTTTTCGCCATTAAGTTTGGAAATAATTTTGCAAACAGTACTTGAAACTAACATTGCTAATATTGCTAAATACAATAAATAACACCAGAACTTAAGGATATTTTCACAATGCTTAGGTTCCTTGCTTGTTTTATTCAATCCTATTTCAATATCTTATTTCCATTAAAAAAAATCACAGCTCGATTTTCTATCCTTTTAGATTTAATGAAAGAAAAGCAATTCGATTAAATCGACGTCAAAAACTTACAGAAGACGAAATAAAAGAAAAACTTGCTCATTCTAGTCGTACACCACCTGAAGGATGTCTTGGTTTTTCAGCTGTTTCAAATCCCGAGTTTATGGGTAGTCTTTTTTCTGGTGGTTTGTAACTCTTGTTACTGGATTATTTCTTGTACATAAAATTCTTGTGTAGAGTGTAAATAAATATATTTGAATGAAAACCATATCTTGTATTCAATGAAATAATCAAATTTATCAATTTTGTAAGCTTCAGTTCCCTAAAACTTAACTATATCAACGAGCTAATATTCATTGAAAATCTCATTAGTTAGATACTACTTAATATAACGTATAGTCGATCGTAGTTGGACAGATACATAACACATACTTATTCAGATTGCAAGTGTTTTCTTGTTTACATCACATTTTTGTTTGTCAATTTATCTTAGTACCGACGGAGACGGAAATCCCTGAGGTAGGTTAAGGTGTGACATTTTTAGGGTAGAACTTTTCTAAGCCTTCCTTCCTTGTGAGAAAGCAGCATTGCTGCAGATGCTGGTTGTCCGAGGGAAACACCTTACTGCTCTCACACCCCTCTGCAGTCAGCAGTACGACTTCGCCCTCAGACCTTGAGTATCTGCTTTTAGTCTCATCGTTCTCCAATCGACCTGCCTGGCATGGTAGAACCTTCAGGAACATATGTTCCAGCCAATATGGTCATCGGTTGTGTGATCACGATAGGCAAGCCCGACCACCACGTCAAGGTAGAAGCCGCGGTCGGGAATATTGAAGTTGTCAAAAATAAATTAACCTCAAACAGAATTGAAGATAAATTTTCTGAAACTGTTGTGGACTTTAGATCCCCAGAACTCGCTCGATAAATGTCTTAATTTTGTATTTTATTCATGGGCCGATCAGCTGACCTTGAGATACCTTCGGGAACAGAGATCAGCTTGTGACTAAGTTTCTTCTCGTGGTGGGTCTGCTGGTAGGTTGGAGGTATTAAGCAGGATGTCAAGGGGAAGGCTTTCTGCTCTTGATGGGCGATCTGGGGCTAGCCGTCTGCGTATCTGATTTCGATGACGTGACCATTTATCACCTCCTACCTCTTCGTACATAACTCGACCAACTCTTCTGACCACTCTCGCCTCTGCCCAAGGACCATGGTTCGTTCTGTAGTCGCGGGCAAACACAGGGCATCCCACTTCGCAAACGGATTGTCTCTGCGGCTTTGTCTCCACTGATGTGGGTGCATTAGTCGGATGCATCAGGCTGTGGATCGTTCTCAATCTTCTTCCCATCAGAATTTCAGCTGGGGACTTTTGCTCCGGTAACAATTCATTTGGTGTTGTCCGATAGACGTACAAGAAATTTTGTAACGCTTCGGCTGGTGTCCCCTGCCCTTTCGACTTAAGCAGTGCTCTTTTAAACATATCCACAAACGTTTCCACTTGCCCATTCGATTGCGGGTGGTATGGTGGCGAGCTTAAGTGTTTAATGGCTAGCCGTTGACAAAAAGTTTGGGATTGGCTAGAGATAAATTAAGAGCCATTGTCAGATACGACCACATCTAGTATGCCATTTCACGGGAAAATCTCAGTTAGGAGCTGTATTGTCTTAGTTGTAGTGGGTGGCATAATGGGGCTGATTTCTGGCCATTTTGGCATTCATCTTTGCCGCCCGCTGACACCGTATACATTTTTCAACCAACGCTGTGACATGTCGATCCATGAGAGACCAGTATGCATAACTCCTGGCTATGGACTTCATTCGTTCAACCCCTGGATGACCAAGATGGAACTGTCTCAGCACTTTTGCATCACCACTCTCACCAAACATCAAACAATCGTTCACGATGCATAATGAATCCCGCCGCTGATACATTTGCTTCATGTCACCATCAAACTTCTTCGGCGGCCAACCGTTATTGACATATTTCATCGTCATCTTGATGACGGCGTCGTTTCTAGAAGCATTTTGTATGTCTGTTGCAGACACTGGTAATGCGCGAATTGCGGCTGTCAGATAACATTCTTCGTGGTCTTCTACTGACAGAGATGCGATTACCATGTTTTCTTCAGCCGTCACTTGATCATTACGGAGTCGTGGCAAAGCATCTGCTTGACTGAATCCGAGATTTAGAACCGAATACTGCTGATAGAGGCTTGTGATCTGTGAGGAGCGTGAATCTCCGACCTTACAAAAACTTGTAGAAACGGCGAACACCAAACACAAGGGCAAGAGCCTCTTTCTCCATCTGGCTGTACTTCTTTTCTGCTGGGGTTAGTGTACGGGATGCATGCGTAACGGCTTTTTCTGACGCGTCTGGAAACTGATGTGAAATAACAGCACCTAGGCCATATGCTGAAGCGTCTGCTGCTACGATGATTGGCATGGATGGATCGTAGTGTGCTAATAACAATTCCGAGCTAATGATGGACCAAAAGCTGCGTCACACTCTTTAGTCCCATTCTAAGTGCTGTTCTTATGCAATAGACAATTCAATGGAGCGCGAATATCATGCATCGAGGGAACAAAAGCTGAATAATAACTGATTAAACCGAGAAAAGATCGTAATTCGGAAACATTAGTGGGAGTGGGCATCAGTTTGATAGCTCGGATGTTCTCAGGATCTGGTCTGCGGCCGTCGGCATCAAAGATGAATCCCAAATACTTTACCGACTGCCATAGAAACTGACATATTTCTGGGCGTGACTTCCACTTGCAAATAAGCATCAGCTAGGTCAAGCTTTGCGAAGAACTTTCCTCCATTCAGCATAGTGAACAGATCTGCTGGGACTGGCAGAGGATGATGCTGTTCCATAGCTGCGTCGAAACCTGTAGAAAAGTCAGCACATAAATGTATCGAGCCGTTGGCCTTCTTAATAACGACTATAGGTGCTGCCCAACTGGAGTAAGAAACGGGAGTAATAACTCCTTGTTGTTGAAGGTGATTCAATTCTTCATCTAGTGTTGCTAATGTTGCATAAGGTACGGGTCTCTTTGGGCGGAAAGCAGGCTTAGCCCCAGGTTTCAACCGAAGTGTTGCTTTCATGGCAGTACACCGACCTAATCCAAGTTGGAAGATGGTTGAAAACTGCGTGGTTAGATTCCTCGTATATGCTTCGGGGTCATGTGGTCGTGATACCTGGTGGCATATGGTATTTAACGGGACATCAGCCAATTTTAGCTTGTCGAACCAATCTAAACCAAGTAAATTTAGATCAGCTGGCGTTATATAACATACCCCAGTAAATGACGAGTCTCGTAAGGCAACTTTACATTCGAATTGTCCTAACAGACGAAGGTAATTACTGCATACTGTTCGAGGCTTCTGTGTTGTCTGCAGCAGGCTTGGGCTGCTCAATTTGGTCCAATGTTTGCGTGAGAGGATGGTGACTTCAGATGCAGTATCGATTTGCAATCTACACAAATGCCCGTTAACATTAGGAGTAATGAATTTCCTCTCACCTGGTGATGAGCTTTGACAGGAAGATATAAGGCTCAATGAATTGGTACCTGATCTAGGAACAGACTTCTTGGCACTTCTGGATCGGTTCGGCTTTCTCTTTGGGGAAAAACCATATTTATGACCGATTACCCGAAAGTTCCTGCATCGATGTTGCTTAAATGGGCAGTTTCGTACATAGTGCCATGCATCACAGTGCCAGCAAGGAACAGGGGCATTTGTTTTCCTCTTCCGGGCTGAACTAGAGTGGGATAAACTGGGTGTAGCATGGGCACCTTTATTATAGTTAGGTAACTGTTGGTGAACTTCGGGACCACCCTGACCCCAGATTGCATCAAAGTGTTGTCATGCTGCATGTTGCTGATGCGCTGGTACTCATCAGTGATCGCATCGAGTGTCAGTGTTGGGTCTTGTTCAAGGCGGTTATGCAACCGAGTTCTGATGTCGGAGAATTTAGGGGATTGAAGACTGCATATGAATGTGAGGGATTTGAATTGGTCATCGGTGAGAGATTTGAGTTTGAACAGTTCGCACTCACGGTTGACAATGCCAGCATGGGTCCTGAAGTAATCAGACTCATTCATGACCAGTTTTAAACAGCGATAACGTGTATTGAGAAGAGAGTGCTGATCACCAAAAAGTTTGCTGAGGGACCGGACAGTAGCATCGAATGATCGGTCGCGTGGGTTGTGCCGTAGGATGTAGTTGCAATACTGGTCCAGTTCTGACGGATCAAGTTTTCTAAAGAGAAGACGCACCTTCCAGGAATCATCTCTGTCAGCAAAATCAACTTTGAAGAGGTCTTCATAACGCCTGAACCAAGTATTAAATGTAATATTGGCGTCAGGATCATGAAGAAACTCTGAAATACCAATGGTCTTACCATCAACTGACTGAGGAATTGTCGGTGTAGATGAGACTTGAGAAGAGATGTGCGTCTGAGTAAGTAGTTCCATCAATTTAAGCTGTTGTTCAAACAATTTATCTGATTTAGCTGCATCCCTCATGATTCACCAGATCGTTTGTCAAAATGCCGTTACCAAATTGTTGCGCTCGTCTCTAGGTATGCTTAAACTATTACGAGTTCACGTTAGTCGAATAACGAGAACAAAACAATGAACCAGAGTTCAGGTAGGCTACTGTGATCCACTGATCAAATTGCATCAGCGAGAAGTCTTGACATAGCGTAGAAAGTGTATTCTACAAACACCCAGCCAGCACACAATGAATTCATGCACTCTAATTGCGTTTATTTATAGTCTATAGAGAAGTCCTTTTTTATTCTGGTGGAAAATGTGGTCTCAAGGTCAACTAATCGGTCCATGAAATAAATCCAAAATAAAGATATTTATCAAGCCAGTTCTGGGGATCTAACATCCCCAACAAAAATAATATATATGTTGTTCTGAATCCACTTCTGGATTAGAATAACTAAGCTGTCGATATAAAATTTAATTCCTGTCCGACAAATCACAATTACAACATATTTATAGTCGTTATTTTCCGTTTATTTGGCTTATAATTAAGAAATTATCTTCTTCGTTATTCATGGCTTCTGTGCATGTTAATTAACGATTTTGTATGTATTTTCGAAATTCAAATTAATCTTCCAAAGTATTACAACAAAATATTACCTTCACTTATACACCACCCTGAAGATTGTAACAAAAGATCTGTTTGTGTTTTATGTTTAATATGTTGATAGTACATAAGTAAATATTGGGAATTTCTGTAGTGAAAAGCATAATGTTGAGTTTATCGTCCTCTTACAAAAAAAAAATTAGTTAGAGTTTAATAAAAGCGAATCTTGTTCAAATATGAATTTTATTTTAACTGTCTCATAGATAATTTCTTTGCAAATAATCGTAGACACCTGATTGGTTATGAAAGGTATAAATCTCTAACAAACCTTGAATTAAAAAAGAAAGACAATGAGAAGGTTTTTTGAAGTACTTTTAAACTAAAGTAAAATATTCTAAACGATGTTGATAGCCAAAGGTTGCTAGTATTCTAAATTTTGTTTCCGCCATTATTACAGTTTAGTAGAAAAACTGACACCAGATTTCTTAGTGTTTTTATAATTCTCGCTTTATTACAACCTAGCTATTGCTAACGCTTAGTATTCTCGGACACCGATTCACTCGACACGTCTCCCAAATCAGAACACGGTTGAACAGGTAATAGATTATATTCCAACAACAAGGTTGGAAGGAAGACAAAAGTTCCAAAGGAAAGAGACGTTAGTATATTTATAGATTTCCTACATGAGAAGATCCTAGAATGTTCCCTCGGTATCGGCTAGCGCTGATGGGATACGAAAGAGCCAATCAGCGTGTAACAACGCAATCATGCTTTAATTCAATCTATGTCCCATTAACAATGTTCATTATACTCTTATTCTTGTATATTTTCTGAAAACCTCAAGCTTCTGTTCTTTATCAATCAGTGTACTGTAGTTACCGATCAAGATTTCTTGAATTTATTTGATCAAACTAAACAAATTACCACATATTTTTTGTATGAATAAATGCGCAGTATTCATTTAGCAAATATAAAATTGCTTGTTTTTTCCTTTTATTGATTATTCACTTGTCGTCCACTTTTGAATTGACAGTTGTTAGTAGTACACTAGTTCATGAAAAAAAATTTTTTCTCACTCAAACAAACACTAAGTGATTAGTATTTTGATTGTTAAGTATTTCAGTAAATTTGTCGAATAGAATGGTGGTAAAGCGAATGAATTCAATTACAATAATGCTCATCTTCTCTTTGTTGATCATTTGATGAGGAGATAGGAAATATTGAAAATGTAACAGTTTTTTTGTTTTTTTTAAGATTTCAATAATCCAGTAAATTAAATAGTTTGAGTACTTTTTTTTATTAATAGAAACAGCTCAATCATTATTTCTATCTAATACATACGTATAATTGTGTAAGATATTAAAAAAATACTCCTTACTTTTATGTATTATTAAAGTTTATAGCATAATTTTGTCTGATCATATATTGTTTCAAAAGATGATTCTAATGTAGATGCTTTTCGAGAATTGTGTATACTTGGTCTTATAGTTCCATAATGAAAATTTGATTCAAAAGTTTGATTTCGTTTATATGATCTTGAAGTGGCAGGAATTTTTTCACTATCTGTATAACTTTCATCATTGTTCAGTCCAGATTCAAACTAAAATGAATAATTGGAAGTAAATATTTCATTTATATAAACTAGCGAAAGATATATATATTAATTAATAAAATCACTATCTATTTACATTAATTGATGATATTTCTGATTACTATTTACAATTGTAAGTTTTTACTAGATTATACAAAAATATGACAGATTCTATTTTGTTTACAATATAATTATCCATAAATAATTCAACATATCATTATTCAATTTTTTTTATTGTGTTTCATTAAAAGTATTGAAAAATATCTCAGCCAGTCAGTCAGTCAGATGTAACGTACATCAGTACATCAGTTCATGTTGCCATACCACATCAGCACAGAGATGTAATTGTCAATTCAAATCCAATAGTAGAAGAGGCAGTAAAAGGTATTAGAAGTAATCGAAGAGGTTAGGATTAGAAGATATTATTCAACAAGTATGATTCAGTGAGAAAAGTTTAGAAAATCAATACTTGAGTTGTTGAAGAATCCAGAAGATTAGGATTTGAGAGAACACTAGGAATAAATGTACCTGCGCCATTGCGAACGATTTTGAGCCATGTCATTCAGGATCTCTAACCATCGATTATTATCATCTCGCGGACCCCAACCAGGTAGTCGACAACTACCGACATGGCTAAGTCCACTCGTCAATGACTTCATGGATTTCTGCCATGTTTTGGTTTGGCCGCCCCTATCTTTCGTCCAACCTACTCCTACACTACAAAACAAATTTCGTCGAGGCAGTCGGTGGTTAGGCTTTCATAACACATGTACCAATCACCTCAAATGATGAAGTTTCAATACTTCATCTATTGATTTGCCATCCTTAACTAGTGCTTGTTTCCTAACGATAGCATTGCTAACTCCGTTGTCCCATGATACACGAGCAATGCTTCTAAGACATCTATTATCAAAAACCAGTAACCTACGAATATCTTCTACTCTCACTGACCATGTTTCACGGCCATGAAGTAAGACGGAGCGAACTAGTGCATGGTATACTCGTCCTTCAATTAGCAAACGGATATCACGCCTACGCCATAAATGACGTGAATTGGCAGAAGACAATCGAGCCTTCTGTGTCCGAGCTGAGATTTCGTCACACCAGCCCATCAGCACTAATGAGACTCCCAAGATAAGTGAAGCGGTCTACACGCTCAACTACTTCACTCCCTATCACTAGTTCAGGTACCGAAGCAACCCAATCTTGAAGCAAGATTTTGCATTTGGAGGGTGAGAACCGCATCCCGAACATGCTTGCATTGTTGCTTAGGGTAGTCAGAAGACTCTGCATTTTGTCAGTGTCTTCACCAAGTAGGACAATGTCATTGGCATATTCTAAGTCAATAAGCGAGCCACCTGGTAAAAGGTCTACTCCTGAAAATTCAGACTAGGATAAGGTTATTTCTAGGAGCATGTCTACAATAAAATTAAACAAGAATGGAGAGAGTGGACATCCCTGACGGACACCACTCGAAGTAAAGAATTCCGGTGACAGTTCGCCATAGGCTCTCGCCCGACCAGTGGTGTTCGAGTAGAGAGTTTTTATAAGGTTGAAGAATATCTAAGAAACTTGCCCCTTTATACATGATCAGAGAAAACATTTTCATCATTTAAAAAGCTTAATTACTTACACTATGTGTTTGTCTCAATTGATTTAAACCAATTTTTTCACCTTTATTATAATAGGTTTGTTTTAATCGACTCGCCTCAGAATCAGGTGATCCCATAATATCAAGATATTCACTGGATGTAAACTAAATTTATTTCATTGATAAAATGTCAAAAATAATTACTTTAGAAATGGATTCATCATCATCGTTGTCTTCTTTTAAAATATTATCATTTCCATAGATCATTACTTTATTAACACGATTAACATGATGATTAGGAAGGCTAAGAAAGGGAAAAAAAATAATCAGAAATCAATCGAATTAGAATCGGTCTCATTACACAGAATTGGTAAATTGATTATTCCTTTCCAATGCGCTTAACTTATACGGTTTCGACATAATTCGATTTTCATTTGTAAATGTTGCCTCTTCATTGGAATATTTTGGATCTGTCGCAATATTTATCGATTCATAATATGCTGTTTGAACTGATTTATCAATATGTTGATCTATATGAATAAAAGAAATAGAATCATTATTTATTAAATGGAATGTACATATTACTGATAATATTCAGATATGTGTTAAATCATTTCACATAATGGAAATACTAATGATATTATTAATGTGTAAGGTATATGTATAAATATTTATTTATATATAGTGGTAATAAATATATAATCAGGTATGAAACGACAATATCATAATGTCAAATTAATTATTTTCAATGCATATCGTAGCAAATAATAAAAAGTGCATTGTAAATAATATCAATGTTAACCAATTCCTATAAAACAAATAGTTATATGTATATTCTGATATATTTATTTTCAAAGTTCTTTTTTCTTAAACACTGATTTCAGAATTTCTTTTCCTCATTGTAATTATACCTGTCACTTTTGTTAATGTTCAATATAGTGTTTAGAGTCTGTACGTTTATTGAATACAATGTAAAAATACTTATTTAAATTGAACTATCCTTTTTACATGATACTACTCATTCATTCATTCATTCATCTATTTCTCAGCTTCATCAGTTGAGGTGGTTGGGACATGTGTTACGAATGCCCAACCGCCGACTGCCTCGACGAGCTATGTTTTGTGATGTAGGAGTAGGTTGGAAGAAAGTCAGGGGCGGCCAAATCAAAACATGGCACAAATCTATGAAGTCACTGAAAACTTAAATGAGTCATGTTGGTAGATGTAGACTACCTGGTTGGGGTCCGCGAGACGAAAGTCACCAATGGTTAGAGACCTTGAATGACATGGCTCAAAATCTTTTGCAATGGCACAGGTGCATTCATTCATTGTAATCTGTCGAATTCTAACCTTCTGAATTCCTCATTATCTATATCTTTCTCTTTCACTGAATTATACTTCTCGATTCATATCTTCGAACCTTAATCTTTTACATTACTTCTAATCCTTCCACTATCTCTATCACTCTGAGATTGGAACTGACAAATGCATCTCTGTGCTGATGCGGTATGGCATCCTGAGTTGATGTACTCATGTACAAAGGTCTACGTCCTAGGTGACTGACTGACTGACTATTTCTCAGCTATATGTTTCTAATAAGTTTCATCATTTTGATTATTATCATTAGTCAAAGTAACTACGAATATTTATTTCTATAATATTTTCCCATGCAAATTTATATTCTCATAGATAAATACAAGAGTAAAATTTATGGATGAATTTATTCGAAAAAAAATGTTTTACTTCAAATTTATCATTTTATTTTTTAGCAATCTCATAGAAATGTCTGAAATTAATTTTTTTTTTCTTTTCAGTAGTAATTTTATTCAAAATAGATCCTCCTATCATTTCTTGTAATTAATAAATGCTATTTTTTTTTGATGTAAAATATCATTGATAGAAATTGATATCATATCATTGATATCTTTCAACACATCTGCTCAATTTCTATTCAACTGTTTGTTTGAAATTTCAATCAATTTCCTTATAACAACAACAACAACAACAACAACAACTTGTTCTTGTTCTTATTATGTTTAAAAGTATTCACAATTTAATCAACATCTAGATAATTCATGGTATCAATTGTTTTGGTTTTTTTTTTAAAACTAGCCACATAGTTTCAATCTTCTCTTCTATGTAAAGTGTGTCATTATAACTGAAATTTTAAACATTTTCTATAAACAAGTATCTTTTAATGTATAATCTTGTGTAAAATCACTTAAATCTTTAAAAGAAATTTACATGACAGAGAACGTCTAATCAGAAATTGATCATTTGAAAATTGTAATTTATTTAAACTTAACAAAATTGTCAATTCAGTAATTAGTTTGACATGAAATCAACATAATAAGTGACTGTGACATATGTTATTCATTAAGTGATATAATGTTGTATTATTATCATATCCTTGATAGATTTAACCAGATTTTATGCTACTTTAGTTCAACTATTAATTGTAGGCTTACAGTAGATGTCAGATTGTATACTTATATCTTTCATAAGTAACACATAAGTAGCTCTAAATCATTATTGACTAAACTGTATTTACGCAATATTCATATAAATATTGCTAGTCAATAACTTTAAAACTGATCGGTGTCAGTTCATTGCTTAACATGGAATAAAACATAATAGCATTAGAGAGTATTGTAACTTTAAATTTTTGTATTTACGAATTCATCTTCAATGGAATATTAAAACAGCATAAAAATTTAAAATATAATCTAAAAATATTACACTTGTTAAAAATATCCACCGTTTGAACTGTACGATTACTACGAGCTGATTGATTACAAGATTGTAAATCATTCAAATCCAAGTGTAAACAATCATTACATCTTGAAGAAGTTTGTTTTGCACTTTGACAAAACTCTTTACAATTTTGATTGAATGTTGTAAGTGGATGATAAGTTTCTGTGACAATTTTTACAGCATATTTATTTAAAACATCTGTTGACGCTGGTGTATTTGTTTCAACAAACAGATTGCGTAATTTCTTTTCCATAGCTTCTAATCGTTTGTCAAAATTTATTGTTTCTAAATTGTAATATAAATTTTTCTGATGATCAAATGTTGTTTGTTCAGGTGAATTATGAAAGAAAAGGGAAGAGTACTAAATAAATAAAAAAAAAAAAACATGATATATAGAGAATGGAAATTGTTTCTGTTAATCTAAAAAAGTACAATTACTTTAGATATAGTTGTTAGTCACCAACTATATAAAACTACAAATCAAACTAATTTCTATTTGATTAATCGAAAATTTGGAAAGCAGCCAGTTTAGTGATACATTTCTAGTTAGAGGTTTCGGTATTCAATGATCTCATCTTATGTTCAACGTTCAGGGCAATGAAACACAATTCTTAATGAGATTTCATTCTTAACTGTTAGCCAGGTTATTTTACTAATTACTTTTCTTGCTTTCCAGCTCTGATTACAAATGAACATAGAAGAGCAGTTAGTTTTAACTTACAGAATATTTTGAATAAATCCTTTTTTTATGAAATTATGTAGTGAAAAAATATAGGTCCAGTTATTAGAATTTCGTCGATTTCTCATCGTGAAATCGATCGAGAGCGACTTTTTAAATTCAAAGTTAATGTATACAATAAGTTACGTACTTTTTTCAAAATGTCACTCTACGAAATAAAAGCGATTTTATAATCAATAATAAAACTCATAAATTGTTAGATAAAACGTTTATTGTGGATAAAAATTAATGTTCAAAAGTTTCTTAATAATAACGTTTAAGCCTACTTCTCTGAAGTTAGTTTGACTCAGGAACTTTATTTTCATTTCTATAAAAACATACTTAAATACATTTTTCTGTGAAAAAAAAAGTCACAAATAAACCGAAATTGCGTTCTGTTGTACAAATTACTTGTATTTATCGCTAAATCAAGGTAACATTAATGTAAATTCATTTGTATTGGTTATTTCGCTTTAACTGATGTTTAGGACTGCAACTAATCAACCTCGTTTGGCAATATAAGTATCCTGTGCTGATCGCCTCAATATTTTCATTACATTACAAGCACTGTTAGTGTGGTGTGAGCTACTTATAAGTAGTATATGACGTGAGTGTCAACGTAATGTCTGGCAGCATAATATGGGGGAAGATCAAGAAAGGAAGAGTTAGAAAACAATGGAATTTGTATGAAACGCATGAACAGTGACATTGGATTGATGTTTTGCAACAGGAACAGTCCAGTTCGATATGATGAACTGATATTTTGCAAATTAACGATTTACGATACGGTTTTCCAATTTTACTGAGTAACTCTGTAATTTCGCTACATACAATTCGGTTGCCCCACCTGTGTTCTCCTGCACTGCATTAGCAGAGATGGATGGTGGTTAGCAGTGAAATCGAATGCGTGCTTTCCGTCTGATTTGGGATTTGTCAGCCGGATCTAAGTCATCTCAAAGTTGTTGTTCACGCTTTGATTCGAACCTAATACCTTTCGCTTCAAACGTCATCGCATTGTCCACTTAGCTGATGAGTTCAGATAGCCAATAGCTTTTGCATTTGGCTCAGGTTTCATTCATTTCTTTGAAGCAAACAGTTTTGGGTTCCAGTCCCAGAGTGAAAATCAACTCTTGGATAAAGTAAATCCGGCTAATGAGTCACTAATAGAACGAAACATGCGTCTTAGATTCCACTGCTAACGACTATCCATCTCTGCCTATAAATTCAAGAATATTTACACATTTTCAGGTTTTCACACTGAAAACTACTATTCCAGATATTCATCAACAACCATTTTTGTCATCATTTTCGAAACGATCTTGAGAAAGCTCATTTGTTTCAAACTGAACTGCTACTAGTTTACAATGAAATAATTAAAAGAAAGGCGTGACAAATTTTATTCTCCATTAGTTTTAGCAGCTTTTAAATTATTCAAAACTATATTATCTTTTTATTCGCAATTCTATATGATACATTTAGATATAAATTAATGACCTAGAATAATAATATAATTGTTTTATATCACTGTTTCTTCTACGCCATTTTTTTCTTCATAGAATTCGATTAATTTTATGTGTATTATCGAGTTTGATTACTAATGTTACAGTTACTATAGTAATAGACTTATGCATAGTACTAAACAACATTAATTCCGAATTTTGTGTACATCAGAAATAATCAATATCGTTGGTAAATTTTTTGCTTCGATAAAAGATTAATTTTTGCAGACATTTTAGAGGGAAATTATGATTTGAGCGCATGATAAATCTGAGTGATATGTATATTTAAATGAATGTACAGCCAAAATTAAATGTTCAATTAATTTGTTTACTTAAAATATAAATGCAGATTAATTTTTTTTTAAATATGTTCATATTTGAATAAATTGATGAATAACATTTATACATTGAATAAAAGGTATACTAGACATTTAAGAGAATATTACACAAAAGGCGTGTATGAGCACATTTACTTAACTTTTGACCTCTTGAGTACGGATCTTATGACTGAACATTTTTTAATATTTAATAGTTTTGGTTACTATTAATTGCCCGACCGCAGCTGCTACCTTGACGTGGTGGTCGGGCTTGCCTATCGTGATCACCCAACCGAGAGCTATATTGGCTGGAGCATATGTTCCTTTCGGTCGTGTCATGTCAGGCAGGTCGATTGGGGAACGATGAGACTAAAAGCAGATACTCAAGGTCTCAGGGCGAAGTCGTACTGCTGACTGCAGGGGGGAGGGACAGCAGTAAGGTGTTTCCATCGGACAGCCAGCATCTGCAGCGATGCTGCTTTCTCACAAGGAAGGAAGTGTTAGAAAAGGTCGACCCTAAAAATGTCACATCTCACCCTACCTCACGGATTCCGTCTCCGGCGGTAAGGGTGCCCACTAAGTGCTTTTAAGAGCGGAGCTAGTACTTAAACATCCTTTCATAAAAGGCCGTGCGTGACCGGCCTCAAGCAGTTGTCCCTTGGACTGCGGTCACGCACCCAGGTCGTTAAGACCAACACTAATCCATCTTCCTTCTCAGGTCCCTCAAGAAACACCCTTCCACGGTGTAGAGCAGCAGGTCCTGATAGGATAACCCCTGAGATTTTTAAGGATGGTGGTCCAGTTTTAATAGTTAGACTGACCGAGATCTTAGGTAGAATCTGGGAACTGGACACAATCCCATCTGACTGGTCTCAGTCGCTAATTGTCCCAATCTACAAGGAAGGACAAAAGTCCTCTTGTGACAATCACAGGGGAATAAGTCTAACTAATATAGTTTCTAAATTGTTAGCCTCGATTACCCTTAGACGCCTAACTACAGCTCCGGAAGAACACACTCGAGAAAACCAGGCTGGTTTCAGACCTGAACTTGGTTGTATACACCACATTTTCACACTACGACAGGCCCTGGAACACAGACACACATTTAGACGTCCGACAATATTTGTCTTCCTGGAACTTAAGGCGGCATTGGACTCTGTGGATCGTGAGGTTTTGTGACATTGTCTGTCATTAAAAAGTGTATCAAAGAAGTACATTGACCTTATACAAGCTCTCTACTCGAACACCAGTGGTCGGGCGAGGGCCTATGGCAAACTGTCACCGGAATTCTTCACTTCAAGTGGTGTCCTTCAGCGATGCTCACTCTCTCCATTCTTGTTTAACTTTGTCGCAGACATGCTTTTGGAGTTAACATTATCCTCATCAGATTTTTTAGGGGTAGACGTTCTACCAGGTGGCTCGCTCATTGACTTAGAATATGCCGATGACATTGTCCTACTTGGTGAAGACACTGACAAAATGCAGAGTCTTCTGACTACCCTAAGCAACAATGCAAGCATGTTCGGGATGCGGTTCTCACCCTCCAAATGCAAAATCTTGCTTCAAGATTGGGTTGCTTCGGTACCTGAACTAGTGATAGGGAGTGAAGTAGTTGAGCGTGTAGACCGCTTCACTTATCTTGGGAGTCTCATTAGTGCTGATGGGCTGGTGTGACGAAATCTCAGCTCGGACACAGAAGGCTCGATTGTCTTCTGCCAATTCACGTCATTTATGGCGTAGGCGTGATATCCGTTTGCTAACTGAAGGACGAGTATACCATGCACTAGTTCGCTCCGTCTTACTTCATGGCCGTGAAACATGGTCAGTGAGAGTAGAAGATATTCGTAGGTTACTGGTTTTCGATAATAGATGTCTTAGAAGCATTGCTCGTGTATCATGTGACAACCGAGTAAGCAATGCTGTTGTTATGAAACGAGTACTAGGTAAGAATGGCAAATCAATAGATGAAGTAGTGAAACTTCATCAGTTGAGGTGGTTAAGACATGTGTTATGAATGCCTAACCACCGACTGCCTCAACGAGCTTTGTTTTGTGGTGTAGGAATACGTTGAAAGAAATTTAGGGTAGGCCAGACCAAAACATGGCAGCAATCCATGAAGTCACTGACAAGTGGACTGAGTCACGTTGGTAGATGGAGGCTACCTGGTTGGGGTCCGCGAGTAACTGATGGTTAGAGACTTTGAATGACATGGCTCAAAATCGTTTTCAATAGCGTAGGTACATCCATTCTGTGTGCTCTCTCAAACTGTAACCCTCTGAATTCCTCGTCATCTCTTTCTAAAGTTATCTCACTGAATTATACTTCTTCAATAATATCTTAGAACCCTAATCTTCTCCTTAACCAGTAGTACTTCTACTATCTCTACCACTATGATATTTGAATTGACAATTACGTCTCTGTGCTGATGTGGTATAGCAACATGAACTGATGTACTTACGTACGAAGTTCTACGTTGCAGCTGACTGACTGACTATTAATTGAGGATAGTCATAACTTCACGTGTTGAGTACGTAAACACTGAGCCAGTTAGATTTAAACTGGCTACCAACATCTTAAAATTTCAGCTAGTTTATAAATACTTTCAAGTGATTAAAATCTCCTGCCTTTAGTTTAAAAAGATTATAGTGCCTAGTAAAATACAAAATTTCATTATTTCCTCTAAACACAACCAGAATAATGAAATAACTCAACTGTACTTACATTGTCACTTACAATACTTCCATTAACTTTGTTTTTTAATTCATACTGTGTTGTTTCAACTGCTCTAAAACTCTTTAGTGAATTTAACGATTCTTCAAGCTTTGATATTCTATGTTTAAAATGTAAAAAAATCAGCAAGCACTTGAGCAATGCATATGGATACGTAGTAACTAGTTAAGTGAGAAACTGGGTAAAAAAAATATATTTTTGCAATGATAGATCTTTGGACGCCTCTTATAGACAGTATTTATTATCTTGTATGTAATTTAGAAATGTTACAAAACATCTACAACTTCAAAAGGCAATTGTTATAAATCAACTAACTGTATCTTAAAAGTATGTATCCATAGTCTTAGTAATGGCGAAATATTTATATATGGTAAATGGCGCACTAGTGAATGATCTTCAAACACTATATCAAACAATTTTCAACGTTTTTCTTCATAACCGTTAACTTTACTTAGTTATATTGTTCAGTGTACTATTATGTTTTATCAGGGCATTAGTGCCGGATGAATTCTTGCTACTGAAGTTTATTATGATGTACGTTGTCCGAGATCTCAACACAATACGTGCCATCTCTCACTCCTAACTGGCTATTTGAGTGAGAAGGCAAAGGCAGAAGAGAAATCCTGTTTGGCTACTGTATTACATCTACAAATACTAGGATATATATATATATATATATACATATATATAATGCTCTAAAATACGAGGGTTCAACCTTTCCCAATCCTAAATTATTTTGTGTCCCGGACACTTGTTTTGCAGGCCCTGATGTACATATCTGTGGAATGAATTTCAGGTAACCGTTGGAAATTCTTTTTATACTTCTGATTTATTCTAGGGCTTATGTCATAAGATATGTACTCTACCCAACTAAATGAAGTTTTTACATTCATAGTATACGTTAGTTTCAAAGCCGATTAAACCGCAAATAATCAAATTATCATGGAGTCTGTTCTCCAGTCAAGCGACCGGGCATGGTAGGACTCAAAGGTACATGTTCCAACCAATAAACTTCGGTTGGGTCGTCATGACAGACAAGTTCAACCAGCACTTCAAGATCGCAGCTACGATCGGGGGAAATGAAATATGTCCTGATTTAACCGGTGTTACAGAAACGTGGCTCATCATTGATGTAAACTGTTCACCAATCGTTGCAGGATACATCTATCTTAAAAGCGTTATGGTTATAAATCGCAGGCAGGGTGAGTAATATTTTATGTTGGAGATCACTTTAATGTAAAATAGAGCTTATCAGCAGCGCATGATAATAGTACGTATGAGGCCTCGTGTTGTATAATGAAGTCTAGACGTAAATTAGTGATATACTGAAGTCCATGTTATCTTGCTAATGACATTACCGTAGGTTTTACATATACTTAGAATGAGGCCGATTTTTGTCTCATAGTTGGAGATTTTAATACTCCACAAAGCAACTGGATAGAGCTTACAGATTCCTATAAATGTTTTAACGTCAGCCTATTGTCAACTGTAATTCAATTTAAAATCGCGTAATGAATCGCGAAACCGATACATAGTGACTTTGAACATTGTTTTTACACATTACTGTGAGTATATCATCCAAACCAAGTATCCACCCCCACCAGCAAATAGCGATCATGTAGTACTGTAATTTAGGTTTCAGACATATTGTGCATAATTGGTCTGCTCCACGCCGTCCCAATTTCTGGCGAGCTGAAATCCCAGCAATCAAAGACTGTGCTATCTCAAAAGATTGTTCGGTCGAAGATGAGTGGAATAAGTTGAAATACAAATTCAAGTCTGCAATACTCCGTTCTATTATCAACAGGTAAACTATCATCCATCGCCCTTCGCGGACTAATTGGGGATTGCTACGGTGTTGGAAACACTCATTGGATTTGCTCTTTTCAACGGGCCATAAATCCTCTAGATGCGAATATCAGAAAATATGGAGTATATATAAAAATACTATAGCTAGAAGCTCCATCACTTATACCACTTCAATGAGGCTGCTTACTTGGAGGTTTTGCGGAAGCTGTCGAGCTTCGGAATAACAGGTGCAAAACAGGCGTGGATAAAAACTTCCTCCGTGGCCGAAGAAAAGCGAGTTAACAAATGAGATACCATCTGTATGGTAACCGTTCAAAAATGGTTTACCACAAGGCACTATCTTAGGTCCCTTATTTTTTCTCCTCTACGTTTATGAATTAAAGATATTGCTTAATTTTTTGGCACTTGTTTGCAGATGATGTGGAAACTTGAAGAACAACATTAGTGAAGCTGATGACCTTGATTTTCAAGCCAACCTGGACGATCTAGTTAGATGGCCTCGTATTTGAGGCTTGAAAACTAATTCCAGAAAGTGTATGCTAATGCACATCGGATGCGGCAATAGTTACCAGTGTATTGTCGACGGTACATCTCTACCACGAGTGTAGGAACGAAAGCACTTTGGAGTAACAGTAGGTTATGATTTAAAACAACTAAACATCGTGACGCAGAAGTTTCCAAAGGTGTTTCAGTTTTATGGTCAATACACTGAGCATTCAAATGCTTTGACATGGATATGTGTTGGGTTTTGATACTCCATCTACGTAAGACCTCACCCGTAGTACTATAACCAGACAACTGATCCATCCATGGCTAAGGATTATGTTGCACTTGTGCGTGTGGTTAGTAAGTTATTGAAATATCTTTCCGAACTCCAATGATGAGTGCCAACAATGCCTAAATCGTTTCCTCTTATATTATTGTGGAATACAAGGCGATCTCATTATGGCATTCCGTATCTTGGATAGCGATTTGAATGTCAATATATCTTATCATTTTGCTCCATCCACAAGGCCACTGCAAAGACTTTCAAAAACCACGATCGAATAAACAGGTGACAGAATCCCATTTTTCATATCGAGTGGTCAATGACTGGAACGCCTTACTCGATTAAGTGGTATCAGCCCCATCAGTGAATACCTTTATGGAAAAGCTGGATCTTCATTAGAAAAAATCTACAAGGACTAAAATAGGTCAATTGACCTACTATCCTTGTTACAGAAACTGCAACTGAATGCTAATTAGTAGTTATCTACCGTACATCCAAGTAGACATTTTTCAGCTAAAATAAGTCTGTTCACATGCACAAACGCTAGTTAAATCTACTTTTTAATTGTTTGTTTAAATATTTTCTATATTTTATGATACTGACAAATTACCGTGATAAAGCTGTTAAAGATGATCATTCACTGAGGACTCTAAAGAACAGAGGTTGAAGGTGATTTAATTGGCCATGGTCACAGATTTAAAGGACAAGTATGAAAATCTGGAAAGATATTGACGTATGAATAAACAAAAGGTTTCGCAAAAAGCCAGCCAAGTAGGAATTTATATCTGTGAGGAAAAATTCGCATATTCAAGTAAATTTTAAATAAACGAATTCAAGATTTTTCAAAATATTTGTTTGCTGTTCAGATAGATCAAATACTTCGACTGATGATTTATTTTTGTCATTCACCGATGACACAAGTCACACGCATTCAGTCTGATCAGGGAAAATAAATTTTCAAAACGAGGCTGGATATGAATTTCAGTTTATTCAATAATCCACTACCAAAATTTGTTTGAAAAATGATTCTGTGATTAAAAACACCAATTAAAGTCCTTTCGGCCAAATTATACAGTCAGAATCACATTTTATGAAAAATGGTTTCACATAATGCATGAAATCATAATTTTTTCTGACAGTTTATCTAAGATATCATTGTCATTTTATAACTTACCTACGAAATAGTTGTGCATTGTTCTCAGTCAAGGCATTCAGTTTGCTGTTTTCATAATGAGTATCACCTATCAACCTATCTCTGAATAACTAAGCAAAAAATGTGAATTTATTAAACATTGATTACTGATATAAATTGAGTCATCTTTTGATTTCGTACACTGACATATGACCTTCATTCTCAGTTATTATTTTAAGTATAACACATCTTCGATTTGCAGAAATCAATATTACTACAGATTTTAGCATTTTTAGCACTTTGGTTGATAGGTTGGATAAATTCTGTCAGCTTATATCACATGTTTAGTGGTAATCACGCTGAGAAAATTGTCATTACACCAAACCAAAATTAAGAATCTGTGTTCCTTCACATCACTCACATGCTGTTTATCAATCCTGAACCTAAAGGCTTGTCGTGAAATGAGCACTTCACACTTCTATTTGATTTTGTAGCAACAACTATTTTCTAAAATGAAGGCAGGAGTTATCACAGGTGTGATGCAGTTAACGACACAGGGACTAAATGCCCTACATAAATCTCTGGATCCAGGAACTACCGGCCTAAGTTCTACTTTACTCGTTCCAGACGTTTTGATTGTCTTCACATTCAGTTTACATATCCTTAGGACATAAGTGGTCTTGTGTTCGGCTAGTTTTTTCGGACGTATGCAGAGCCAGCTCTTGGAACTCAATAATCATTTGGAAAGCCTTGTCAGTTTAATCTTCCACCATTAGTGCGTGCATGAGTGAGAATTTGTTAGCCTTATTCTGTGTTATCCTAGACACGCGATATTACTCCCTAATAGTCCCTGTTTTGTTTGTCTTTTAGTTTATTTAATCTGGTTTTGACTGCCTGACGATAAACAGTTCAATAGCTTTAAGTTTTCAGACAATACAAAGTTTTTAAAAATGAAACCAGTTCATAGAAAGATGTCATCAAAGCACCCCTTCAAAGAAATTCAAATGAATATACTTTGTGTTGTTTAAGTTCCATATTAGCTGTACATGTATAAAGAACTACGGTTATAGCATCTGGGGTGACATTCGCGCACATATTGCCTGCACATCTTGCCATTACGAATTCGTAAGTGCTGATGTTTCGGGATATAGTCGTATTACGAATTGACATAGCTTTATTCTTTCGTATCATTCATTTGAATCGCTCAATAATTTCAGGATGCTGAAAATTGATATTTTCGCTCATCTTAGATACGGGGCTATAATTTCGTTGGCCGATAAATATTAGCATCCGGTTTAAAATAATCATGAAATTCAGGAGCTGACGCACCGGAAACTGATCCTGCTTTGATAATTATGATTAGCATAATATAGTTCTTAAAAATTCAATGCGGAAGAGCTTTAACGCTTACCATAGATATTTGCAGAGAACTAGTTGATAGCTGTCTACATAATTTTGTCACTCAACCGGAGATCATAAATGTCGAATGCACTGGAGACGATGAGTATTTTTGGAATTTTGCCGATACACATTCAGCTGAATGCTGTTACTTCTTATTCTTTCATGGGGCAGAATTTTTGTACTAGATTCACAATGTCAGCGCTATGACAGCACTCTACTTAGCATCTAGATACGACTAGATGTCTTTGTAACGGCCAGTAGTTTTTACTGTAAGTACTTAAATTTCCTATACATTCAACATCATTATTATCTCCCTTGCAGTGACTTGCTGTATCGTGGTAAGTTATTTGAGGCTCAATGAAGTAAAGTTCATCATTGCACAGACCTTCGAAAAGAAGATCGGTATAAATGTTTTAATATTAGAGAACGTGTACGACTACTCGGCTATTACTTACTGAATAAGTCCTCACATCTTTCAGACGGAAACAACGAAAATCAAGTCTGACCGGAAGTCAGAAACCAAGATCAAAGGTATATTTGAAAGTTTGGTAAATTGAGTAGTGAGTAAATTAAACGGGCTAATTGCTTTTGGGGGCGGTTGCTTTGCACAGCGTACCCAATGACGAACTTTCAAGAATGCGTATAGGAGCAATTTCAGGTAGGGTGTTCCTAGTACATATGGTGAAGTCAGCATCGGTAACAAACAACTACGGAACTACCTATTTTGGAGTTCATTTGCCGTTATACTTTTGCAAAAAAATAATCTGGTTAACTGATGGAAAATTTTATATGGACAACTTTTTATAGCAGCTAAACGTGATGAGTTGATAATGTTTTCACAACTCAATGTACTGACGTGTTAAATCCAGATGATCTTTTCTTCATTCGCCACAACGGTGTTACCTGTCACGTGGAACAAATTGAACGAAAATTTGATGTTTGAAATCGAATTGGTCAAGAGGTATTTAGATGCAGTAATGACGCTCCTAGTTCCGTTTTTCAGTTTCTTTGCATCTAAAGCTTGCGTAATATACGACTGTTGTTAAATAATACTTTCGTTTAAAGTAAGCGTAGTTCGCTGGATTGTTGGCTAACCTCTTCTGATCTTCCTTTCTAGTTCTCACGACCCAGGCTAATGTGCATGCTCCCCTAATACACAAGATAACTTCTGTCTAGACAGGAATCACTGCACGAGTTTAAAAAATATTGGTTTTAAATTGTAAATAAAGGAAAGCATATTATATGATTTATTGATTACCGGTAATATGCCCCAGATGAACGATTTTCTACGGCCCTTTTTGTTTGAATACAGTAAAGTTGGTAGTCATATGTATGTCAGTAGCGGCAAAGTTCACCTGTTTGTCTACATCTTTACTGTTTAGTTCCGTTGAATAAATATACTTCACAAAGATGCCTCGTCCTTCTACTCTCCTAACAAACGATGCAAGGCACCAGTTTACATGTTGCCTTTGTCTGCATGTTAGGACAGGAACGATAATATTTGGAATAGCTCAAATTATTATTCAACTAGTCTTCATATCGTTCCTTTTCCTAATGACGTTTAATCTAAAATTTATTCCGGAGGATAGTAATGGAAATGTACACCTAACTCAGTCTAATGTTCGTAAGTTTTATTATACACCTTTTTGGAAAGTTAACGTTCTTTCCCAATCGTATAATTCCACTGAACACTTGTTTATCATTATACTAAACGCCTAACCATTTTACTCTTTTCAGTATTTGTTGAGCTTGCAGTTTTAGCGTATTTGTAAGTACCATATGAAATAGTGAACATATTTCCTACTTTTCGTACCTCAGTTCAGAGATATTTAAAACACCATCTAAATCGTCATACTTAACCGTTTTTGTTTACTCCTCCAGTCTTAACACTCGAAATGATTGCTAAATTTTTTTAACTTGCCTGAAACGTTAGAACGAACTTAAACGGTCTAGTGTTCGTGGAGCATAGTGGTTTTAGAATGAATTGATATGTCCACTTAGAGTATGGTGACTGATTTTAGGAGGCTCGTGAGTGTTTTAAGACCTAATTTCATTTGTTATCTTCATGTTTTGAGAAAATTTTAACTTTTATTGTCGGAATGAGTAGATTTCCACATCCAAAGTTAATTATTACACTGACCCCTTAGGAAACTCCTACTCGAAAATAATATGACGAGCAGGCACAACCACACTTTAAGACCACGACGGGTGGGCCATCTGTTTTAGCATTCAGCAACTTACATCCCAAATAGTCCAGATGGTTTTTGTAGGTCATGTTAAGGTTCTCAACTTTCACCAGTCAGTCAGTTACAACGTAAAACTTCGTACATAAGTACACAAGTTCAGGTTGCTATACCGCATTAACACAGAGACGCAACTACCAGTTCAAATCCCATAGTGGTGGAGAAAGTAGAAGTATTTCTGTTAATGGAGAGGATTAGGGTTGGAAGATATTATTCAGGAAATATGACTCAGTGAGATAGATTTAGAAAGAGAAAGAGTTGATGAGTGGTTCAAAAGGTTAGAATTTGCGAAAACACGAAGAACCGATTCGCCTGTGTTATTGCAAACGATTTTGAGCTATGTCATTCAAAGTCTCTAACCATCGGTTACTACCGTCGCGCGGACCCCAACCAGGTAGTCTACATATACCAACATGACTCAGTCCACGCCATAAATGACGTAGATCGGCAAAACACAGTCGAGCATTCTGTGTTCGTGCTGAGGTTTCGTCAGTCACCAGCCCATCAGCACTGATGAAACTCCCCAGATAGGTGAAGCGGTCTACACGTTCAACTACTTCACTCCCGATCACTAGTTCAGGTACCGATGCAACCCAATCTTGAAGCAAGATTTCGCATTTGGAGGGTGAGAACCGCATCCCGAAACATGCTTGCATTGTTGCTTAGGGTAGTCAGAAGACTCTGCATTTTATCAGCGTCTACACCAATTAGAACTATGTCATGGGCATATTCTAGGTCAGTAAGCAATTTTCCTGGAAGAAAGTCGACTCCTGAAAAGTCGGACGAGGATGAGGTTACATCTAGCAACATGTCTATGACAACTTTAAACAAAAATGGAGAAAGTTGACATCCTTGACGGACACCACTTGAGGTAGAGAATAGGCTCCCACCCGACCAGTAGAGTAGAGAGCTTGTATAAGATTAATGTACTTCTTTGGTACACTTTTAAATTACAGACAATGACAGAGAACCTCACAATCAACAGAGTCAAATGCCGCCTCAAGGTTGAGCAATACTACTGTTGTGGAACGTCTGAACGCGTCTGTGTTCCAGGACCTGTCGTAGTGTAAGAATGTGGTCTATGCAGCCACGTCGAGGTCTGAAACCAGCCTGGTTTTGCCGACCGAAGCTGCTACCTTGACGTGGTGGCCGGCTTGCCTATCGTGATAACCCAACCGAACTATATTGGCTGGAACCTGTAGTGCCTCCACATATTCCAGTTTGCTTACAACCAGCTTGGTTAGGCCCTTTCGATTAATCTATGTAACCGAGCTATTCGCGTCGCAACAATTTATATGTACCATTCGTTCTTATTATTGTCTGGTTTGTATGAGCTCACACGACGTGTCATTTGACCTTGTCATTCATTCGTCGCTTTGTTCATGTGTGCCTATTTCGCTTGTTGCATGTCTGTCTTATATTTGTCTGACTATATATTCTTAGTCATGCTCTATTTCTTTGAGTTGGCTCTTAGCCTTCTCCAATGCGCTTCGCCTATTCTTTCGCTTCCTTCGCTGCTTTTCAACTTCGCTATGCGGTGTG